ATATTGTAATGATGTATGCTGATATGTGATATCCTTTGTGCCGCCAGCAGCGATTCCCCCTTCTATCATCAGTTGATTGAAATCACTCCTTATCCCGTTCACAACTCCCCTTTGCTTTTTCTTCAAGTACTTCCAACCACTTGAAGAAATTTCTCAAAAAATAATGCTACATTTTCCGCAAACATCTCTCATCTAATGAAGTAACAACATGGTTGTGGCAAAAAAAAAGTCATTAAAAAATGCTAAATGCAAGTGCCAGGCAAAAATCAATAAACAATCAACGGTGAGCAGAAAAAAAAAAGGGAAGGGGTTGTAAAAAAAAAAAAAAAAAAAAAATATGCCTGCTGCAGGCCTCAAGGCTGCAATTATGGTGAATGACGTTTGCCAGGTTGTCAAAGGAATTGCGGCAAAAATAAAAATAAAACACGAAACGAAAAAAAAAACAAACAGAAAGAAAGGCAGCAGCTGAAATTGAAAAACATGTAAAATGCGTTGACGATTGCGTTTTTCAAGTGCAGCCGAGAAGCATCGTCATCGTCGCCGTCGTCGTCGCATTTCAACTCACATGAGTTCGCGCACGGCCAGCTGTATACCAATTAAAAATGCAGTGGACAACGCCCAAAAAAGTATGCTACAAGATTGGGTGTGGGCGCGGAAAAGCAGGAAAAATCCGATGGAAGAGCGGGGGGAAAGCGGTGGGAAAAGCGGTGGGAAAGAGCGGTGGGAAAAGCGGGGGAAAAGCACTCACCATGTGGCGGCTGCTGTCAATGACAGGGCAAATAAAATGCAACAAAGCGTGTTGTAAAGCGCGCAAAAATGAAAATCAATAGTGATGCCTCAGTTGCATACATATTCATGCATTCTACGTATGTATGTATGTATGTATGTATGTGTGTATGTATATATGGGCTCTATATAACGCACAATTCATTTGCTGGTGCGGCAGGTTTGGGCCTGGTCAGCTGCTGCTGCCTCCTTTTACATAGCCATCGTGGGTGTTTGTCATAACAACAGCAGCAGCAGCAGCAGCAACAACAGTAATCAACGGGAAAAGGGGGATGTGTGTGTGTGTGTGGGAGGTGTGGCAGCAACATAAACACGGGAAACGGAAACGGACAAGCAGAAGGGGGAATGGAAAAATAAGTGGGGAGAGGCAGGGAGAAGGGAAAGGGAAAGGTGGTGAGGGAGGAGAAGGGAGAGGGAAAGGAGGAGGAGGAGGGGAAGGGGGAGGCGGGAAAGGGGCGTGGGCCTTTGCAGGACATTCCCGGTCCATGTTGACGTCAGTCATAGAGCGTGCAAATGTTGACCTACATACAAAACGTTGAGCAAACAGGCGCATAAATGCCACGTTAAACAACTGCAACATCGGCACCACCACCACCACCAGCAACAACAAAAGCAACAAAAACAACAAAAGCAACAAAAACAACAAAAACAAAAGCAACAACACCGCGCACTGCAGATAAGTCCGCCTTTTTGCCCAGCTGCCAACGCATTGTTAGAAATTGTCGGAGGACATGGCCAGCCGGCCGAGTTAATAGCCCATAGTCCAAGCAGGAATAGCCAGGTTCAAATCTATAGTTTTGCATATATGCACTGCTAGAAGTAAGTCAGTCGGAAAAGTATAGAGAAGTCTAGAAAAGAGAAGAAGGATGTTGGTGATGAAAAAAATGCAAAGGTTCCAGAAAAATCTTTGGATGGTTTTAATCCTTTCAAAGGTTTTATTTAAGGCTTCTGTAAGAGTAGATTGTAATCTCTTTTTGATTTGGAATACATTAAATCATATATTTAGATACTATACCTTTCAACATTTCTAGAGATTTTATATTTTATAGCTTCCGAAATTTGTAAGCTAGTCATGAGAAGTAATTTATGAACAAGACGGTTCTAGAGAAATCTAGGCACCTTACCCTAAATAACATTGTACCTTACTTCCCTTTTCTAGTAAAAAGTTGTTGAATATGATAAAGCAAAAAATTTAAAAGCTATTGGTTTAATTGCTAAATCAATTCTCCATAGAACTTTCTATAGATTAAAATTAAATTTTCTTCAACTTTTACTAAGCAAAATATATATTTTCTGTGCAGCTCTTCCGTGTTATTGTTTTTAATACTTACCAGGCAGCATAATTTCCATGTAGATTTATAGAATTGGGTTGACAGGGCAACGGTGACCAGTGGCCAGCATCGGATATGAAGCGACCATTGAGTGCATCCGAACAATGCTGGCCCGCATTGTGAGCCAAGAAACGAAACGACTGACCAACTGAACTGAATAGAATAGAATTTCAAAGGAGCCGACTCGAAAGTAACTTTGCCAACCGAAAATTTAGGGCTCCGCTGGGGAGATGCCACATTTCTGGCACGTTGCATGGAAGGAGAGTGGTCAAAAGTGGCAAGGCAGCTGGTGCTGTGCCTATCAACCCACCGAACCCAACGAACCCATCAACTCACCAATCGAGAGCAGCACCACCTGGCCAAGTCTAATGATGACAGAGTGGGGCAAGAGAGTGGCCCAGAGTAAAAACAGTGGCCATAACGGTTGACGCTTCTCTGGTCGCCGCAGGAGTTGTTTTTGCTGCCCGTTGACTGCATTTACTCCTGTTAACGCTGCCAACGTGTGCAGACACGCATTGGCAGTCAGTCAGTTTGCCAGTTTGCCAGTTTGCCAGGTTGGCAGGTTGTCGGTGCGTCAGTTTGACAGTGTGTCCGTCCGCCAGTTTGTCAGCCAGCCAGCCAACCAGGCAACCAACAAACAAACAAGCTAACTCCGCTTGAGCCAAAGAGTGTGGCGGCCAAAAGAGGCGAAAATAAAATGAGCCGGTGATCGAATATTTGAATACCCTATTTAATTATTGCATTTTCAACATATAAAGTATAATGAAAGATAAGTAATTTAATTCTGAAAAAACCAAAAACATAATTTTTCATATGATAAAAACAATATTTTGTTTTCACTAAGATACAAGTTTTTTTCTGACTTAAAAAGTTGTTATATAATAGACTTCACCAAGTATTTCATATATTTAAACCTTTCATAGCTTGTAATATAAAATTATTATTGAAATTTGTAAGAATCCACATAAGTCTCATATTTTCTTAGTAATAATAAATTTACAAAATAATTTTGAAACGATATTTATGTCTTTTGCCCAAAAAACTTGCATTATTTCATCAACTGTTTAAGATCGCATAAATTGATTGTTTACTAAATGTTTTAGAATTATTTTTAATATTTTTTAAAAAACTTAAAAATATAATATTATCGTTTTTCTTTACAAAAAGGGTATTGAAAAGGTGCCCCCGAAACTTTTGGTAACATACAAACTTGCATGAAAGCTCACCGGGACAAAACTCAATGAGTCAATGACTTTTCGGTGTCGTTCGTTGATGCGCAACGCGGTCCCGTTGTCATTAGCAGCGACACCATCACCATCACCAACACCAACACCAATACCAATACCATTACCTAACCACCACGGAGACCGTCACGCTCACAAATGCAAGTCACACACACAGACAAACTCAAATACTGGAGATAGAGGAGGACTCATGAATATGGTTACTGTTGCTTGTTGTTTGCCGGTTCGTGTTGGGTGTTTGGTGTTCCATTGGTTGTTGCTGTGGGAAATGCTACCGGGTACGAAATAAATTTGGCAGGCAAACACGTTTTGGCTTATGTTTTATTGTTGTTGCCTTTGTTGTGGCTGCGGCTGCAGCGGCAACTGTCCTTGGCACGCCTAATGTGGGCCAAAACCAGACCATACGCCCATCCTCTTCGCGGCTTTTTACGCATTCACGCGTCCCAAAAACAAGAAATTGGCCAGCGCTGAATGTCCACAAAAAATCCGTGCACTGGGATTTGGATACAATTTGGTAATAAGCATTGCAGTATTTTCTAAAAACTAACACATCTAATTAAAATAATTGTGGGGTTTGCCCGTAAGTTAGTTGTAGTTTAAATTTGTGTTTTACAAAAGCTATATCAGCATGGAAATATTTTTGTAAATTTAGAGAAGAGTTATTCAAACTTTCATAAAAATTCTAACAAAAACAAGAGCTATAGTAATTGTCATTTAATAAAACAAAAAAAGGTTTTTATTATGAATTTTAATAAAAAAAATATATTTATTTTTAGAGTTAATAGTATGAATAACTTTTTGCTGCCAGGAACACAAAGTTGGAACTTAGTAAATAATTCTTTTTATAACTATAAATGGATTTACCTTACAGATTTTCTCCAAGTGTTGACTCTTCGAAAACGAACGTTTTTAGACAAAATATTATGAATCTTGGCAGCTGGCTGAATGCGATGTTGTGGTGGCTTTTTTTGTTTTACTTGCAAAAGTAAACAATCGGCCTTGTTGGCCATAATTTCCCCTGGTGCTCATTAGCAGAAATGGCCAAAAAGTAGACAACATTTATGCGGTGGCAGGAAGGGACTTAAGTGTGAAATTACTTTGCATAATGCCAAGTAAAATTATGCAAGCAAATATTGAATCCATTAGCTCGGCTGCCAGTTACCAAATTGCGTAATTAATTGAAAGCAAAATTTATGAGATGCCCATTAATTGAAAGTAAACGAGATTGTTAACCCATTCCGAGATAAAGATGAAAAAGTCATCAACGTTCCGGAGTTCATGTTGCCTAATCTATGCCAACGAAGACGGAGCTGGTCGAATAATTGAAACATTGAGCTAGGCACTCACGCATGAGGCTGCACAACCACCCAACCACCCAACTAGCTAACCAACCACCCACTGCCACCCATTTTTATGCCAATTTCCCACCCAACTGGTCCAGTGTAAACACAGCTGTTCGAAGGCGCTCGCAAAAATTATCGTGCCTAACCACAGACAACAAACGGTGGTGCGCATGCGCGGTGAGCACCACATTGCGGGGCTGCCAACTGCACCACTGAAAAGGGAATATACTTGGAGAGGAGCCACCAAAGAGCTGGTGGTTGCCGCATCCGGCAGTTGCTGTTCGAGGCTCGAAGGATACGCACGGCTCTGGCGGACGACGGAAATGGTTGGTTAGAAAAAATGCATCGGGACTGAGTGCGAAAGTGAGTGCCGTGTGGTGAGTTTTCCACCGAAGAGAGTCCGAAGAGTCCGGAAGAGAGAGCGCCTACGGTTTAAGGAGTAAGAGCTCCTAACTTGGCCAACAAAGTTCGGCTACCGGCGCAGTCAATTCGAGTCCTTGCTGGCAGTCGGTTGTCCTGGCGGGAGTGCAACATTTCGTGTAGGAGAGTGTGTGTGCCGGGCCATGCAGTCCCCCAAAACATAACAAAACACCAAATCATCTAATCACCAAATCACCAAAGTGAATCAAAAAAGGTCGACAAAAGATACAAATGTGCCAAAAAAAAGAGAGATAAAGATGAGAAAAGTGTCAAGTGTCTGAAGAAATGTAAAACCGCTCAAGAGTGAAAGCCAAAATCAAAATTGTACAAGTCACTGCCCACGGAAAATCCTGAAAGAAAGAAAAGCTCAGCTGACAAAACCCCAGCAAAACAACACAATCAAATCCAAAAATTCAAATTCAAATTCAAGCCAGAATCAAAACAGAAGCCGGAAAACATGTGGATTAGTAGCCGCCTCTTTGTGATTTTCCTGCTGCTCCATCTCGGTAGGTTCCCTCAACCTTCAGCCATTCAACCTTCAACTTCAACTTCGCTTCGGGGAAAACTCTTAAGCCGAGGCTGCCGGCATTTTAGGCGCATCTTCTTGGGTTTTCCTAAGTCGTGCGGCACGCGCCGCAAAGTATGCTTAGTGCTTTTCTGTTTTTCCACCGGCTGTGCGTGTGATTTTCCCAGCCATAAGTCCCAACAGCTGTCGGCGTGTTTTCCTTTCCCTCTTTTTTTCGATCTCGGTTTACGCCTCCGAAACGGAACTTATTATTAAGTCTTGCGAGTAAAACAAAAGGATTTTGGGCTTTTGTGGGATATTCATGCCGGCTTAGGAGCGCAAAAAAAGAAGAAAAAAAGCGGCAGAGGAATTATCTCCAGTCGGTCCAATTACTCACTTTATTATCATTCAAAGCGGAATCTTCAGTGCCGCATTGAGACCTGAATTTATGGAGATTCATACGGGCGAGGAGGTGCCATAATTTATGATATATTCGAGTGTCTTTCGCCCAGAACTAAGTGCAAATGACTTGGTCGCTTTATGGAGCAGCCAAGACCATAGACCATAAAATTGCCAGCAAAACTAAAGCCCAAATGCCCCTACATAATATGAAATTGCCTTATGATAAAAACCAGGCGTCAATTTATGCCACACAAACGACTATCCCATCTCTTCGTTAAATGTGTATACACAGGGAGAAAATCTTAGAAAAGAAGGAACATTCTAAAAAACTGTTTTTGAATGATATTCCCTAAATAATTTGTAATATTTCTTTTTTTTACGTGCTTCGAAAGAAATGAAAGTGTTGCCAGATATTTTGTTTACCTTCTTAACAAATTTTAAGAAATATTAATATAATAATTGAAAAAACCAGAATACAATTGTTGGCTTTATTTTTATAATTTACAATACAAAAAAGTGCAAAATTTACATCTTAGAAAAATTACCATAAAAATCAGGCTAAATAATCATTTTACAAATGAATTCCATTTTATTTTGAAGATAAAAATGTTAACATCGAACATTATTAAAATCGTTACAATCATTATATTAACGTAATGCCAAATTAAATGGTCCTCAAATTTAATTTTAAGCCTGGAAATCAAATCAAGATTTTTTTAAAACATTTTTTTTCTGTGCATATATAAAAGTGTGTGCAGGACGGCCTAATGAAATGTGTCAGGAGCAGAGCACTTGATCGACCCACACCGCCCTTTTCATATTCGTGATGCTATTTGGGCGGGGGAAAACCTCTTTTGGAAATTTGATATTTTCCAATTTTCATTGCCTAGCTCTGGCATTCGATGGGAACTGGCTTACATGTCTATTCGCTAGCCAGAAAAAAAAAGGAAAAAAAAAATTATCAAAATGCCGCACAGATATTTCATGTTCCCTACTCACCCACAAACATATATATTCGCACCCTCGGCCAAACTCGGAGCAAATGAAAAATATGCAAATGAAATTGTTGCTCAATGTATAAGCGCACACACTTTTTGCTCTGGGGTTGCGAGAGATGGTGTTGTTATTCCATTTCCATGCAGATAAACATAAAATATAATACGTTATATAAAATCAGCAGCACCGAAAAGAACAACAACAAGAACGCCACAAATCCGATTAGAGGCGAGTTGGAAAAAAGGTTCGGAGGAGATTGTGACGGGGAAATTATGAAAAATTATGGCCAGAGCAAAAGTTTCCAGCTCACTATGATTGATTATGTTTTAAACCGTTTATGACAAACGCTTTAATTTGTTGTAGGATTAATGAAGTGTAAGGGATAAAGTTTAAATTAAATGTTCACCAGATGGCAATCCAACTTCATATGGCTAAATTGATGGAAAACCTGAGGTTCTGTAGCTGGCATAATTAATGACATAATATACCTAATTTAAGTTTGTTGACCACTGCTCATTAGAAAATAGCACTGAAAAATTAATCAAAATATTTTTTTTATGATGAAACCTTTCTTGCCTTACTTTTAACTTTTTAAAGAGTTTTTAAACATTTTTATATATTTAAAAAACTAATTTAAAGTTTTTTTTGTATTAGATAGTGTCTTTTAAAAAAGTAAAAACCGGCTACCAAATAATTTTGCAACTTTGAATTTAATTTTAGCAAAGTTGTGGCTTGTTCGTCATCAAGCAAAAAGTTTATAAGAAGAATGAACATAATTAAAAATATAATTTCAATAAATTTGCAATAAAATTGTTTGATCAGTAACTTAAAAAATTTTGTAACAGTTGTAATATTTACTAAAATCATGACTTATATTTTAAAATTAAGTTATCAATAAATAAACAAAAACTTTGCTTTTAAAAAAATAAAGTGGTTCAGATTTTCGAAAAATTTTCCACGTTCTCTCAATGTATTCCGTTTTCCTTCTTGCTCTATTTTGCAAAACAATTCACCCAAGAAGAAAGATTTCGAACGTCTTATTGGACCCACTCCAGCTGAATCCTGTGTGCACTTTGAGCCAACTGGAGCACATCTTACTAGAACTTTGGCCAGGACCAAGACAGCAACAAAATCAAGTTATTTACAATTATTATTCGTTTCGTGGCTGTTGTTGTTGGGCTGCGCGTTGGTCTGTAAACGTTTTAACTTCTTTCAAGTTTTTCCTTTTATTTTCTTTCTTTTCGGCCAAGCAATATTGAGTCGATATCTTTGGGTGTTTGGGTCACGCCTTCCTGCCGCTTGTTCTTCCGCATAAAAATTGAATTTCCTGTATTTTTCGAGCTGATTGCTTACAAGTTTCGTCCTCCATTTCCGGTGGCAGAGGCCCTGGGAATTTCTGTGGTCTTAAAGTCTATCAAATATATATACGTAGACATATTTTTTTTTTGTGGCTTTAATGTGTGTGACTTGGCTTGTTCCTGGATCGTGGGCCATTAGAAATATTACCACTGCATTGCCGGGCGGGCGAATGCAGACACACTGCTGCCACAGAACATGCATCACACCCGCTTGCCTCGCCTGGAGGCAACGAAATAATTTCGAAAAGTGCCAAAAGGGCATAATCCAAACAGAGGAAAAAAATTCGAAGAGCAGGGCACAAAAAAAAAAGGAATAAAGAACATACACACACACAGAAAATAATGTCTGGAGAAGCTTGGCAAAGTAACCCCTCAAGACTCGCACAAGTGGATGGGAAACACATTCGGAGTGAAAGGAGTGAAATGTACGACACAAAACGAGCGGAAATGCTAGCCAAAGAGCAGCGGGATGAGGGGGGCGGGCGGTACAAGGGAAAAGGGGGGCGGGGCAGGGGCCGGAGGGCAGTTGCACATGGATACGCAGAGCCAGAGTTCCATGACTGCTGCTGCTGGCTGCTGCTGCAGGTATCACAGCAAAACCGAGCTGGGAAAACAATTTGGAAAAGAAATTTGTGGCAAATGGAGACAGACCAAATGCGCTTTTGCATTGGCCAAAGAATGCTGTCTGAACTGATTGGGGAACACTCAATTGTATCGACATGAAGGTGATGGAATTGCTTTCTACTATGTAAATACACAGATAAAAGCATTGCCAAATTACCACATTGGCATTTCGTTTGCAAGTATAATTGATTATTGAGTTTTCGATCAATGAAACGTTTTGCATTTGTTTAGGGAAGCCATTAATCCACAAAATGCTTAAATAAAAATAAAAGTTTGGAACAATTATAGATAAATGGATAATTTGTCAGAAGTATATAAAACTAAATGAAATTTTATTTGAGCATATAATAAGTTTATTCTCGAATTGGTTATATAGTTAATATTCTCAATTATATCTGATTAAAATATTTTGTGGTTTTCATATGTGTTTAAAATTTTCTCGAAAAATTCAACTATCAAAAAGAGTTTGATTTTTGCATTTGTCTTTGGGATTATTCGAATAGGCCGCATAGAAAGTCGAGCAGGAAACAAAAAAAAGATTTCGAGTAGGAACAAAGCTCACCCACACATGCATACATGCAGGACGTTCAGGAAGAACACACGCACAGGAAAACGGAGAGGGTGGACTTTTTGTTTTCGCAGGAAAGAATAAAACCCCTACAAGTGGATGTACAATATACACATACTTACTCACATGGACCCAACCGCATACACATACATACATACATATAGTACACACTCACATGGGATCCTGCTCTAAGGCACAAGGCTCGTAAAACATACCCTTTCTACCGAAAAGCTGAAAAAAATGAGAAACGAGTGCCAAGCATACTCAAGACATACTTGCAATAATTTTATGGCCTGCCAGAGGCCTCGTCTTTATCCACGTCCTGGACCAGGAGCTATGATTACACACAGGAAAATAAATTGGGTATAGATTCCTTAATGATTTTATGCATTAATTAATTAAAAATTGTACGCTTTGCGAAATATTTCCTTAAAATGCGGTAAAGTTCGGTATTAAATGTACGATCATTTGTGCTACGAATGCTATGAATCTATAATTGGATACCGAAACAAAAAAATTATTCAAAAAATTGATTAAGAATTTTTCGGAGGTTAAAACGGGTATAAATTTTAAATATATATTTGTGTTGGTAATTAGTTTATTTATCACTGCTAAATGTCGTAGTTTTCCAAACTCTACGTTGTGATAAAATCAAAAACTTATACCGAAATTTGATACCAATTATTGGGCATTTCTCTCGGTGGCATTCGAGTCGTTAGAGGAGCAATGGAGAGCCATGAAATCAGCGGGGAAAAGCGAAATGGAACCATCTCGGTGAAAAAGGCGATGAGACAGACGGAGACGAAACCAGAAAGCAGTTACATAAAAATCCATGCTGTCGAGCATAAAACAAAAAGCGCCTGGCCAGGAACAACAAAAAGTGTACAAAAGCAAAAAGAACAAAACACAGAAAGGCAAAATAGGGAAAGCAAAAAAAAAAGGGAAAAGGGAGAAAAAAACAACAAAACCAACAAAAAACAACTCTAATTGCAGACACAATGACTCGTGGGGGCGGGGAAATCGGGAGGGAGGGTCCGGGAGAATCCTGGCCAGGACGAATCCTGGAGATTGAACGAGAACGAGTTGCAAGGATTTGCACAGCGCCGCAGGGAAAGATGCCCGCTTCGGTGGCAGACAGACAGACAGACAGCCGAGGCGCATTCATGTGGAATATGAAGCGAAATGTCAATTTGAAGAAATACTATATACATATATATTGTATATATAGATATATACATATATATATTTACCCCCGCCCACTCTGCATATATGTATTTGGGTCTGGGGGCCACAGGGAACAAGACCCCCCGACTAAAGACGAAATTGTTATTCTAATTTGGGATAAGGCTAAATCTGTTTGCTCGCGAAAGGACTTCTCTGATGAAACGCAAACGGGTTTCGAAGGCGACAATGGTTTGGGTTTTTTTTTATAAAAAATGTAAATGCTTATTAAAGTGCAAAAAGGTCTTAAGGGATTTGCGCACCCAAGAAGGCCAGCGGCCCTTTATGAATTTTTGATATCTCTCTGGGATTATTGCTTTTGTTTATGGCAGCTCCCAATTTTAATATACGGTTGCTGAGCTTTTTTCTGCATTTTTATGCGGCCTGTAAATGATGTATGGGCCAGTAAAAGGTTTTATGATCATAAATGCATAATATTTGAAAGAAATTCTAAAGCAGCAATTGCTCCATTTTTTTCTCTAATCGTTTTTGTTTGGAGGAGATTTTTTCATTGATTTCAATGCTCGTGAATAGCTCTTTTTTTATTTAGGATACCATTTCCGCAACTACTTTATTTTTTCCCTAATATTTTGCATTTAAAATTTTTTTCAAAATCAAAATATGATTTTTTAGTTCACCAATAACCAAACTGTAGCACAAGTGATAAATGAATATTAAGTTTAAAATAGAATAAGTTTCTATAAGCTCAAAAATACAATTATAAATGCATAAGCTTGGAATTAAATTTTTAGTAAAAAGTGCTTCGTAAACGGAAAAAGAGAGGAAAACATTTGTAAACGTAAAACTAAAACATCATCAATATAATAAAAAGAAAATATCAAATAAAAACAAAAATTGATATATGTTGTATTTTTATAAGAACCAAAAGATGTTTTTAACAAAATTAAAATTTGCTGTTTTTTGTTCGTTTATAGTTGGATATTATCAATCATTAAAAAATTCTTAATAAAACCATATTCTTTTGTATATTTCATACCTTTTTTTTTATGCATACTTTTTATAGTCAAGAAAAATCTAGTTTATTAATTTTCCAAAAGTTAATTTATAGACAACGAATAATATTGATTTCTAATTATATTTTTATCGATTCCAGACACCACCTGCAGTGAACCGTTCGAGGCGCACCTCCGCGGACCGGGATTTGTGATGGAACCGCCTGGTCGGGTGGAGTTCTCCAATTCCTCGGGCGGTTGGCTGGACTGCTCGGCCTCCGGAAGTCCGCAGCCCACGGTGGATTGGGTGCACGCGGACGGTTCGGCGGTGACCGAGATCCACGGGGTGCGAAGGGTCCTCCGAAACGGAACCCTCGTCCTGATGCCCTTCGCTGCGGCGGCCTATCATCAGGATGTGCACAACACGATCTATCGGTGCATCGCCAGCAATTCCGTGGGTCGCATTGTCTCGCGGGACGTTCAAGTGAGGGCGGGTGAGTAGCTAAAAAAGAACCTCAAATATTAGCACAATTAAATGTATATTATATATATTTATTCAGTGGTGGCCCAGGCCTACAAGGTAGACGTGGAGGTGCTCTCGGCGGCCAGGGGCTGCACCGCCATTCTGCGCTGCGTGGTGCCCACGTTCGTCAAGGAATTGGTGCGAGTGGTCTCGTGGGTTCATGAACCCGCTATCTACATCTATCCCTCGTTGCAAGGCGGTAAGTTTGCCCGCCGGCGGCTCTGTCATCGTCCTTCTGCCCCCGAAAACCGAAAGGAAACGACGCGCAGCTCAGTTCTCAACTCAACTTGGGGCTCAGTCTGCATCCTTGTCCCTGTGAAAAGCCAACAAAGTGCATTGTTTGTTTGCAGTATTTGCCTCACATGTTTGCCTGCTTAACTGCCATTTTCATACCCACCACCTGCTCTCCGGCCCTCTTGGTCCTTTGGTGCATAATTAACATTGTCCTTTAGCAATTTGAGACGAGCCTTTGGCTTGCCTTAACCCACTCCCCCAAAAGAGTGACGGTGCCACTCCTGGTTGTCTATATTACAAAGACGCTTTTCCTTTTCCCTCTTTTCTCTTTCGCAAATTCGTTATTTCTGGCCGGCTTTTGTGGCGGGTAAACTATTCGGAAAGGTCAAGAGTGTCTGGCGGAAGATCTAAATCAGAATCATGCGACAGAATAGGGGCATCCATCTTGATAAATCCTGTCAGCAGGAATTGCCTTTTGAAACTCTGCTCTTCAGTTTTTTATTCGTTCTATTCACTTTAATTTTCTTTATTTCTTATATTTTTTATTGATATAGTATGTTGTAATTCTGCAGACTTAAACAATTTTTAATAAAAAGCTCGTTAATTTCTCTTTACATCCGCAGAAAACAATATAGTATTTATAAAAAAAATCAGGGAACAAAAGTATTTTTTTTTTATTTAAAAGAGGAAACACATTGAATTTCTGTTATTGCCTTTTTATTTATTTTATTTATTTTTTCTTAGTTTGAATAAGTTTAAAATCATCAATGATGGAAGTTCTTTATTGAATTTTAAATCTGAATAGCGGATCAATGTATTCAGGATTAGTTTTTATTCATGATATAGTAAAGTATATTAAGTCAAGTTTAGGTTCCTAACTTTTTCTCTTCCTTCCCAATTATGAATGAAAAATTCCCTGTCAGGTTTTTAAAGTGGTTTTGAGGCAACTCCTCTTCCTTGTGCAGTGGATTTATCACCTTTTTCCTTCTTCATCTTCCTCAGATGGAAAATTCCACTTGCTGCCCACCGGCGAGCTGCTCATCCACAATCTGCAGGAGAGCGACGAGTCGCAGTCGTTCCGCTGCCGCAGCATGCACCGCCTCACCCGCCAGGTGGTCGTCAGTTCGCCCACCCGACTGCGTATTAATTGTGAGTATACCCAGACCCCAAAACCCAGAACCGAAAACCCGAAAACCGAAGGACCAAACCCAAAGCGAACCGAATGGGACCGCACCAATGTCGCATATACCATATATCTCCATCATCATCTCTATCATCTCTCGCCGCAGCGCATCGCGGCATCATTTCGCCGAGCGTGGTCGAGCACACGGCTCATGTGCAGGTGTCGCAGGACGAGGGCGCGGTGCTCCTGTGCGTCGCCCAGGGATGTCCTTCGCCCGAATACAGGTGTGTATAGTTGCCGCAAATCGATGGCATCCACCCAGGGGACTTCCCCCATCCTCTATCCCCCATCCCCCCATCCTTTATCCTTTATCCCCTTTCCACGAGTCAGTCACTCATTCGGTCGCTGAGAGCTTTAGCACACATTTCTGGCGAAACTTTTGACGTTGACAGGTCCTGCCCGCACAAACACTATCACACCGAGCTATTAGTTATTAGTGCACTGGGGGAAACTAAAGGATGTTGGGTTGAGGAAAACATTGATTTGACAGGTCTTCTCTCGGGAATTGCTATATACCTTGACCCAATAAAAAATACTTGTTTCCCGATTTTTTTAATCAGAGAAAACAAAATTAATATTAAAATATAAGTGTGCAGATTATTTAACGTTCCATTCCTTAAAATAATAAGAATTTTCAAGAATTGTAAAGAAGAGTTCAGTACGTCTTTTTTATTAAATGGGGTAATTTTCTTTTTTATTTTTCTCAAATGGGTTCTAGATAAAAACCGAAGATTTTTTTTATATTCGCTTAACATGAATCACATTTAGTTCAAGAAGAAATTATTTTCTTTAATTGAAAATACAAAATACCGACTTTTGTGTATTATATAAAGGATGTAGCTTCTATATTTAAATCTCTTCTTTTAAATTAAAAACTTTAAGTAATTTCCCCCCGTGCAGCGCCAGTCATGCAACGCTGGTGGTGTGAGTTAATTGGAACGCATACATCTATAAAATGTGCGGCCAGGGCATTTAGTTTGCCAGCCAAATAAATAAACAACCGCTCAAGGGGTCAAAGGCAAAGGCAAAAACAGAGGAGAAGATGAGGAGTGAGGGGGGTGAAGTCGGTGAGCTGACGTGCACATTATTTTGTAAAATGTGTCTAAAGAGTTGGCAACGTGTTGCCTTAATTGAAATGTGAGCTAAAAGCGTTAGTTAACTTTCTCGACAGCCGACGGGTCGTATGCGTTATGCAGCGTAACGTACACCCTTTCAACGCTTTGGAAAAACAATGGCCTAGGACCCGGGTAATGATGAGTGTATATAATATATGTAGTAGGGATAGGGAAAGTCTGCTGCCACATCGAACCCACTGACAGCGTGTATGTGGCCATAATGACGCTTTGATAAGCAGACAAGTAATGCAAGATCTGATGGGTTTTTACAGGGGGAAAGGAAGGACGAGGACGACAATGTCAGACTGCTGACGGAAAACAAAAGAATCTATAAGCTGCGGGATGGTCGGGTGCTCATATAGATAGATTGCCGTGCCATGGGGAAAAACTTGTAGCCATTTCATAATTAATACAGCACAGCGGGACGAGGTCCTGCGAGAAGAGGGATAATGAGCGAGGCAAAGGATTAATGCAACATTAAACAAAGGCATCCCCCACAAACACAGACAGACGGGGATGAGCGATAAAGGATAAAGAATGCCAAAGGTAGTCGCTCCTTCAGGCCTTGAACTTCGCTCGCTTAACTGATAGTTCCATCGAAAATACCCTTTCATTACTCTGCCAAACTGTGACAGCCATCGGATGCTAGATTTGCTGAGGAAAAACCAGCTGCTCTGTGATAAATGGGATACAGCTGCCCAGAAGCTGAACTCCATTAATTAAAGTCATTCCGAAAAAGGCAGCCATGCTTGAATTACAGAGCTGAGGTTTTAATTATGAATGTGAGCAGGGAAAAAATTCGGATTTTTCGTTCTTTAATATTGTAACTTACAGAAGGTTGTTTAAAAATATTTAAAAATTTTTTTAAGTTGGTTTAATTTAACGGGTTTGAGATTCGAAGTTTTACAAGCAGGACTTTGAGTTATCCGGTTTTTTTAGATTAAAAAAAATTCTACTTGCTCTTTTTACTAAAAAAAATAATATTATTACATGTACTTTTTTTGTCCAATAAAAAATCATTGTTTAGCGAAATAATTTTTTTCCCCTACAAATGCGAACAAATGAGTAAACTTGTAGTTGTGGCACCGAGAGTATTTCTATTGATTTTTCAATTCAAAATTAAATTTTGCTGCGGAACGAATATTTCCCAGACTGCATTGAACAATGGAATAGATTGCAATAACCACAGCTCCCTGCTGTTTTCTCTTTTTAAAATTTCGAATTGAAAAACGCGATTAATGGAGTCGATTTACAATAGTCTGATCCACATAAATCTTCGACTTTTCCATCCCCTTCATGCAGTTGGTACACCCACAATGGAGCTGGACCTCTGCCCGTGCTGAGTGGTCCTCGTGTCCGGCTGCTCGGCCCCATCCTGGCCATCGAGGCCGTAACCGGCGAGGATTCCGGCGTCTACAAGTGCACGGCCGGCAATGTGGGCGGCGAGGCGAGTGCCGAACTCCGTTTAACAGTGGCCACGCCCATCCAAGTGGAAATCTCACCGAATGTCCTCAGTGTTCACATGGGCGGCACCGCGGAGTTCCGCTGCCTGGTCACCAGCAACGGCAGCCCGGTGGGCATGCAGAACATCCTGTGGTACAAGGACGGGCGCCAGCTGCCCTCCTCGGGCCGCGTCGAGGACACGCTGGTGGTGCCGCGGGTGAGCCGCGAGAACCGCGGAATGTACCAGTGCGTGGTGCGGCGGCCCGAGGGCGATACGTTCCAGGCCACCGCCGAGCTCCAACTGGGAGGTGAGTTTAAACATAGTGAAAACGGTAGAGGAAAAACTAAAGTTCTAGAGGGATTTTAAAGACACCTTTAGGCCTCTTTTAAAATTTAATTTATATAATATCTAAAACAAAAATTTATTTCATTTTTAATAAATTTATTTCATTAATAACCATAAGATACTAATATTTATTTTTTTTTAAAATATTATTAAACTAAAATTGATATAAAGCTAAATGCTTGATTTTTTTAAATTTATTTAATACTTTACAATTCATGCGAAAATTTGGCAAATAATTCTGTTAAGATACCCTAAAAATATTTATTGAAGGCATCTTCTAAAGTAACTATTTTAATTTTTAGCCCACATTATTAAAAATTTATCATAATATGAATTTGAATAATTAACTTTATAAAATTAATTAATTTAAAAATTGAATTAAGTTATTAAGGGCCTCCACTTTTGTAAAGGTATAGTTTTCTTTCCAACTGATTTAAAAAATTGAATTTTTTTTTTAAATTTTCATAATAATTATGACAATCGACTTTATATCATAAACTTTTATTTTCAGAAAGTATAGAAGTTTAGTAAGCATTTAAATATTTTTTTTTGTAAATCTTTTTCCCCCGTTTGGAGTTCTTTGATTTTTGCGGAGGGCATAATGCCCCCCGTGAATGCGACTAGCTTATGTTTAAAATATTAATGTGACCTCCTGCCACCGCTCTCTCTGTCTCTCTCTCTCTCTCTTTCTGCTCCACAGATGCGCCGCCCGTGCTGCTCTACAGCTTCATCGAGCAGACTTTGCAACCGGGACCAGCTGTGAGCCTCAAGTGCTCCGCTGCCGGCAATCCTACGCCGCAAATTTCATGGACACTGGACGGATTTCCGCTGCCATCAAACGGAAGGTAATTGAACTTGTTGAAAGCGGGGCTGAAAGGGGGGTGCAAATAGGGGGCCTGAAAAGGGGAGTTGGGAGGTAGAAAGGGGGAAGGGGGAGGGGGCTTGGCAATGGCAGAGGCGGCACTGCGGGCGCCCTGCAAAAATTTATCTCAACTGCGGCTCCCGACTGTGGCTGCGGTTGCATTTATTGCACTCGTTTTGTATATGTGTGTGTGTATTATGTGTGTGTGTGTGAGTTTGTGTTTCTTCTGCCTTTTTTCCCCCGTTGGCTTTCTTTTTTTTTGCGCTTTCCTTTCAAAAACATTGCCGCACGAATATATAGAAAAACATATACATATATAGAAAGTGGCTGCCGACTGCCGCGCCTACAAAGGTGGGTGGTTTGGGGGGCGGCCTCGTCTGCTCCAGCGTTCATTCACTCCTGGTTTTTCTGCGACTGTAAATGTATCTGTATCTGAGTCCGCAGCCGCAGCCGTACGTGTATCTGAATCTGCTTCTGTATTTGTGTGTGGAGTCTGGCCCAAGGTTTCGACTTTGCCTTTCTATTTGTTAATTAAGCAACGGTCGTCGGTCGGCCAAACCGGCAGTAGCCTTACGCATTTAATTGCATTTTTAGCTGGCCCGTTGCCAACTAAATTGAATCGGCAGGCAGGCAGGCAGCTCTTTAATGACATTGACATTTGCATTGGCCGAATAAAATCGAGCAGATCGCTTCAAATTGAATCCAGACTCCGCAAACACTCGGTTTGCTGGCACCACTGCTGCTAGCAAATAAAATGCAACAGCGAATCGATTGATTGGCAATTCGGTATGCGACATTGTCAGCGGCATTCGTTTGAATTTTATCTTACTCTCTTACCTGCCGGGGAATCCTTTTTCTTTTTTATTGATTTTTTTTGGGTTGGTTGGGGCAGTCCTGGTTCATTTGCAGTTCGTTGGCAGCTGCCACTAATTGTTTGAGTTACGTCTGTAATGATTTGCAAGTCAAAGTTTTCGCCCGCCCACTGTTGACTTCTGTTGTTGATTAAAAATACCATCACCATCCTGGAAATCAGCAGCTTTTTATTTGCCCTCGCTTTTCGGTTTTTGCTGCTGTGATGCTCAGTGATGCAGACCAGCGCAGAATAAAATGCTGCAAATAGAAACTAAGGCAGCCGTGTCCTGATTGTTGTCCTTCGTCGCCCAGCTGTGCAATATTTTAATTAAAACTTATGCAATATGTCGAGAGTGGGAGATAAGATTTTATGAACTTGATGGGATACCCTATCCTTTTATTTTGTAGCTTTAGTAAAATAAAAAAAAAATTGTGTACTGAATTTGAAAAATATTGTGTTAAAATACATGCAATGATGTTTTAATTTATTTTTATTTTCTAATTTTTTTAATTTCTTTAAGAAAAGGGTAAAACAGTATAAATTTCATTTAAATAAATCTATGAACATATTTTTATTCTCACCAAAAATTATTTTATGCCTCCTTTAAAAACAAAAATTTTAGGGTAAAATATTTTGCTTCGTCTTCTTCTTAAAAAGTTAATTTAACTCAAACATATGTTTCAAAAACCCTTAAAAATGTTTTTTTGGACTAAAGTCTCTACATTCTAAAATAAATTGTATTTTTGTAGTTCCCACACATTTATATTTGTAAGCTTTTATTTAAAGACCTTATATACAATGCAAACTAAAAGACCTCAACCTCCATTAGTCTTAAGCCATTTAAAAGTTCATAAAAATATGACTGGATTTTATACATGCAAAGCACTTGAAGCTGCAACTTGAGGGCATCGTCATGAATTTGCTTCGCTCAAGTGGTCATCCTTTCTGGGTCCTTCAGTCTTGACCATTCCATCCATCCATCCATTTCACTGGAGGATGAGGGCAAGAGCAGGAAGATGGAAGATGGCTTGACCACAAGGCAAAATTGATTACGAAAAATTTGTGTGTTGTATGCGGTCGGTGCGAAAATTTGCTTTCGGAAAAGTTGTTGCGGACATGCAGACGCCGTTGGCCTTAATTTAAAAGTTATCTGAGCAACACAATTTTGACACATAATACCCGCAGGCATTATCCTGGCGTCGTTGGCAACCTAATTTGCCAGCCGGCAACATCCTTCGCAATGCTGCACAAATTCTCCTGTGCTGTTTGCGTTGTTATTGCTGAGTTTTAAGTGGTTTACATTATTCGGTTTAAAGGTATATCAACTTGGTAAGTGTATTTATTTAATACACAGACACACCATCACACACACACACACTCACACCGGTCGGAGTGGCAGACAGACTGGCAAACAGGCAAGTTGTTGGAAAAGTGGGAGGGGAAAATGGAGGGGAAAATGGGTGGAAAACCTGGGGGGAGGGGAGGCTGACGCCTTCGGGCGGAAATTAAATGATTGCGCGCACGAGGTAACGCAACACTCAAACGCTCATTTTACGCCATTTTCAAAAGTTTGTCTGCAACGGTGCCAGAAACTCAGGCCCACGCCGTCGAGGAGACGCCTTCCTCCTCCTCCTCCTCCTCCTCTGGTTTTCCCCGGCATTTCCCCTCAGCAGTTTCCCTCCCCCTCCGCTTTTCCTGTGGAGCTGCCAAGACGTCGACGGAGGCGTGTGTGCGTGATGCGTTTGTCTACAACTGCAGGCGTTATGGAAATGTGTGTAATTTTGGCCTAAATGAGAAAACGCTTAAGCTGCACGAAGGAGCGTTTTTAAGCAAGATAATGCCATGTGAATTAGAGTAGACCCTGTTTGTCTGTAGATTTTTGGGTCGTATTTTCACTGAATCACGTAACAGGTGAAGTCCCCTGTAAATTTCACAATAAATCTCCACCACAAATGGGTAAACTTTTGATTAATTTTTCTTTGGTTTAAAAGTTTGCTTTAAGCAATTGAGATCTTTATGAATTGTAAGATATTAGGTTAAGATCATAAAGGGTTTAAAAACTGGGGATTCCAAACTAAAAAAAAACAATCAAATTATCTTAAGAAAAGTATGTTGCGTTAATCCAAATCCAAAACTTTTAATGAATATAATTATAATCAACGTACCTTATCATTTTAAAGGTTTTAAAATTGTTTCCTTTTTTCGAAGCTGCTCCAAGTATTTAATTAATCCCATAACACATAATTTGACTATAATAATTTTCAATATAACTCATAAAAGTCCACCCATTTACGGATACCCAAGCTCATAATCTGAACCTGCAAACTAACCTGATTGGGCTCCAAGTGCAAACTTGATTCGCGAAAATTGAAATTCATATTTTTCCGTAAACTTTGCGCCACGAAACTTTCCGCCTGAGCCTCTAAGTTGTGCCACAAACTGCAAGTGGCACCTCTTGAATTTCTTGTTCCTGCTTCCTTTTTCGGCTGGCTGGCTGGTTGGCTTGCTGGTTGGAATTAAGCCACCCACTGAGCCGGGCACTCACTCTGCAATCAGCTAAAACAGCACACAAAAGCCGCGCCAAGCTATTAGGTTTATATTGTTGCGACCAAAGCGTTTTACGCTCCACACACACTGCCAAACACACACACACTCTCACAGAAACACACTTACACACACGCGCAGTTAAACTTCTGCAATGCCGTTTAAGCCGGCGTTATGTGGATGCGGATGCGGACAAGTGGGGTATGCGGATGCGGATGCGGATGCGAGTGCGGATGTGTGCGACTTTGTTGCAATTTTGTCCTCGCCATTGTTTCAACGCGCTCAAGTGCTGCAGTCCACGAGTCTGAGTGTCTCCCTCTTCGTCCTTCCTCCTTCCGCTGCCTCAGCTTCATTTTCATTTAACTACAGTTACAGTTGCTGTGCTGTTTTTACAGGCCTGGGCACACTCCATAAAGATTTTTCGGCTTGACTTGGCCACTCTTTCTGGGGAAATCAGCGTTTGCCGGCCGGGCTTATGCATTCATAAGCCCCACGATTCCCCTTCACTTTCCCCTCACATTTTTTTCCCTCACTTTTCGAGCCACCGGATGCGGTTGCTGCAAAAGTTAATTAAAATTGTAATTACTTTGCCTTCGCCCATTATTGTTCCGGCTCCGGCTCCGGCTCCATCTACATCTCCAACTCCAACTCTGGTTTCCAACTGCGGCCGTAATGCCAATTGAAAAGTTGCCACCGAGCCGGGCCACAAACTAATGAGCCGGCGGGTGCTAGCTTGCTGGCTTTCTGGCTTAGATGGCAATCCCCCGGTCATATAAGATGCCGCTGAAGCCGATTGTTCGAGTGCCACATGGCGTATGCGTAACAATGTTGCCTGTAATTAATGTCTGTGCCAATAAGGCGAGGCGAGGCAAACAAAAGGAACAAACGCAGAACTTAATGCCGACTTGAGCGCCTCCTGAAATCCTTTTTTCCTTTCATTATTTGAGCTCAGCCATTAAGTGGAAGTTGTGTTTGTGTGCGTGTGGCTGTTTCTCTGTGTAAGTGTGTGTGGAAATATTCGTGGGCGTGGCACATGACATTGACAGCAATATGGAAACTATGCTAAGCCCCGACAGCTCCGACTGACAGCCTTCATTACGACTAAATATGGCAGAGAAATACGAAAGAAAAAAATGCGAAAAATACGAGTAAATGCGAAAAACTAGCGCAGAAATACGACAAAAACAAAATGAAGCCTACAGCCAAAAGGGATTTGGGTCAGGCTGCATTTTTGAAGTGTGCCTAGCTGATGAGTGTGCAAGTGCAGTGGGCTGTGCGGAGCTCGCTTAAATATGCAGCGCCAGCTCGCAAAAAAAAATACAACAAAAAAAAAAAACACATGAAAACAAGAAAACAATTGTAGAACACCCGCACATTGCGCATACGCCGCGTGGCACCCGCTGAAATCGCAACCAGCCCAATATTAATGTGTTTTTTGTGCTCTCATCCAAAACCAAAACCCTGTTTTATTTTTGTTGTTTTTTGTTTTGCCATTGCAGATTTATGATCGGACAATACATCACCGTGCATGGCGATGTAATTAGTCATGTTAACATAAGCCACGTCATGGTCGAGGATGGTGGCGAGTACGCCTGCATCGCCGAAAATCGGGCAGGACGAGTGCAGCATGCGGCCCGCTTGAATATTTATGGTATGTTGTATTCTCACTTAGAAGGGCTCACTCAGACACACAGATGCACAAAGAAAAAATATCACAAAAACTGGGGGTTGAGTGTTTAGTAAGTGGTTGTAGTGCAGCGCTTGGCAACCTAAGCTTTATATTATAGTTATGCAAAAAAATAGAATATCCTTTGGAGTTTGTGATGCTTTAACAGCATCGTTTTCAATTGAAATACATTTAAGATTTATAGTGAAAAAGTTACGTTTACTGGAATTAACGGATAAAAAATATTATATAAGTTTAAACATATCTAACTTGAATTGAATTATTATTATATTCCGCTTATATTAATTCTATAAATGCTATCAAATGTGTATAGTGTTTTAGAGTCTATAAATGAGTATACTGACTGCTGATAAAACTATATGTATTTTTATAATAAGTTAATGATTGAATTTGTATGATTTTAGGTATTCTTATAACTGTATCTTCGAAGTTCCATTAGTACCTAATTTTAAATTAATTTAGTAAACATACACTTTTGATAATACCAGAAAGAGTAAATTAGGCATAAATAAGTTAAGACCTGATCCAATTTTTAACCACTACTTAACCAATTTTTTGGTGGTTGTGTATAAGTAATATTTAAATATTTTCCATTTTCCCTCTGTGCAGATACAAATATGGCCAGCTACTTACACATGCACTTAAACGTTCTCCCTGCTCGAGGCTGCGTCCTTTTTTCCTTTTGGCATTTGCCTACTTTTGCTTGATTTTGTTTTACAACACGTTTGCCATGTTCTCCATTCCCCCTTCCCCCTTTCCCCCCGCTTCCCCCCTTTTTGGCCAGATCCTTTGGGCTGTGCCGCCCCGCCCCCTCGAAGTTTACTTTTGTGCCTTTGCAGCAGTGAAGTGTTGTTCGAGGCGCACACTTTTGTTGAACATGGCTCTCGGCTCTCGGCTGGCTGCAGTGCTTTCCCCCATGGCGAAAACCCACTTGCCGGGCTCGAAAAGCCACCCGAAAAGCCGGCCCAGCTTCCAGTTTTCAGTTCTCCGGTTCTCCGTTCCCAGTTTTCAGTTTCCCCAGCAGCAGCACGCGCACCATCTGCCTTGTTTTTGCAAGAAATCAAATATTTTTGTGTCGCCAGGCAAACAAAATGGCGTTGCCAGCGAGCAAGGATCTTGGAGCAGGAGCAAGGAGTGCAAACACAAAACGACAGCGGCGGCAAAAACTGCGCCATGTTTACAAAGTTTTGCAGTGAAAAAGTTGAAAAATAAAGTCAAGTAAATTCACGAATGAAAAAAATACATCCCCTCTCGACTAAACGATGCTCTGCTGTGCTGGCAAAATGCTCTCCCTGTTCGACATTTATCACTGGCATCAAATGAACCAAGGCATGCCTTATCCTTCGGATAAAGTTAAAGACCCAAGTGATTTCGCATGATAATCAAATAAAAACAAAAAAAAAAGTGTGTCAGAAGTAGAGCCTTTCGAGCCCTTTGACAATTTCCGCATACCCTGCAAACATTGTTTGCCGCTGAAGCTGAAAAAAAGAGAGGAGGAGGGAATGATTCCCCCGTCTCCACCATCCACCATCATCATTTAGTTTAAAGCTCAGCGATGTCGCTGATTGCGCGACTTGGTAATGGCGGTGATTACAAAAATATCTTCGCACTCTCCGCCCCAAAAACACGGACACAGAGACCACGTATGACATGCTCGAAAATTATGCATATTCCGCAGAAAAAAAAAACGAAGGAAAACCCAGCTCAGCCCACAAGGCAACCAGAGGAGTCGCTCCTTCAGCCGCCTTCAGCCGGCGGAGTCGACAGTTGCTGCATTATTTCCTTCCACGCTCCCGAAAAGTGTTTTGGCTGAGGGCACAGGCACGGGCAGACAGGACGAAACCAGCCAGGATATGCATATTACATTGTGCCTCGCTTCCTGTTGTCTGCACGGAGAAAAAAATGCTAAGAATATAGGGAGTTATTTGAGGGATTAATAAATTTAGAAATGAATTGATTGTAAATCACACAATGTTTCACACAAAATATTTTGTCTAACTTGTTGCCTGCATTTTTCGAATCAAGATTTTTTAAAGTATTATCTGGTTATGAAGTTACGACTTATTAGGTATAACAATCTATAGATTAATTTCAGCTACACATCTAACTTAGTTTATTATTAATATTTGATAAGAAGCAACCTGTGTTTCTTATAATTTTATTTTAAGCTTTACACCTCATTTGATTTATTTATTTATACGTTTGAGTAAAAAACATTATTGAGTCTTAAATAATCCGTCACACATATTAAGAAATATTTTTAAGAAATACTTGCTTATATCTTAATCAATCAAATTTTCTCTGGTTAAGGAAAATAAAATCTAGTACTTATTTAAATCTAAAAAATAGACAAAATATATTTTGACTAACTTTAAGTAGTACCTAAGTTTGCTGATATTTTTTCTGAGTGCATCTGCTCCTTGCGGTTCCCGCTGGGCTGTTGTGTATGTAGTTGTTTGCTGCATTATTAAAAAAGCAACGTGCGCGCAAATCTGTTAAGCATTTGCATTCCCCCAAAGCTTCACATATATTCTACATGTGTGCCTGCGCTCCTCCGTTTTTCCATCTGGAGTATTTCCTTACAAAACCCCCTGCTTTTTGCTTTCGTCACAGGTCTTCCGTACATTCGACTGATTCCGAAGGTAACCGCCGTCTCCGGCGAGACATTGAATCTGAAGTGCCCGGTGGCCGGCTATCCCATCGAGGAGATCCACTGGGAACGCGGTGGCAGGGAGTTGCCCGATGATATACGGCAGCGGGTTCAGCCGGACGGCTCGCTGACCATCAGTCCGGTGCAAAAGAACTCCGATTCCGGCGTGTACACCTGCTGGGCGAGGAACAAACAGGGTCACAGTGCCCGGCGGAGTGGCGAGGTGACGGTCATAGGTTAGTATGTGCTGCCACAAAGCACAAAAAAACTAAAAAAAAATACGAAAAAAAAAACCAAACTAAAAACCCAAAAGAAAACCCTTTGAAAAACACACACAAAAAAACAGTATATGAAGTAGAGGAGGTCGAGGTTGGTTTCTTTCACAGCTTTTTCCCCAACGATGACATCAAGAGCAGCGGGCCACGAAAACGAAGTGAAAATTGCATTTTAATTATTAACAGCAAACTAAGTAGTTTCCTATGGCGCTTCAAGTTGTTCCAACCTTTTTGCCAACCTTTTTTGCATTTGCCTTCGCCTTTTTCGGATTCAGCTTAATTTTGTTTTGTTTTTGGCTCTCAGCCGGTTGTTTGTGTACTCTTTTTTTTAGCCGCCGCCGCTCTAATTAAATATGCGCAATAATCTAAGCTTAAAAGTTGGTAAATTAAAAAAGGAGAAGCCGAAGGAGGAAGAGATCCCCCTTTTTTTATTCCCCATTCATGTTAATCCTAATGAATTCGCGCCCTAATGAAGCGCTGTGCTGATTACATTTTCATAAATCGCCAACCCATTTTTTTCGGGTTGGCTGTGATTGCTCCTTTGGCTTCTGCTTTTTTGGCTCATCAATCCTTGGCTGATCCTTGCAGTGCCGCCGAAGCTCAGTCCCTTCCAAACGAACATCCTGCAGCTGAACATGGGCGATCGAGCCTCGCTCACCTGTTCGGTGGTCAAAGGTGACCTCCCGTTAACGATCAATTGGCGAAAGGATGGCCGACCCATCGATCCCACGCAACATATGTCCGTGAAGCAGGTGGACCAGTACAACAGCATCCTGGTGATCGAGAATCTCGGAAGCGATCACACCGGCAACTATTCCTGTGTGGTGCGCAATTCCGCCGCCGAGGTGGAAAATTCGCAAGCTCTGCTGGTCAACGGTAAACATAATGACGAGCGAGTCCTGTATTCCAATATACAGTATCCAGTATTCCAGTTTACGTAATCCCGTTTAGTTGCAAGTAGTTGAGTTTCCTTTCGAATGCACTTTGATTCACGTACCATGTAACACAGAACCATTGAACTGCATATCCATCTATACATATTATATATATATCCTTGCTATCCTTTGTAAATGATGTTTCCACTTTCGGAATGTTTGTACAAGATTAAGTAGCGTTTTCATTCGAATGTGTTAACAAAACTGCGAAGGTTTACAGACCCGAAGGTTTACCCAAAATCAAAATCGGCTAAGAGGTTAAAGGTCAACGTGGGAGTCTCCGAATCGACGGTTGGCGGTTTCACAAATGCGGCCAATGAGGAGTGCCGAGTGTCCTAACCCGTTTCGCCTGATCTTTCCTCTTGCAGTGCCGCCGAGCATAGAACCGTTCGCCTTCCAGGAGGGCTTGGCCGAGGGCATGCGGACGAGGACCGTCTGCGGTGTTTCGCGGGGCGATCCGCCCCTGAAGCTCATCTGGCTGAAGGACGGCGATCCGCTGCCGGAGCTCTTGGGGGCCAATGTGACCATGCTTGACCAGTACAGCTCCCTGCTCAGCATTCCGTCGCTGTCGGCCACGCATTCCGGCGAGTACACGTGCGTGGCCAAGAACCCGGCGGCCGAGATCAAGTACACGGCCCTCTTGCAGGTCAAAGGTAGCGTACTAGCGTACCCATCCACACACACGACACACACACATACAGCCACACCAAACGCAAGAAGAGAATAAGATTAAATAGATAGTAGTGTGGCCAGGTCATCGAATGAATCAAAAAGTAATGCCATTTTGAACATATCGGAAGTATTTCCTTCAAATTTATTGATCCAAAATTCTGCCATTCTCCAAAAATATCAATGTTAAACAAATTCAAACAGTTTTTTAAATTCAAAAATAAATTTGAAACATTTTTAAACGTAATAATATTAATAAATATTTAACTTCAAAAAGATCTTAGCTTTATTGCAAAAATGTCAATGTAAGAATTTGTTGAGTTGAAAATAGCAGTTTAAAAAAAACAATTCTTATATGGAATTTAGATAAATAATTCTTCAAAAAAGTGTTTCTCAAACATATTTCCAAAAAAAAATTTGATTTAGTATTACAAATTATTATGACCAATAATGGCGATATTATTTCTCTTCACACACCAAAAACCACACACACTCAAATACAAAACACACACCAACAAACTAAGCGAACTTCACTTGCCCCTCAATAACTTTTTGCTTTCCCGCTGATGTATTCAAGAAGAGCTTCTTAATGGTATTTTCAGTTGTTGATGATATTTTTGGTTGATTTTTAAACAACAATGAGAACTGGGTTAGCCCAGCATTTTGGGAGCTCCTCGGTAGCTCCGGTGCAGCTGAACGTTGCCCAGCCCGAAGGTGCTTTGATTTTTTGACTCTCACTACGAAAACTAACTACTAATCCCCCCGAAAAAAAACGATAACCCCCTATCATATAAAAACGTACCGCTTAAAACCCCCCGAAAAAACCCTACTAATCTACAATTAAGAGTTCCCCGCCACCCTTAAGTCGCTTTGGCACGCTGTGGGTTTTTTTGACAACCGTCTCACCAGGTAAACCGTTTTAACTGCACTGCTTCTTATGCGCTTCGTAACCAAAAATCTAACAAACTAAGTATAAAGCTTATGAATATCTCTTTTGATTTGCTGCCTATAATTTTGAACCGCTTCTTACACGAAAAGTCGGGCCTAGATGCATAAATTACGTGCGCTCTCCAACTGAAATTCAATTGGCGATATTAATTTTGTATCGGTTCGGAGGGCGCACGGCATTCGTGATTAGTTGTAACTTATTATTTATACAAATACTCCTGCATAAACATGGAAAGATAAGCCGCTTTAAGATTAATTTGCCTTATTCGCTACAAACTCTTTTTGGTTGCCGAACTCCTCGGTTGCAGGCTGCTCGGCCTGCAGGATAATGCAGCAGCTCCTTTTACACCCTTGGCTCCACTCTTCATTTTTGACTTGCAGCTTCCGAAAAACTCCACTTCATCTTCTATGCTCAATGTGCTGTGCTTAATTAACGAACGAATAAAAACAAGGCGAACGCTGCAAAAGAATGAGTTCGCACTAAAAGCAACGAACCCGCACAAAATCCTTCGAGGATGCTATGAATCTCGCGCTTATGCTTCAATTTGGTTTTGGCCTCTCTAATCGCTTACTGTATTTCCACACCGAAAAAAATTCATCAAAGGGTTTTGGTTTATTTTGCAAGAAAGCAACTTTAGCTGTTTAAAAAGTAATTTTGCTGGAAGTTAAAATAATTATCAAAATTGAGAAAATTTGAAAAAAAAGGCAAATAACGTAAAATAAAAAAACCACTTTCATTTTGAGGTTTTAAAATAACATTTATTGATAAAGATGAAAGAAAATATAAATCAGTTTCATATATTGTTTTTTTTTAACTTGATTAAAGTTCTAATAATATTAAAAAATAAAAATAAATATTTTATTTGATGAAATCCTAGTTACGATTCAAAAAGTTTACAACTTTGGTCAGTGAAAAAATTCAATTTAAATTACTTAGCGACCCTGAACATTTTTTTCGGTGTATAATAAACCCTTTCGCTTGTGTGAGTGCCTGATTGCCTGTGTGTGCGTGTGAGTGACAGAACGCTTAAACATAATCTTATTGCAGAGCAAAGTGAATTAAACCACAAAAATAAAGCAAACAAATTAAGGAGAAACGAACCGAAACTAAATGGATAAGAAACTTAAAGCTTCGCAGTATTTGCTAATGTAGTTGAGAATGAATGTTTTTTGCTAGCAAGCGGTCATCGGCACTCAGCCATGCTGCACATTTTGTTACCGCATGCCGACTGTACATAGTACATAGTAGAAATGCAATTTTTAGTTTTTAGTTTTTGGTTTTGCCCGATATGCCAGCTGCATGCGCGTAGTGCTGTGACAAATGAATTTTAATTTCCATTTATTTATGATTTGCTTGCTCTCCACTTTCGTTTCGTTATCCCCTCGGTTCTTAAGCTCTCATTTTAATTCGTTTTTGCGTTTTCCTCCTCCTTTTTCCAACACACAGATTGCTCCGTTAAGCTTTTTCCACCCGATTTCACCAGCCAGTTCTGTTGGGGGTGGGCAATTATATTTATTTTCATTTGTTTTTTTTTTTTTTGCCCCGGCTCGAGAGCTTGACGTACACAGTTTTCAAAATTTCATTTATTTGTTTTGCCAATGCTCCATTTTCCCAGGCTGAAGCTGCTGTTGTTGTGTGCAAAGATTTTTTCCGTACTCGAATTAGAAACGCTGCTCGCCAAAACCCCAAAAACCCCCGAAAACCGCTTTTTACTATGCAAAAAATAATCCTTGAAAAAAATGCCATAATAACCAGAAATCGTTTTAATTAATACTAGGCCCTGGGCCAGCTGTTAATTTCATTTAAAGCTATATAATTTGCTCCCTGTCTGGGTTTAATTTTTAATTAATATTTTTTTATTTCGTTAGTGCTGCACAAACAAAGGCTGGCAATTAATTGCAGCTGCTAAGTAAACAGTTTTTAATTTATTGATAACGCCAATCCCACCCATCGGATCGGGCGATATACTATATATATTGGGGAGGTTTTTATTGAAATCCAATTTATTTGTTCGCTTTTTTCGTGTTTCGTTAGCTGCGTGTCCAACTATAAAACTCACACTCCGTTCACATTTGTGTTGCGCATTCTATAATTTCTATGCAAATATATTTTCCATTTCGCTTCTGGCATGCCTTTGTTATTTAATTTATGCGCCGAATATACAAGAACATATTAAGCCTTTTTTGCGACTCTTTTTTTTCCGAACAAAACCAATAACGAACAGCGAGGCACAGAGCGTGGGCGAATCAAAGAAAACACACAAAAGAGAAAGCGATCGATTTGAATAAATGAAAGAGAACTAAAATAAAATCCTTGCACACCAACAAAAAAATCACCATCATTTATTTTCCTCCACGGACTTTCCTAAACGATTTTCCTTAAACAAAAAACAAAAAAACCAAAAGAAAGAAAACCAAAACAAAAATCATAAAAGATTTAACATTAGTTTTTGTTCCATTTTTGACTAAGTTGCATATGAAATTCTTTTTGTATTTGATTTTGAAGCAAAACCACCCAAAAGCAAATCTATCCTTTTGTATATTAGTTGAAAAGTTCCTACTATATTGCTACCCATATTCAACCAGTTTTTACATTTGTGCTAGGCACAATGAAAATCTTAAGATCGTAAACAGCAAAATTCTTTTATGCCGTTTTTTACTTTGCCAGAAATCTTCACTTTTCCTCTCTGTCTCTGTCTCTCTATCTCGCTATCTCTCTCTATATCTCTAAGAACCATTACTTTTACTGTATGTCTTAGCAGTTTTAATTTCGAGTCATTCGTTCTGCGTCCCCAGTAGATTTCTGACTTTGCTAACTATCTCTTCCCATCACCCATACGCCCCGTAGTGCCGCCGCGCTGGATTGTCGAGCCCGTGGACGCGAATGTCGAGCGCAACCGCCACATCATGCTGCACTGCCAGGCGCAGGGCGTCCCCACACCCAGCATAGTGTGGAAGAAGGCTACAGGTAAGATTTAGAAAATAATACCTTAAAAGCTAAAAACCCCAAATAATCTTCAAAATCAGTAAAGGAAACTGTCACTCTGTATTATGTTCAAGTATTTATAATAAGCTTTTAACTTTTGACTTAAGATTTTTTACATTTTCTAAGACTAACAGAATTGTGGTACATGTTTTGTAGATGTCAAATATTCTATCGGAAAAGGCATTTATAAAAAACAAAAGAAAAAGTTTTTCATTGAATTTTTAATTTTATAAGAACCAATATTTTTAATTGCTAAATATTTTAAAAGCAAAATTTGTATTTAAGTACATTTATAACTGCATTACACCTTTAGTAACAAATATAAAATTTTTTTATATATTTTTTATGAAAAGCAAATTAAAGAAAATAAAAAATTAATCAAGTTTCTTCGCCAATTTTTCATATCTTTTAAAAGAAGAAGTATTTTTTCTTTAAGAAATATTGTACATTTTTTATGATATAAAACTTTTATTCAAATAAGAGTTCTTAAGTCGGTATAGCCTAGCCTAAATAAACTGGCCAAGCATTCACCTTGAATGAACAAATTTAGTACTTAAACGGTAGTCATCTCCACCGGATTAACCTTCTTTTCCCACGTGATTTGCAGGCAGCAAGTCGGGCGAGTACGAGGAGGTGCGGGAGCGGCCCTTCACCAAGCTCCTGGGCAATGGGTCGCTGCTGCTGCAGCACGTGAAGGAGGATCGCGAGGGCTTCTATCTGTGCCAGGCCAACAATGGCATCGGCACCGGCATCGGAAAAGTCATCCAGCTGAAAGTGAACTGTGAGTAGAGTAATTTTCGGGGGAAGAGATTGGAGGTAGAAGAAGCTGCTGCTGCTGCTGCTGCTGCTGCTTCGGCAATTTGGTTAATTGCAAGGCAGAAGCCCCCTGGAGGAATAGCTGGCGTAATTAAAATGGGCGAAAATGCTCGCCATTTGCCATTTTGCAGCCTCGCCGTACTTTTCCTCGAGTTCGCGACCGGTGATGGTGAAAAAGGGCGACACGGCACTTTTGCAATGCTCCGTCAGCGGGGACAAGCCGATTAACGTTGTTTGGTTGCGCTCGGGCAAGAACACGCTGAATCCATCAACCAATTACAAGTGAGTGCTCTCATCCGAGGATTCCGTGGGTGGCGGCAATCGAAAGTAATCCCTGCGCGTTCGCTTTCGCAGGATCTCCGTGAAACAGGAGGCCACTCCGGATGGCGTATCCGCTGAGTTACAAATCCGTACAGTGGATGCCAGCGATAGTGGTCCCTACTTCTGCAAGGCCATGAATCTCTATGGCAACGATCAGCAGATGGTGCAGTTGCAAGTACAGGAACCCCCCGTTGCCACCAAGTGTCCTTGAGGCAGCCATGATTAGCAGCAGATCGGTGAACCTCAAGTGGCAGCCAAAGTCCCTGGGAACTGGTGATGTCACTAGGTATCTGGTGGAGTTCCGTGAAGCAGATCGTACGTATAAAAATATAATCTAGTTAAAGAGCTTAAATAGTTTCCACTTAAGGTTCTCTACCACCAGCTTTGTTCGTGGAGCAGTGGCAGCAAATCGAGGTCAAGGATCCCCCGCACTTTAATTGCATGATCGAGAATCTAAAGCCTGCCACGCGTTATGCCTTCCGGGTGATTGCTGAGGGATCCGCTGGACGAAGTGCACCCAGCCAGGAGCTCATAGTTCGCACGGAGCCACAGAGACCCGCAGGACCTCCTTTGAGTCTCTCGGCGAGACCTTTATCCTCCACCGAGTTGCTCATCAGTTGGGTGGCTCCTCTTCCGGAATTGCGACATGGGGATATCCAAGGCTATAATGTCGGCTATAAGTTGTCGGGTTCGGCAAATACTGCTTACAATTTCACTTCCGTTTCCGGCGATGGCGATGGTGGAAATGGAGAACTGCTGCTCAGCGGATTGGCCAAGTTTGCCAGGTACACTGTTGTGGTGCAGGCCTTCAACCAAGTGGGTCCAGGTCCTCTCTCGGAACCCACCGCCGCTCAGACAATGGAAGATGGTAAGAACTTTAAGATATCTCCAGGAATTTCTTCAAACTCATGATTTACTGATAAAATTATTGCTTAAAAATAGTCAAAGAAACCAAGCTAAGATTTGTAAGATTTTAGAGCTACATTTACCAACAAAAAGAAAAAGAGATTTTTACCCATTTTTAATCAGTTAAATAGAATTTAAGTTTACATTTTTAAAGATGATTTTTAAACAACGATAAATGCTTTTCGGGATCTCACATATTTAAAAGCTTTAAATTACACCCTTTGAAACAACAAACCCTACTAATAAACACACATATTGTCTCCCCACCAGTTCCCAGTCGCCCGCCGGAGGATGTTCGCTGTGCGGCTTTATCCTCCCAATCACTGCAGGTGTCCTGGCAACCACCGCCAATCTACCACACGAATGGCCTGCTCCAGGGATATAAGCTGATATTCGAGCCCATCATCGACGACATTCAGCCCAGCAAGGACGAAGTGGAGTCCCGAAAGACGACGGCACTCACGATGGTGCTGACAGGGCTGCGAAAGTACACCAACTACAGCATTCAGGTTTTGGCCCACACGCGAATGGGCGATGGTGTGGTATCCAAACCACTGTTTTGCCACAGCGAAGAGGATGTGCCAGAGGCACCAGCTGATATAAAAGTTGTATCCAGCTCTTCCCAATCCCTGTACATTTCCTGGCTGCCTCCCACCGAACCGAATGGCGTGATCACCAAGTACAGTCTGTACACGCGAGTGGTGAACGGTCGCGAGGAGCTGAACAACGAGAAGCGCAGTCTGCCATCGCAACAGGCTTACTACGAAGCGAAGGGTCTGCATCCGCACATGGAGTACCAGTTTTGGGTGACGGCCAGTACCCGAGTGGGTGAAGGCAAAAGCTCCAGGGTTTCCTCACAAATCACCACGAATCGCGTGCCAGCCAGGATTATATCCTTTGGAGGTCCTGTGGTGAGACCCTGGAGATCCACTGTAACATTACCCTGCACTGCGGTGGGAAAACCCAAGCGGGAGTGGTTCAAATCGGATGTGGCACTGCGACAAGGTGGTTTACACAACTCCCAAATGCTGGATAGTGGTGATCTAATCATCTCCAGCTTACAACTGGCGGATGGAGGCAACTACAGTTGCCAGGTGGATAATGGCATTGGAACCGATCGACTGACCCACACTCTGGTGGTGCAAGTGCCACCAACTGCCCCCGTTTTGTATGTAACCAGTGCCACATCGAGCAGCATCCTGATGCACTGGAAGTGCGGCTTCACGGGCAATGCACCCATCACCGGTTACACTTTGTTCTACCGGCGGGCCAATGGCAATACGGATGAGATGCAGTTGTCCCGTCATGCCACCAGTCACGAGTTGAAGGGTCTGGTGTGCGGCAGCACGTACCAGATCCACCTGAGTGCCCAGAACAAGGTGGGCACCTCGCCCACCAGCACCATGTTGCACGTACGCACCCAGGGTCAGTCACCCGGACATCCCGCCTCCACTGCCCTGTTGGCACCCAACTCCACCTCCCTGCTGGTGCGACTGCACTCCTGGCCGGACAACGGGTGTCCCCTGCTCTACTTCGTCCTGCAGTACCGCGCCGTCACCGAGGATCGGGATGCGGAGTGGGTCCTGGGTGAGTTTCCATTACAATGACCTTTGCAGTGATTGCGGCTAAAGGAAATATTGCGAAGGAAATTACTGCTAAATCATTTCTTTTATAAAACAATTGGAATTAAAGTTAGCTCTCTCTAGGATTTTTTTCCTATTTATTTTTACATAAACAAAGTTTAAACTATGCCAGGAAATATTCTTGCAGGCCTAAAAACCTTTAAATGCTTGGGATACTCTTTTTGAATAACTAATCACCCATATATCAATTTATAAATATTAAATGCAAAAGCATAAAAAGGAAATATAAATATACTAAATGATTTAATTTTGCCGTAAAATATATTTAAATGTGAATGAATAAACCGTGCTTTATTTGCTGAAATTGATTAATAAAATCGTTAACTTAATATTATCTTAATATTATCTCAAACTTTCCTTGATAGTATCCAATGCCCTGAAACCCCAGCGAAGGATAGTGGTGAACAACCTGCAACCTTCGACGCTCTACCAACTTCGCATGGAGGCGCACAATGTGGCTGGAATCTCGCAGGCGGAGTTCTCGTTCGTGACCTTGACCAAGGACGGAGATCCACCACCGCCGGAAATCGTGCATCGTGGTCATCGCGGCCCAACCATAATATTCGCCAATATGAACCTGCTCATTCCATCCATCGCAGCGGTTTCCGGAATGATCTGCACCATCATCATGGTCATCGTTTGCTACCGACACAGTAAGTATAGCTATAGAAGCCAGATTAAGTGCAGTGATCCAGTTATTAACTCAGTGCTAAAAATGCACAACCGCTCGCAGAGCAAGCCAACCACATCCAGAAGGAGTCCCTCGAGAATCGGGCCAACTCGGAGGCTGCCCAGCGGGAGCGATATTATGCCACCATCCACAAGGTGTCCATGCAGAACAACGATAAGATTCCAGGTAAGTGTTTGGTTCACAGGGATGTCACAGAAATCTTGGGAAATAACCGATCAAACAGAACGCGAAATTTTAAAGAGGAATTACCAGAATTGTTGATTAAATTGATACTAATAATATGAAAAAGAAAATTCATTTCGAATAAGAAAAGAAGCTAGGCCAACAAATAAATAATCGTATTATGCAGTTTCTTTGAGAAATAAACTACAAAATTTTAGGGGTATGAAACTTCGAAATCGAGTTCAAATTATAAAAGTTATGGACCCTTTTTTTTTGGTTATTTCGAAAGGGGTTGCATCATAAAAGATCAAAAGAATCCTCCAAAAAAATAATAAAATTAACTAAAGATGCAGTTCGTTAGAGAATTAATATACAAACTTTAAAAGGGAAATGCCACTTCAAAATATAATTAAAATTAGAAATGTTGTTAGACTTAGTAATGTAAATTGGTACATTTTTGTACATTTTTTAATTGGAAAGTTCATTAAAAAAATGATGAAAAAATAATATCATAGAACAATACTTTTAATAATCATGCTCCAAGTGCATGCCAGTTTTGACAATCGCCCGTGGCGAAACTCGTTGAGATTTCTGTGATATCTGTGACACCCCGTGAAGCGCCGAGCATTGTGCACTCGATCAGCACCACTCACCGGCCGGAGGACTTTTCGCAGAAACCTCGGAGGACATCTCGCCGTACGCCACCTTCCAATTATCGGAGGCTGGGGGCAACATGTCGCAGCCTCATCACGGCGGTCCTGCTAATACGCTGCTCCACTCGTTCATGTACCACGAGCGAGCTCTGGCCGAGGGCTGCTCCTCGCCACCACCAGCCGCGGTACTGAACCCACCAACAACAACAACAACCACCACCACCCATCACCACCACCACCAACGTCCACTAAAGACAATTCATAATTATTATCAGACCTCACCGTTCCATAATATCGTGCGTTTGTTTATTCATTTCTTTGATTTAGCTCTCTCTCTCTCTCTCTATCTTTCTCTATATATATATATATTATATATGATTCCATTGATCTGAGTGTGGTTATGCCACAGTCAATTAGTGTTTTCCTAAGTGTACTACGTGCTTTTTATGTTGTTCTCTGCTCGTGTATTGGTTTTGCCCGTTCAGTTCAGTTCACTTAATTGCAATGCCAATGTAAACCATAAGAAAGGGTCTAAACCCCCGGACTCATGTCACCTGCCAATCTTGAGTTACCCTCCATCTTTTGTTTCGAGAAGCGTTCCATCCCCGGCGCTTTTGTAGTCGCTAGCTGCCATCTAGTTTAATGGATTCCATCCAGATCCAGACTAACTAAATCCGGTTTGTTCCATGTGCAGTCGAAGAACCGGAGGCGCCACTCGAGGAAGACGGAGCCGGAGAGCGAGGAGTCGGAGTCGGACCAGGACCAGCTCACCTCCAGTCGCACCGAGTCCTCCAACCAGCACGAGGGCAAGATCAAGCACAGTGAGTCCAAGTCAAGGGAATGTTTGTGTTACTTTTGGATGCATTTGAACGGAAGTGGTCTACTATAAGACCCTTTTTCAGATCATCAATATATGATTAAGTATTTTTATGCATTTTGTTTTGCAGTGAAAGCTCTTACAGGAGTTATTTTGTTTAAAAAAACGTTTAGATTAACCATTATATTTGTTCTATACAATATTGTGTAAATGATTTTTTTTTTAAATTTTAATTGTAATGATTTTAATTCATTATTTTAAAGTTCAGCGCGTTCTCGTCTTCTTCTTCAATCATTGAGTGCATTCGTTGTGTATCGACAATCGAGTTCACAATGAAATCGATATCTGTTGTCTTATCGATGCATAATATAAAGTACCCACTAAAATACAATGCATAACATAACAGTATGTTCACATTTAATACTTTTTAGTATATATTCACATTGTTTGTTTTTTAAATCATTTCAAAACCATTTACTTTAAATGAAATTATCTTTTTATTATATTAAGTTTATTTCTCAAGCCATTCGAAAACCAAATAATTCTTATTTGGGAATTTTTTCAATAATGCTTATAATGATAACTACTCTTAGAGGCCCCCACAAAATCTGATTTTATGCCACTCTAAATCCAATTAATATTTTAAAAATAATCATAAAAGAGCTTTCACTGCCATTTTTTTAGTTCTCAGTTGCCCGGCTTAATGGTTAAGTATTCCGCCAGCTGAACTCTCTTTTTGTGTTGCTTTGTTCTTGCAGACTCTAGACTAATACAACACTTTCCAAACCACAATATCTCGATAACATATCTGTAGTAGGCCAAACTGACACAGCACCAAAAACTCTACACCAACCACCAAGATCAGGCCAACAAAACTAAGACTAAGCCACCCAATTTGTAACTTGTAATTTGTTGTTTCTATCTTGTAATAGTGCTAAGTTAGCGATAAGTTTTTTTGACCTTTTTGTTTCCCCCAAAAGCCAAAAAGAACTCTCTATCAGCCCGCTCTTTGTTTTTCTGTTCTTTTCTTCCCTGTTTAACAAAACATCTCCGCCTGCGCTGCGATCCATCATTGATTGATTGATTGATCCGATCCGATTGGTTGCATTCGATGTGCCAGGCATCATCTACCATGGAGCACAATCGAGCACCTCCTCCGATCTGTCACCAATGTCCGAACAGAAATCATTGCCCCGCCGCGGTCGCTCCAGGTATCATCATCAGCAATATCAGTTTTCCACCAATACCACACCGCGCCACCACAACAGCAACAAAATGAACAACAACACAAGCAGCAACACGAACACAACAGCCACCAATACGACAACAGCCACACCATCGACATCGAGCAATTCGAACAAAATTCTATCGCCGCGCGGCGGAAATCTCAAATCCATATCGAGCACATTTAAATCGCAAGACTCCATACAGTGCCACATACCCACATTGGTCAAGTCGCCATCGATCAGTACACAGCAGCAGAAACAGTTTCACAAGCAGCAGTTGCAGAATAGTAGCAATCCCAATTCGCACAGTAGCTCCAACAATCCGGCCAATAATAGTATGAATATGAATAGTAGTTTGAAGCAACAGCAGCCCCTGCTGATCACGCCCAAGCTCCATCAGTTGGAGGCCTCGAATGGTGGTCCGCCGGAGCTGATGGGGCTGGACGGGATCGGTTCTAGCCCGTTGGTAGCCTGCATGCCGCCCTCCTCACAATTCCGACCCATACCCCACAAGTCCATAATGCCCGCGCATGAGCCACCGCACCACCACCAAAGCCACCAAAACCACCAGCCACCGCAGAATCAGAATCTGAATCCAAATCCGAATCAGCAGCAGCAGCATCCTGGCACGCTGCTCAACCCCTCGACGGCCATGCTCTCCTCGAAGTTTTTCACAGCGCCAACGCTGCCCAAATAGGATTCGGCCAACGGGGGGGGTGAATACGTTGGTGGTGCCATGGAGGCCATGGACGGTTTCGGCTACGACAGCGGCGAGATCTCCTGCACCTACATGGACCCGATAGATCAGACATGAGACCTGGCCTACGGTGAGGTGTGTGGTCCCCCCGAGGGGGCCCGTTAAGCTCGCTTCTTACCATTTGGTAGCTCAGCTGGGGGAAAGGGATTCCAAAGTTTTTAACTATTAAAAAAAAAAATTCTTCACATTTTAAATGAAATAACTGTTAAAATATCAAAGAACAATGAAACCTTTAAAGGAATTCATTTAGTAGCACACATAGAAATCTCTGAGCTACAAAATTGCCCTAAAAAGTAGGCAATGAAATAATTTAAACATTTTGAATTATGGGAAGCACACTTTTAGGCGCACTTTTATGAGGTTTAACTCAATTAAGAGGTTGATTTGAAAACAATTGGAACACTTGTTCAATTTTAGTTTAGATATCCCCAACCAAACTCAGCTGATAAACCAGGTCGTGAGGAGTGCGCCCACCCACGCACACCCAACCACACAACCAGACTAGAACTACACCACTAGGTCTTAAACCGAATGAATGCTTGAATGCTGTGGTTGCAATCAGATAAAAAAACCAAACCAAACCAACTCTGGACCCTTTCTTGTACTTGCACCCCCGCCACCCCCCCAACGATTGCCACCCACCACCCTCCCGACCCCTCTCAAAAAAAAAAAAAAATGCAAAACACGCATCCAGAGCCGGCATCCTGCGCACGCTGCATCCTCTCCAGCTGCAGGCCGAGTGCACCGCCGGAGCCTTCCATCGCACCGAGGACGGCGGACTGGGCGAAAGGATCGAGCTGGCCGAGGTTGAGGTCGATGTGGATACGATTAAGAAGCTGAAGCTGGGTCAGAGGTCATCGTTGTGGTCCCGACCCTCGTCCACCACCTCGCAGCTGCAGCAGGAGCACCACCAACAGCAGCAACAGCAGCAGCAGCAGCAACACAAGCAACACCACCAGCAGCAACACCAACAGCAGCAGCAACAACAACAACAGCAGCAGCAACAACAACAACAACAACAACAGCAACCACACAGCAAACGAGCGCATTCAAAGTCACCGCAGCCACAACAACAACAACCACTGCAACAGCAACGCCAACAACAACATTCACCCGCTCCTGGCCAGAAATTGCTTAGCGAGAAATCGGATTACTCGATATCCGTCTGAGACATTGGTAAGATCTGATCGCAAGATCAGCAGATAGGATGATCAGGCCAGGCCCCCGATAGCCACGAAAACTTTAGCACCAGCATTCGGGCCGTTTTTGTACATTTTTATAATGCATTTGTTACCAAAACCTCAACCTCAACCACCAAGCCCCATGAACCTCTAACCCCAAAACTTTTCGGAAGACCCCTGAACCCAGTAATCACCTACCCCCCCAAAAAGCTAAAAAAGAAACAACAACACTCAGATAAACTTTCGGACAATCAGTATCAAAATTTTTGCACCAACCATCCAAAAACCAAGCATACCGAATCAAAAAACACACACTTCCCATTTAAAAACTCCTGCCCGTATTTATAGAGCCAAGTCATACCTACAATTAAGTATTAACGATTGTGCATGCTATGATCCCACGTAAATGTGAATGAATATGGCATGTGTCCAAAGCAAAAAAGAACCCAGGTCAGTTGTCGAACTTCCAGAAATGTTGTATGTACATATACTAAACGTAGATTCTTAAGTATCCGTATCGACTAATGCGTATATCACTCGAAACTGTAACTCAACTACTAACTGCAAACTATCGCAAACTATCGTATCGTATCGAATCGAAATCGAAACTCGAAACTCGAACTGTTTTTCATCGTATGTAGAAAGGATGATCTTCTAAGTGTGGGTGTCTCAAATATATATAGATGAGTGTTTGGCCTATAGCAACTACTCCTAAAGTAGTCCTATAAGTTTTTGGGTTTTTTGTAGTGCACCAGGGCGATGAAACGAGGAATTTAATCTTGAAATTTCAACTAAAACCAAAAACTCAGATATATGCTGTGTACAAATTTATATGAATGTATATTTATATGTGTCCGTGTGCGTGTCTACGTTATGAGGCAGTCGTGTGTGCGCTCATGTATATAGGATATATATACCGAGATATATACAATCGAATCGAAGAATACTCATCTAGTTGTTAGCGAACCGAATCCACGTACGATTACATGTAGAGTATTGAGTATATTTTGTAAATAATCAAAAGCGAAACCCTCAAAGGACTGACAATGATGCGATGAACGCATGACTCCGCTGAGAAAACTCACAGATATATAATAGTAAAGCAAGTAAGCCACAATGAAATGTTAACTAAATGTATTCGATATAGCCGATGTACACACACTCACACTCGAATATGTCGCCAGCTGAATTTGAATTCAAAGCAGTCAGTATTCATAGATAATATGACATCGCATATGATATCGCAGTAACCACGCATTAGAGTTTCCATTACAATAAACAAAAAAAAAACCGTCATTCGAGTCGAGTTGTAGATAAATGTTTTTAAAAAGCGAATTAAGCGAAGGAGCGAAGGAAGCGAAGCCTGTAGGAGAATCAAATACAAGTCGTAATCAAATTTCGAATTATTACAAAACACTCAATCAAGCAGCAGCAACAAGAAACGAAAGCCAAGTTAGGAGCAGACAAACAAACTACAAATTAACATAACTCTTAGTTCGTATCGAATAATCCAAGTAATACGAGTACATAGCTGTATTTTAACTAGCCTACAAAAGCATAAGGAAAAACCAACCCATTAAACAGTCAAATAATGAAAGTGAGGAGGAGCAAAAGGGGGTCGAATCGAACCCATTTCGGAAACCATGTGCCAAAATTTGTTTTTAGACAAAGCTCTCTTAAATTACGAGTATACAATAAATAACGCAAGCCACGAAAAGCGAGTAAATAGCAGCCATGAAATATGAACATACAAATTAGAGCCACAGAATTCACGAATTAAAGTCGCAGATTAAGGTGTTCACTTGGGGGAATTTATTGGGCCCAAGCCCAAAGCATACTTATTTCGAGTTTCATTTAAAAATATAAATTAAAAAACGTAAATTCACGAGAAAGCAGCACTCTTTGTTTATATAGCAATTGCGACGGATAAAACGCCGCGGCGATTTTAGTCGGTTTTTATATGCATTTATTTGTACGAAGCAATGAAATGGTTTATTACATTCAACATCGAATTTTACGAATTTATTAAAACAACAGCAAGTTGCGACTGCAAGGGGCAACCTCACAGCAAAGTCTACAAATCAAAAGAAGAAATTAACTTAATAGATCACAATCAAAACGAGATGAAAACCAAGTAATTATACGAGAGGAGGAAACAATTTTTATGTTTAACATATAATTAGCACAACAACTACAAAATAAAAACTATTAATGTAAAAACAAACGGCATTTAAAAAATATAAGAAATATTTAAAAATAACAACGGGTGTGTTTTTACTTCTGCTTTGGGAAAAAGGTAAGAAAATAATTGTGGAATATTTCTTTTACATTTCTATTTGAAACAATTGAAATTATAACTATTTCACATTTTGCTGAAATGGGTGTTGGGTTTTAACTATACATTAAATATAAAAAAGATATGCATATAACAATATTAATATTATTATTATAATTTCCTTTTGTACTTTTTTAAAATACAATATTTACCTTAGAAACTTTACACACTTTCAAAATTCTAAAAAGGTGGAGTTTGGTTTAATATTTTACAATATTGTGAAACAAGTTGATTGAGGAATCATACCCTTTCACCGTTCCCCCTTGAAAAGAAATAAAACTCATTTTATATTTTTCATATGTTTTAAACTTTTTTTGGATTTTTATTTATGCGCACACTTAGAAGATATAATAGATATTGGATAATACTGAATGAAGCCGGGTACTCACACTGCAATCCTAACGGGCAGAGCTAGGGGAAGTGCTCGGGATCGTCGGGAATCGGTGTAGGACCTGGAACGAGAACGCCCATGGGAACGACCGCGGGAGTGACCGCGGGAACGACCACGGGACCTGGAGCGATCCCGCTTGCGATCCTCCCGAACGTGTCTCCTCCTGGGCATTGGCTCCTCCTTCTCGGCGAGAATCAGCTCACAGTCACTGTGGCCGGAACTGGAATCGGAAGATGAGCTAGAGTGATGACCATGTCTGTGTCCTCGGTGGTGCCTTTTACCTCCTTTGGAGCTGTGGTGTTTGGTTTTCGACTCCTTGGAGGGAGACTCTTGAGATTCCTGTTGCTGCTTCTGGATTTGCCGCATCACATCGTCCAGCATTTTCTGCGCCATGTTGGCCTTCCGGATGAGCTTCTCCAGCGATGGGGTGGCCATGTCCTCCACTTCCACCGGCGTGGCACGTGGCAATTGGCCGCTGCAACCTTGACATGCCTCGGGCACCGCAATTGCCGCAGTTTGCTCACGTGCCGCGTTATCTGATTGCGACATTTTTGCACTAGTTTACACCTGACTCGATAAGAAATTCACTTAACACCTTGTTTCTCTGATTTACTTTTGCCGCTGAACTGGATTTAACTGCTGTAACTGCAAATGTTGCTGCTGGTACTGTTGATGTTGCTGCGGGAACTGTTGATGTTGCTGCGGGAACTGCTGATGTTGCTGCTGGTACTGTTGATAATATTGCTGCTGCTGCTTCACTTGAATAATCAAATTTGACTGGCTTCTCTGGCGTTCAGCTGCTCAGCTTTTATAGGCAACTTTGGCGCCAAGCTTATCGCGAATTTTGTATTGTAAACATTTGCGTTTGTTTATCAGACACACACATACACAAACGAACGGCAAAGGTGACATCACCCTACTATTTTTAGTCAAATCGCTTCAATGGAATTGGTAAATGGGGGCTACTGATCACCTGTTTTAAAGGTTACATAACTAAAAGCCAAACATAACCTCAAATATTTAAATATCATAAAATATGTTAAGTTTTTCAAACATTTTCGTGTTTAAGTTAAGAAACGAATTATTTTTCAATCTAAATATTAATACATAAACAAAATTAAATTTTTTAAAATATTATATTTTGTACAACGAATTGAATGAGTCATCACACAAATCTTTCATGAAGTTGTGAAATTAAACCAGTCATGTTATACATATATTATGTAACATAATTTCACATAAAAATATAACCTCAAATTTTACTTAATATTAGATTGAAACATTTGTTAGGTAATCTGGCTATTTTTAGCCTTATCGCTTCTGTGGAATTTCGCAAATGTTGCTATACATCATGTGTTTTTAAAATTTCATTGTCTAACGTAACCTCAAATATTTCATTTTCATATGAAATTTATTTTTTAAAACAATTAAGTCGTGATGAAATAAAATTTGCAATCCTTGGCTTACAGTTTTTTTTGCAAACCGTTTCTTACAAATTGCAATTTCACATAAAAATCTCCCATTAAATTTTAATTTTACTTAATTGCGCAAAATATTTTCACACTTACAAATACATACTCGTGCAAATATATAATCTAATAAGCTTTTGAACAAATTAAAAAAATTAAATTCATTCTTTTTAAATTAGTGCTAAAAATAAAAAGTATCCAAAACGAAATATAAATAGTTTGGTCTTTTAATTATTATTTAAATTTAACGGTTGATTTTACGTATGTAAAATAACGTATACGACTTTGTATAAGTCAAGGTTGCATCAGCTTATAATGATTTTTGAGATAAATACAATCGGTTTTTGAGAAGTACCCGCCAACAATTCTTTGATTTAATAATCAGTTTTCTTAATGTTTTAATCCAGTGAATAAACATTTGTTGTCGTATCATAATATTTATTTATTATTTAAGACTTAAATAGAACTTAAAAAAATAAATAAATACTTTAGATACTGTTGGTACAACCGATAGATACATTTAACAGCAGATACGAGTTAACATTCAGATACAACAGACTTTTAACAGATTGAGAGCGAGCGATTGCCCGTGTTTGGCATTTTTACGTTACATCAGTTCGGTTTCTCTAAACGTTCGAAAATCTATATAAGCAACCCGCACCTTAATCTCTCTGTAATTTTCGAGAGAGCGCTGCAGCGCGCGCTGTTTTCGGTTGCCATTAAAAAATATAATTAAGGAAACGTCGATATTTCTTTTAAACCTGCAAAGTTGCGGCATTTTGCAAAGGAACCGAAAAAATTAGTTGTTGCGGTGTGTTTTTGTTTTAAAACAAATATGAATACTAGTGACGATTTATATTGTGTTTAAATAAATATATAACTTGATTTAGTTAATATTTAAACTTGTTGTTTTCCGCAAGTGGGCGCGTTTCGTTACTTAGCCGCTTTTCGATTTTCGGTTTTTTTCGCTTTTCCTGTGAGTGAAACGGGTTTTCCAACGAAGCCTTGCGGCCTTTTTCCTCTCCAGCAGGAAAGACAAGGCTGAAAAACTAAATTAAAGCGACAGGCTTTTGCGGCAAATTAATCGATGTGCGGAACAGACTTTTAATTTGCAGATTCATCATCGATTTTTCCTTCGAGCTCAGCTGCAGTGCGCTAGTGTTGGTGTACGCGTATGTGTGTGATTGTGAGTCCTGGCAATACAAATAAACCGTTGAGTTAGGTAAACGGAACAACAAAAGGTTGTGTACAAGAGAGAGCGAGAGGGAGGAAGGACGAACGGACGGGTCCTTGGATGATCGCTCATTCACTCCATTTTTCCAACGGCAGCTGTCTCGAAAATTCGCGCGTGTGTGTGTGCGTGTGTGGGAGAGAGAAAACACCGGTGATAATTTCTCTCCCTTTCGCAGTGTTTGTGCATTCAATTTGCATTGAATTGAAGCCGCTTGCTAAATTCGCAAGTTTCCGTCCGCGAATTGCCATCCATTTTTGCACTCCCCCCAAGAGAGCGAGAGCAATAATAGAATTATCAGGCAGCGCCAAAGAAATAAATAAATAAAACAAAAACGAAAAAGAGAATGCCCTGGGAGGCCGTATTGCCGCGACCCTCTGACATTTCCATCGTCGCCCACCAAAGGAATAACAACTAAAAAAAAAAAAAAAAAAAAAAACAACCAAAGCAAACCGACAAACAAACAAACAAAAGAGCGAACGAGCGAATCAACGAACAAAACTCCAGCAGCCTCAACCGCTGGCACAGTTTTCCTCCTTCAACTTCAACTCCGTGGGTGAGTTAATACAGTAGAACCTTGCTAAAAACTTGTTTATATTTTATACAAAATAAGGGATTTATTTAACCGTAATTTCATTATATCTTATATTTCAAAAGTTTTCACAAGGGTTTTTATTCAATGAAAAACAAATCATTTCTTTTTAAATTAAAACAACGAACTTTAAAAAAATTTAATTTAATATTGATACAAGATATTGAATGAAGATTTCAACTGTTGTTGAAATACATTTTAGTTGATTCGGCAGTAGGTTGAAAGAGATTTATTTTCTCAACCCATTGTTTTAAAGAGAAGCATATAACGGTTTTTAAAACAAAATGCTCTCTCTTTTTATTCATAAGTCCCTCGTTTTATGTGTTCCAGATGTTAGTTAGCCAAAGTTATTGAATCTCCACTGTAACTCATTGGCGGGTAGAAAGTGGTTATCGAATATGAGCTGCGACTTAAGTTGGTGCCACATCGTGTGGTGGATGGCGGGGCGGTTGTGGTGGGTCAGAGGTGGCAAGCCCCATGTCTTGGCGTCGTGTGGCTTTGGTTTTTAGCTGAAATTAAAAAGGTCAGGACGGGCCGACGTGGGGCTTCCGGATTTTGTATCCTAGCCACGTCGGCCACCGATTCATTATGCAGCGTTAACTCTGTTTATATGTACATACATATGTGCTCGTATATATGCGTGTGGCAAGCGATGAATATAATTTCAGTTGCATGACTTCGCCGATAATCGATTTTGAAGCGACGAAGCAATCAGGAAGAGTGCAATTTAATGTCAGTCCGTCAGTCATACAGTCACAACTTGACACACTGCAAAAAAAAGTTGTGCTGCCAGATGCGGGTCAACATGACATGCAACCGTTTGCGATGAAAAAGAAAAAAAATTCGGTGAATATCGATTAGATACAGTTTTTGCTTACAAGAAATGATAGTCAGTGCTTTTTTTTGTATGATGCATAGACAATTCTTGGAACGGAAATAGATTAATATATCATTAAAGGTTCTATAAAAGTAAATAATTTTACTTTGATTATTGTTATTTAATATTTTGTATTAGTAAACACTTAATATGATTTTCCCTGGTGTATTTCGGCCTGCCTAAGTGGTCTTTACCATATTCATAAGTCTCGATTGACGGAGCAGCGGACATTGCAACCGTTATTCCATAATGCGACAATTTGCGACCCGTAATGGGGGAGGGGATGGCATAATAAAGAGAGTGACTCCAGGAAAACGTTAATCAAGCACCAATTAATGCAGTTTCCGTAGAGAGTAAGTTAGTCGTAAGAAACAAGCCTCCGTTCTTGTGATTTTTACATTTCCACATTTCGTGTGACACATTTCGCTTTCCCACACACGCTGTTTGTCGATACGACTTATCAGCACTTTCCAGTTTTAGCACTTCTTACCACTTTGGCTTCCCCGCTTCTATAAGATAAGTAATGCACTTTCAATGTGCTTCCCCAGATAACCGGCATACAAATGTCCGATTAGCGAGCCTCTCAATAACAATGGCCATAATTTATGATAAACAAGTTTTTAAAGTGTGCGAAATTTAGCGGCTCGAATCGGAGAGCCTGATTTTTAGCGACACTCCCTCTTACCCCCCCCAAAAACTTGTCCAAATTTTTGCATTGTTTATAATCAGTAACGGGCTCATACATATATATACATATAGCAGCACATGTCTGGGTGGTTTTCAAGGTCAGTTGAATGGCCAGATTTGCTTCGTTTTTGATTTGGCAACCCTTGAAACACGATAAACGAGGGCAAACGGAGCAGAATTCAGGCTGCAGACTCATCTCGTTTTCCCCCAGACAATAGGCATTCGGTTATTACGTTTCAGAGGGTTTTGGTTCTGGTCTTGGAGAACGGTTCTGGAAACCCTGCCTGGAACCTTGCCAAAGCTCTCGAGACACGAGGCGCGTTGACAATGAGCGAGGCTCTCAGGCGAGACTTTCAGGCGTCTCCAGATGCTTTCCATTCGCCTTTGTTTCTGCCGCTTTCGGCGGTTCGTGCACTGCGAGAAAATGTATGTGATTTATACTACTGATTTGATAAGCAGTTTATACCTCAATAACGCTTTATTTTAAAAACTTTATCTTGGTTAAGTAGAAATGGGATATCACATAGATTTTCCATCGAAGCGTTATCTTTTTTTTTTCGTACTGAAATTGCTTTTTAAGATTGTAAATAAACAAGCTAAATATTATTAAATTTTGCTTGGTCATATAAATAATAGATATCATAAAAATATATACTCAAGGGCGGTATCTTTTCATATCGAGCTTATATAGCTTATCTACTTCACATTTTTGTACCAAAAATATATTGTTATCATAACACCAATATGTATATCTTAATGATAGCAAACAAATGACAAGAAATTATTGATAGAAGCGGAAAAATCAAAGTATACTAATAACATTTCCAACCTTTCTTTAACCTTTAAAATAATACGTTTAAACAAATATAAAAATTAGATAAAGATTAAGATTAGAAAAAATTTTGTAATATTTTTTTTCCGGTGATGTTGTGTTACTATTTTAGACTTTTTCTGTGTGGTCTAATGGCATTGCCTTGGTTTTATAGATTGCCTCCAGTCAAGCTCAACTCGGAGCGGCGCTGGTCAATGGTCAAGACCGCCTCCCCCCTCCTCCCCCTGCCACTCCCCGCTTTTCCCCAGCAGTTCGGCGGCGGAGAGTGTCGTGTGGCGCATGCCGCTGAAAAAGTCCGCGGAGCGTGAAGTACACCACTCATTGTTTTTACTCGCATCGGTATGAAAACTATGTGGATTATGGCATGTCGTAAAGATCCATTTTCTTGATATCCAAAACTGTTAAGAGACCAAGTTGCCATAGGCCAAGTATCCAAAAAATTCAGCGTTGGAGATCAAGCCGACTTTCTCCGCCATATGACAAATAATTTTTAGTAGTTGGCGTAATTGCCAACGCAATGAGTTGTTAATTAAGCCGGAGAGTTTCACAAAAAAATAAAGAGTGCTGCAGCGAGTGGGAAAGAGAAGTGCTAGTCACCATTTCATTCCGGTCTATTCCGGTTCGCTTTTGGACCAGGCCAACGAACGAACGATATTCCGCCCTCTGTGGTTCCGCTAAAAAAAAAATCTAAAACAAATCAAGTGCGGCACATTTGTCACAAAAGACTCCATTGGCGGAGTACATTTCAATCGCTGCCATTAAAAGATATTTATAGACACAGCGGGAACATGATTAATACGGCAGTTCATATGCAAAAAGAGTTTTCAGATAGGAAGATCTTTCTCAAAAACCATAACAAGATGTAGACGGAATTGCAGAATCTTTTCTGGGAACAAAAAGCATTATTATTTAAAATTATAAATAAAGTTAACTTATTATAAATATCATACACAGTTAAGAAAGAAGCTTAGATTTCATCGTGAATTTTATTATACTGAATTTTATTATACTACTTTGCAATCGATATTAACATATATCTTATTTTATTTGCTTTAATTTAATCTGCAGTCCAGTGTAATCCTCAGAATGTGAAGTATTTTCGCGCTATTGCAGTTGCCTCTTTTCATTGTTGCCCAATCTACTTTTCGAAAAAAACTTTCCAGTAAATGCAAAGCGAAACTTTTGCGTGCCGTTGCCGTTGACTGAGAAGCCGCCAAAAATTGTTTATAGTTTTAAGGCACTAAACAAAACAACAACAACAGCAACAGCAATAGCAACATTGGCGTCTAAATCAACAAAAACACACCAGAGGCAAACTTTAAAACTTCAAAAGCGCTGAGCGATTCAGTCGGCCGCCTCTTCCTGCAACATGGACTACTCGTATTAGTATTATTGTTGCCCAATACCTAAGGCCCAGTGGCCAACACCCGATTCCCAATGCGCCGATCCCCAATCCCCGTTACCCGTTGCCCGTTACCCAATATTCCCGATCCCAGAAAAGCCCCCGAAAAAACCATGTTCGTGACAGACGGCTGGCACCGCTATAAGGCCAGAAACAGAAACGCCTTCTAGTTCCCTGTTTTTGATAGCCCGCCTCATTTCGGTTTTAGTTCTTCGCTCTTTGATACCCCAAGCACACACAATCTGGTGGTGGAGTTGCCCCCAAAACAAATTGAAACTGTTTTGAAAATCAAAAGAAGAAAAATAGAAAAAGCAAAGCCGCGATGTAGAGACAAGGGAATCGGCTAAAAATTAGAAAATCATGCTTACAATTTTCTGGTTCGGTCTGTGCGCATAATACGCGATAAGTCGGCAGGTGCAATAAAATAAAGTACAGAACGAAAACACCAAAATATGAGCGGAGAAAGAGGAATGGAACCCGGAAGAGTCGGAAAGTTCTTCGACTTCCCCCACTGCCCACTGTCATGACTCCTGCCCCTTCTCCGAATAATAAACTCAATGCACTGGGGCAAAAATCTATACTGAAGATCGGTATTTTTGTGTTAAAAATAATAAATAATTAAAGAAAAAAAAATTTATAAAACCAATGTTCAATTTGGCAACAACCTTCTACATTTAAAACAGATTGATTTGTCTGACGATTTTTATGACAGTAATCAATTTAATTTCATTCTACAAAAAAAAAAAAAAAAGAAAAACAATTGTATGAATTGTAAAAATCAGAATAAAAAGAGACTAAAGGACTGAGAAGTTAAATTCAATTTAAATACAGCAAATTTAATATCTTATATAAATATTAATATATAAATTCAATTTAAATACAACAAATTTAATATCTTATATGAATATTAATTTTATATTTATATTTATTTATTTTGTTTACTCCCAAATGATTTTTTTAGGATTTCGGCAACAATTTGCTAATTTTAGAAAATTTTTTTTCGGTGTGCGCAGTTTTCAATTGACGTTCGTCCCCCAGACGAAAACTGTGCGCACAACTTGCAACTGCAACTCATTATAACTGCACCGGGGGGCGGGAGGGGCTGGTGTTTGTCGAAAAGGCGTGGCCAGGGGCTCGACTGTTCAGCAGATGCGGGCTGAAACTAAAAACAAAAACAGACTGGGGGCAACTCCATTGTAATTCGCGGCACAAATGTTTCACTTCATTTGAGTTTCGTGGATCGCTGGCAGCACAGGAAGTGCTTTGACAAACCAAACAAAACAAAACGAAACAAAAACAAAACGCTTTTCGGGGAGTGGAGTGTTCTTTGGGGGCGTGGCAATCGCCCACGCACGACCACCTGTTCGTCAGTTAAAATAACACCCGGTTCCATATCAATTAACTCCCTTCCCCAAAAGAAGCCGCATCAATTGAGTTCTACGAGCTGCAAGTATCTGGGATTTAATTTCCACCAAGTGGGCATTGAAAAACGGGGTTCCGCTAATCCCCTGCCCCAATCTACGAGACAATATAAATTGCTGTATGGGGAAATAAATTGTTTTCAATGCAACTGCCATAACAGACGGAATAACACAAAAAAAAGAGGAGAAATTTATGCAAGTGAACGTTTTAATTTCCCCTTTTCAGTTTGAAAAAAAGGCCAGAACATATGGCACAGAATCACTGACCAAGGAACTGTGATCGCATAAATAATTGTATGCATATAGGGACAGTGCGTTTCGGGAGTGTAAAAGGAAATAGTACGATATTTAAGGCATCTAATTATACATCAAAATTTACTATAAAGAAAATCTATTAGGCTTAAGATAATTTGCATAATTGCTTTACAATTTTATAACGCACTGTTTATGCAGATAGAGATCTGAATTGTCATGCGATTTGGAGTATATTCATATATTTGTATGGGAATGCATAATTGAGAAATAAATTGCTGAGTGGTTCCCAGAAAAAGCTTGACCGTGGAAATCTGCGGATCAACAAATCAGACAGCATTTAGATATATCATAAAAATCCTACAAGAGCTGGTTTCATTTTTATCCATCCAAGAAAATACAATAAGTAAAGAGGTGTGGAAAATGCAACAACCTGTTCAGAGTTTTCTTAATCCCGCTTATCCTGACGATCCAAAACTCTCACCGGGAGTGGGTTGTAAATTCAGCGAAATCGTTGAGCTGACACGCCTCTTGCTGTTCGATGAATGGATGGATGCTAATCCGAGATGAATGGTGGATGTCTGGGCGTTGGGAGATTGGTAAGATTGCAGTGCGACCGTTGACAGTCACCAGCAGACGCATCAGAGACATCAAACATCAAACGGCGCAATTAATGCCGAGCGAAGCGTTAAGCGCAGCACTTGTGGCACTTGCATCTCCTGCAACTTTTCCCTACATTTCCCATTTTCCCATTTCCCCAACTGCACAACCCGGCTAAGTGCAATTAACTTGGCAAAGTCGGCGACATCGCGACGTCGTCGTCGGTGCTGAAGAGCTCTATTCTTGCTCTGCCGAGCGCCTTAATCGAATTAGCGATCCCCTCGCGAGGAATACTCGTACTCGTACTTGGCCCATTGATTGGAGTTAATGTGCCGTGACGAAATCGCCCTCAAGGGTTTCTATTCTGCAACGCAACGCAACGCAGCGAATGAGTCTTTCTCTGTAGTTTTATATAGCTTTCGCCTTGAACTATTATGCGCCGAAAACATTGTTGCATCTTGCAACAAAGAACAGACAACTGTCACATATAAATAATCATAATGTAGTTGCTTACATGGAAAACCATGAAGTTACGCGGAACACAATATTAAAGATGGAAGTCCTAAGTTAAAAATGAATCAATGAAAAATCTAATAAATTGTTTAAATGTGTTACACAACAAAGTTAAGGTTTTTAAAATTGAAGATTATATAAATCTCTTAACATCTTATGTTTATCCGTATCTTCTTTAAATTATTAAAACAAAATTTAAATTTAAATGTAATAATATAAAGCAAGTAATTCTGTAGAACCATAAAAATAATTTTTATCAAAAAACATATTTCGACCAACGCATTTTTACCCCAACCAGAAGAAATTAGTTTTATTTTTCTTGGGCGTATTTTTATGGTTTTTTGATAAGATCGTAAAATAATTTAAAATTATTTAAAACTCTATGGTTTTTCTAAGTGTGGTGGTAGATGCCGCGTCAGTTCCGGTTTATTCACTCGATTCCGCCGAGCGCCTTGGCACCGACACAGTGACAGAAACAGAATCGAAGACGATAAGGCCTCGGCCTCTCAGATGCGAAAAACCCGTTTTCGCTGGCATCCCGGCAGACTTGCATCTTTCACTGCCAGGGCCATGGCTCTTCGATCGATTTGTGGATTAGCGGCGACAACTTCATTCCCGTTCCCAATCGCAATCTTCCCTTCCCTTCCATCTCTCCTCTGGACTCGAATGGCTCAATGTGTAGATACCGAGTATCCAAGAGATACTTTGTGTGTGCATACTATACAGTAACGTATCTTTGTGTGGACATGTGACTGTTTATGGCTTCGCTTTGCCTCTTTTTTAGCACCCTACTGGGGGGCCGATGGGGCGGCTCTTCTCGCACTCGAGTGGTCTTCATTAGGGGGCTGTCTTGTCTGGATGTCTAGATGATGACGATGGCGAGTGGATGGGAAAACGAGCCAAGCCGGCTGCAACGACGACGTCTCTTTAAAGTCAACTCGAGCATTGCCCGAGTGGCGGGCACGACTTGAGTTTGAGACAGCCTTTAAACATATCGTAAACAAGGTCGTTTGCAGGATCCTCCATTCTGGCCGAAGAGGAAAATTGAAAAACATAGAAGGGGAATAAGGGAAGGGCATTCCTACCAAACCGGTTGGCTGTTGGCCAAGTCTGGCCAAGTAATTCGCTTCAAATACACTTCCAATTTGCTCGAAAACTGGAGCAACTTCATTAAATCTCCCTTTTGCACTCGACTCCGGTCGTGATGAAATCGTCAAAATTTACCCAAATCTCTGGGAGATCGCATAACAAACATGACGCTAATGACGTGTGTCTAACCGGGACTGTAATGTAAAGCCAAACAAGCTTGAAAATGTAAGCCAAAAGTTAAATTTTAAGTTAGTGAAAAAGTAATACTCTTTTTTACCAAAAAAATATATATTAATTTACTTGGAATAGTGATAGTTTTGAGGGTATAATAGCCTTTTGTATATCTATTTTTTATTGCCAATTAAAACATTATTTCGGATACACAAAAAATAATTATAATAATTTGAGCTCCAGAAAGAACGCAATAAGTATACAAGATATTCAGCTTGTATGATATCATTATCAACGTAAATTATTTACCCATTAACTTAGCACCAAGCTCACTTATTTTTCCCTTTATATTCTTAAAACACTTTTCAATAAGCTCTAGAAAACTCTGACCTGGTGGTTTATATGAATCTTAATGTGAGTCAACTAGAATGATGATGGATGCCACAGAGTGCGAATTGCGAGCCAAATTTTCTGGCACAACACAATGTGGCATACCAAATTGGATGCGAATTTGGAAAGTTCCGCAATGATGGGCCACGACTGTCTGTCTGCGAGGTGGGTCATCGTGCCACCGCCACAGATAATGTGTGTGTGCCGGCAACCTCAAGTATTTCGACGATGGATGACGACCCCACGAGACAATGCTCCTCATAATTTATTTACAAGAAAACCCAGGCGATGTGGCCCAGTTCGTTGGGATGTCGCCAGGTGCAGCAATATGTTTCGTGTGGTGTCAGTGTGGTGTCTCCTGTAAACTAGTTCAAGTCAATCATAGCCTGGCGGCCAAACCGACTTGTCCTGGTCACGATACATCCACATCCACAACTAAAACCACATCCTCATCCACATTCACCCGTCCATTGTCCATCTGTTTGCTGGGTTTGCGTGCCGGGCAACTTGACCGAAAAAATGAATTGTATTTGAGAATCCTATTTTTGCATTCGGGAAAAGGTCGGTGGCATGCAACTTGTTTGTGTCGCATGCCGAGAGAATGGGAGCGGCAAATGGGAATGGGAATGGGGATCGCTCCGAAATGCCAGCATCCCAAAAATACGCATCCCGAAATGTGGGTCGCCCCAAGTGAATCACTGCACGGAAAGCAAAACTTGCCAAATATTTGATTAAATGCTTCCTTAAAAAAGATATTCTATTTTTTATTATATTATTATTTATTTTTATTAAGGTTCATTGGAGGAAATACGTTAAGCGTTTTGGTTTAAAGTAGTATAAAAATTGGTTAATTTATTAAGGAGATATAAGTTCGATTTAGTTGAGATGAAAATATAGATTAGTTTAGCAAATTGGTAAAGAAACTCCTTAAATTAATTTAAATTTGCAAATTTATATTAATGTACCTACTCGTATTTGGTTTATATTGCTATGCAATGTAAATATTTGTTAAAGTGTAAATGTAAATAATTTTAAATAATCATAGCCACCTATAAATCTTTTTAGCTCTGACTAAAAATCTCCACTCTTCTCTCCCATTTAATCCACAGTGGACTAGTGCGCTGCCATGTCCGCCACTCTCTTCGAGATGGCATCGCAACCGGAGCAACAGGACCAAGTGGCTTGCCTGGAGGAGCAGCAGCTGATTGCGGGGATGACCAGTCTGGAACTGAGTGAATCCGTTGTGACCCCGGGCAACTGCGATGGCAGTGACAGTGGACTCGATGTGGCCAGTTGCTGCCTCTCGCGGGTCACCTTGCAACGCGGACTGAGCAGCACCAGTGGAGGCTACACCAGCAGCAACGGACTGGAGGAGATCTACGACAGCTGCGAACTGAAGGTCACTACGGTGACCCAGAATCCCAGTGAAACGGGCAGTGAAACCAAATCGCCGCCAAGAAGAACGGGTTCGGTGAAGAAAAAAGTGGCCATGTTCGAACCGGAATTGCCAGGAACTCCTGCCAAGGATCAATTACGCGGCAGAGTGGCCAATCTGAAGAGAGCAGAGAGCCTGCCCAGAAATAGTTTAGGGCCACCCAATCCCTCAACTCCGCGGGATAAGTCACGCCTCTCGACCTCCTCCTCCTTCCGAGTGCCCAGTTCCACGACCACGCCCACTTCCGCCCGATTGGCACGCCCCCAGAAACCGGATACGCTGCCCAATGCCCTGAATCGCGCCCAGTCTGTCCAGCGACTCGCCCAGGTGCAAAGGACACCCTCTTTGAGCAGAGCCAGGACACCGGGAACTCCTTCGGATGACGGTCGTTGGCCGGCGAATCGGGGAGCCGCCCGTCGCGGGATGTCAGTGACCCCGGAGGTGACGGCGAATCGGATGAGGGGAAGTCCTGCGCCCGGAGGAACCCTTCCGCGTCGCAGGAAGCAGCAGTCGGTGGAGGATTTAACCGGAGGTCGCTTGTCCCGGAGCAACAGCATCAGTCGAGCAGCGGTGGTGGATCCCCGCATGACTTCCTCGGTGATGGTGGTGCCCACAAGTCGCAGGAGCTTGGCTCCAGCCACCGCCAAGGTGAACTCCCTGAGGAGACCACAAACGGCGACTCCAAGGACACGAATCTATCACGAGACTGCTGTGCAAACGGCGCTGACAAGCGAGGATTTGGAGCAGGTTTTGGGTGGAGGTCTACTGCAAACGAGAGCCTTGGATGCCGTGGAGCAGCGGAATCAGAGCACCCAGGCGGAACCCGACCAGAGGGACAGCGAACTGGAGCAGCTGCGTCAGGAGGTTCGTCAGCTGAGTGGAAAGCTGCAGAGGGAGCGGGAGGAGAAGCTGGCGATGCAGCAGGAGCTCCATCTGAACACCGAGCGGGTGATGGGAATGCTGGAGTTGGCGCGAGTGGTCAGTGCCAGTGCGGGAACACCAACCTCGGAGGACAGTGGCGATGGCAGTGGTCACGATAGTCTGCTGATGCTGGAATCCCAGATCCAAATGAGTGGACATGAGCTGTTCGAGCGGCAGCAGGAGATTGGCCAACTGAGAGCCATGTGTCGTGCATTGCAACTGGAGATGCGCAGATCCTTGGCCACTCAGCAGGTTCTCCTGCAGGAGAAGGCGGCCATCGAACAGGAGTCCAGTGAGCTGCAGGACTTCCTGCAGCACGAGAAGGCTGCTCAGTGCGATGCTCTGAGGGATCTGGAGGCGGATTACCAGGCGGTCAAGACTCAGCTGGCTAATCGGGAGGAGGAGGCCAAGGTTTTGCGGGATGAGTGCAGGCATCTCGTTCGCTTGAATGAACAGCGCCGCCAGGAGAATCGCCTGCTGCAGACCAAGTTCTCCGCTCTGGAAACAAAGTCCAGGGAGCTGATCCACCAGCAGAATGCCTCGGTGGCAGGAGCATCCACTGCCCTGTCGGGATTGCATTCCCGTTTGGATGGGTTGGTGGAGCAGCTGGTCTACTCCTACAGTATTTCAGAGCAGGATCTGGAGGTGGGTCTAGTTATTGAATCAATAAATATCATGTAGTATCAAATACTTTTCCTTTCACAGGACATTCGCTTCCAAGCGGAATCGGAGCAGGTTCAGAATGGCCAGCGACCCAATGGCCTGGATCTGCCCATTTGTCCGGCTGCCAGTGGCGATGCCATCCACACCTTGGTCCTGGCCAGCGATGGATCCCTGTCGCCCCAGCGCAATCAGTCCTTCATAGCCGCAGTCATCGGTGCCATTCGCCAGGCGACCACCCATTCCGGCAAGAGATTATCGCTGCGCCAGGCGGGAAAGAAGAACGGAGTGGGTTCGGGGTCCACTCAAGCAGTGAGCACAGGAGCCACGGGTCAGGAAACCCAGGGAAATGGAGGTAAGACATTGAAAAAATACAATTTAAAATGTTTTACTAATTATAGATATGTTTTTAGACGATTCCGATTCAACGGAAATGCTGGACTCTGAGACGGAACCCTGCCTCCTGATGATGGACAACGTGCTGGAGGATGTGGTGCACCACGATTCGCATTCGCACAACATGGTTTCCTCCTGCACGGGAATGATCTCCCAGATCGAACTGCCCACGGAATTGATTAGCCAGTGCAGCCATCAGAATAATATCAATGGAGATGATTCCCTGCAGCAATTGTCACAGGCCATCACCAATCGCCAGCAAATGGAGATGCACATGCACAAGATGAATGGCATGCCCATGAAGTGGGTTATCCTATCTGATTCTTTAGGAGATTCCTTATATTAATTAATTGTATTTTAGTATCCGAGATCAATGCAAAACGGAGGAGCTGAGTTGCCATGATTCATTGGCTGAATTGGCGGAATTGCCTTCCCTAATGGAGTACAGTACCGCCCAGGCTGTGGTGGATCAGGTGATCGAGGTGGACACTTTGGTGACCAAATTGCTCAAGGTCCTGCGACTGGTTCAGCTGGACAACGACAACTGCATACAGCAATTGATTGTTGATAAGTGAGTCTAAATAACTCCACTTTATTTAATTAAATGTAAACCCATTTAATTCTGTTTTCCAGAAACAAACTGCAGCAGCACAAGGAGGACATGCTGGAGAAACTAAAAGACTTGGAGGACGTCAACCTGAAGCTGCAGGACGAACTCATGGATGCCACCCAGGAGCTGATGATCAAGGGCAGCGATCTCAGCGGAGCCAAAGCCGAAATGCAGCGACATCGCAACGAAATCGACGTAAGATTTTAGACCCGAGCATCGCCGCTGGGCATTTTGTGTGGACTTTTGTGTTGCGCATCCTTCGAAGACATTTCTATATATCGTTATCGTTTTTAACCGTCAGATATATATTCTCATATGTTACACACCAATCTCGATCGCGATCTTATTTTATTTGACTTGACTTAGTTTAGTTGTAGAACTTATTTTGAATAAATTACTTGGCTTATTTATATCTTGAGTTTGTGCTGTAGTCGTAGCGTATTTGTGCGATCTTTCGATATAATTTCTTTCACCTTGTTTCATCATCACCCGATCAATCAATCAATCATCAAACAAACCTCATCAAACGACATCTCGATGGTACGACAGTCCCAAATCAAGTTCAAAAGTGCACTCTTTCGTTTAAAATGAGATACCCAACCAAACTAATAGCCATGTAACCACTACGCTACCGCTTCTCCAACCACTCCAACCACCACTTCATCCGCTAATCCCGGCCAGCGTTTAAACGAGGACATCTGCACACTGAGCACCCTTTGCAGCAGCTACAAGAAGCTGTCGCCCACTACGGAGTTTCCGCCCATGCGACTGCTGTCCCCGAACCAGGATTCCGAGCAGGGCGATGTCCTGGGAATCCTTAACTTGCTCAAGATGTGGCAGGCGGGTGGGCAGCTGAAGGATCCGCGGGTCAGTGGATACCTGCAAACAGTCAGTGGGAGTCAGGTGAGATTTAACCCTAAGTTAAATAATAATAATATAATAATAATATAATAATAAGGATAATATAATAATTATATAATAACAACAAATAAATAATAATAAAGAAATCTTTTTCAAATGTACAATTATCAGATTTTTCCCTTGTATTTTGATAGTATTTTAAAATTGTTTTTTTGATCAAAAACAAATAAAACTATTTTTAAGATGATTTTTATTTGAATTACAATTATTCATTAACAATATACAAATTCAAGTTTCCCGAAGTTTTGATAATATACTTGTAAATTTTAGCTACAAATGTTTTTACTCTAATTTAAAAATTTGTAATTTCTAGGTTCCAACTACCCATCAGGATAACAACAATGTCGAGCGCCTTAGGATCTACGCCAATCAATTGGAGCACGTCTCTCGTGTCCTGGACGAAGGACTTCCCGTGGAGTTGCATGCCCCGCTGAAGCAGTTGCGGCAGGACATCGAGGTGGTCAGGACGAATGCCAACTGGACGCAACTGCTTGAATTTAACGAAACGGATCACAATGCCAACGGCGACGTGTCCACGCCTTGAATTGTGTCAAAAACTGTTGTTAATTGTCTAGTTAACTATTAGATCTTGAGCGTTGTTTACTTTTACGTAGTTAGTTACAAATGTTTGCGTCCAATTCAAAAAGCGAAACGTCGCACGAAGGCAGTTCTAAATGTTTTAACCACGTCCAAAGGAAAAAACGTATTTTAATGAAACCATGCATTCCATTCAATCGACCAGACTTCGAAATCCATTGCACAAGTGATCTAGTAATGAATTTCAGTTCGCATTTGCATTTACCTTATATAGCATACCTTGAAGCACTTAAAATTTCTATACTGCATACTTTTCGTCTGAGAAACTATTTCTGTAGCCCTGATTCTAAAGTTAATGGGTTAACAAGTATTTGGTCCCAAGTATTACGAACAATTCCTAGAATTAAACTATTCCTAGAGCTAAGTTAAACTTTGTTGATTAGCACACTTCAGAAAGAAAAGCTCCATCATGCCACATATGTATTTTTGCCAATCACAAAGCCGAACAAATATAGATTTGTTCAAAGAAGCGAACATTTGCTTATGAGATATCGCCACAAAATATCCTTCAGGATATGGCACGCCTCAAATTGAATTCCTTGCCGCATTGCCAAAATTATGATTGCAGCTACAAAGCAAATTTGCTATTCAGTCATTAGAGGAAGGTGAAAAGGGGTTTTGTGTGAAAAAAGAACCCCGCGTACTGAAAAATAACTAAAGCATTCGATTTTGAAAGCAAGCTGTTTGTTTAATACACGTACAATAAATAAGCATAAACTAAATACATATGTATAAAAATCAACTATAAATGATAAAAACAATTTCGCAAAATTTTTGAAATCCCTTGAAATGGTAAGTACACGCTACATAAGTCTAAGGTATAGGTATATATATATATATATATAATGATATTGTATATATATAATATATGGTGTGTGTATATATATAGACAGCAGAGTCCTTTTGCTCGCCGATCCTTTGTCTGTTTGTCTTTTGTGTGTTGCCGTTTCTCTGTCTTTACATTTACAAATAATCTCACAATTGGGCATGGAATGCCATCCCATTCGCAACCCATTCGAATCCTAGAAGGATGGCTTGCTGCTTCCCATGCTCCTGGCTGGCAGGCTATTCGTCTTGGCCGTCGGGTTGTCACGGGCCTGCGAATGGGCCACCACAATGCTGAGGCACTGCACCCACTCCTCGGCGTTCTTGCCGTCCTTCGGCTTGAGTATTAATGTCTGGTCGGCGGTGAAGATCTCGAAGGCCTTCGGAATATTGCGAGCACCACGCGACACCTTCACCGATCGAATCTGGTTCACATCGATGCTCTCACCGCCGCTCTATAAATGTTTTTAGAAATTCAGTAACCACTTTTCAAGGATTAAAACTGATTGATCTACTTACAGATCCTTTGCAGGATAAGTGTGCTCCGGATAAAGTAAAGTAGCGCGTGCGCCAGCGCCTGAAAAGCCTCCACTTGCCCTTCTTCTCCTTCAGTTGACCTTCGATCATCGGTTGGTTGCTCCCGTTGAGAAAACCCACCGCCTTGTCCGGGTGGTTGCACAGGAAGCAGCCCCACTGGTACTCCAGCTCGTTGCAGTTCGGGTTGGACTTGTCAGTCTTCGAGACCTCGAACACGTCCAGGAAGCCCGAGTGGCGCAGCTCGTTCACCAGGATCTCACGGTCCTAAAACAATTTGAAGAACAATTAATGCCATGACGGATATTCCATCTAAAAGATCTTATGATTATAATAACTTATATTTTCAGTAATCTATTAAGTTTCAAATATAATTTTTAATGTCCACAAATTTTGATAACATTTAGATATAAGTTCACATATGATTTACAAAATCAAAAATATTTTCTTGTAATAACAAATTAGGTTTTTGTACAAAAGATTTTTATGTAAATTCAATCTCCGCTCGAAATCAATAAATAAAACTTGGTAAATTAAATATCAGAATTTTATTTAATTTTCTAAAACAATATGTAGACCCACCTTGACCTGAGGAAACTGGCTGGTGACCAGTTCGGTGAAGCTGCGGTTCTCGCACTTGAGGATTTGCCAGATATTCTTGAGATTGCTGATGCCAGATTCACGCGTGCTCAGCACGCACTTCTCCTTTACCTGAAAGAGCAACATTTGAACAGGACTTCAAGGATGTTTCCCAGCACTTCAATGCCCAGTACTCACGAAATGCCGCACTTGAAAGTCCAGGAACATCATATGTATCCAGGTCTTGGGGTTCCGCGTTCGCATCGTGAAGCAAGTTTTGGAGTAAAGGCAATGGGGTCCTCGAATCTGGCAGGCAAAGTGCAATTTGGCCACCTTTTTGGTCCTTCGCTCTGCAAATTCATTGGAAACTGTGTGATGTGTTTGTGTGTGTGTGTGTGGGGATGTGTGTTTATATGTGGGGGATGGACGGGGAAAGGAATTAGAGCCTGAGGGAGAAGGACCTTCAAGGACTTACCCTCGATGCTGCATCGCGTGGGTGGCGGCAAATGCTGCGATACTTCATCCATGTAGGACTTGATCGAATTGAAGTTCTTCTCGCAGAATTGCTGGACGGGATCCCGCATTATCTGATATGGCTCGAAGGTGCTCATCCGCTGGTCCATCACGCTGTTGGCATTCAGTAGAGTTCGACTGGTATTATCGCTGCGCCGGGGAGCCACATTTGTGGTGGGTCCCGAGACAATCACTTCGCTCTGAAAATCATATATATAATACATAATATATTATTTGTTTATTCATAAAAACTGTAATCTATTTGCTTTAAAATATTCTAATTTTTTTTGAGAATATTATAAATTTTAAGTGAGTAATCGAAATATTACGTAGTTGAAGTAAACATTTTTTTTATCTGACAATAATATCACTTTTATGGATCTTGAATACTAATTGTAATATGCTCCCCTTTTTTATTGTAAACATTTTAAAAATATAAAAAATTAAGAGCTTTCTTAAATGTTTCTAATCGACTGGTCTTTATGACAAAATATTCTTAAAATGTAGGGAATAAAGTAATATTTAATTTGTGTTATTTAAAATATTTAACCCCATTTATTCTTGATTTTATCCACTTACATTTCCATTGACCGGCAGCTTCATCACCGACTTGGCGTTCCCGTTGCTGGAGGATTGGGGCAGGGCAGGCGAGGCATGGTGCACGGACACCGCATTCTGTGTGGGTGGCAGAGTGGCCGCCGCGGATGATTGGGGTATGGAGATCGAGCCCACCGACTGGTTCAGTGCATCCGTGCTGTACTTCATCAGCACCGTGCTCGAGTTGAGCAGCGTGGAGGGTCCTTGGGAGTGGGGTCGCACCTTCGAGGGCGACGTGGTCACCGTTACTCCTCCGGAGGTCACGGGAATTCCATGCCGGTTGTGGCCAGTTATCACCACATTGTTGCTCAGCGGTGGAACTGGTGTCACGGGAGGATTGCTGAAGGCGTTGGGCGTCTTGGGCGTGGCACCCGATTGCACCACCACATTGCCGTTGGAACTGCCGCCGGGTTGCTGGTTAATCTGCGAGTTGCTCAACCGGGTCATGCTCTTGTGGAGTCCCCCCACCGATCCACTCGCCACATTCAACCGCGTCACACTGCGGTGTGTGTTGCTCGCAGGATGCAGGCGTCCTGTGCTCCGCGAATCCCCCAGCTTCACCCGCCGCGTGTAGCCCGCATGTTGGGGAGTGGGCGTGGCAGCGGCCACGGGCGTAGAAGTGGCAATGGGCGCCGAGGCGGAGACGGGTGGCGCTGTGGGCGTGGCACTGGCTGCACTGGCTGGCTGAACGACTGTGGTGTTGATGGACGGGGCGGCTATGGGAGCTACAAAAACATAGAAATCAATTAATTAATAAGAAAGTTTCTTTGAAACAAGAAAGGAAAAAAAGAAATGCCTATACCTTTCTCTGCAAAAGTATTAAAAAAAATTATCAAAGAACGATAGCAGAATTTTATAGAAATATTTTACGTATTTAAATGATATTTATTCTTTCATGTATCATAAGTTAATTAAAACAAATACTATTAATATTAGTCTTCCTGTTCGAAAATTGTTTCTTCATCTGGATCGTAATTTTCCATCTCTCCCCCTCAATTTTGGATACCAAACTCACCTGGTTTTAGAGGTGGACTGGGACTGGAGCTGTTGAGGCTGACGATGGTGACACCGCCGGAGGTCTTGTTGCCCAGGGCGTTTCCCACATCCTGCTGCGAGCTGAGGGCCGCGTTCTTCTGCCGCACACAAGCGAGCACCTTGTCGGTGAAGAGAACAGGATACGCGGAGCAGAGGCGAGTGGCCTCCTGCTGCAGGAGAGCCTGGGTGGGCAGGTGTTCCAGGACAAAGTCCAGAGCCTGCTGGGCCGTCTCCTTGCTCCCGATTCCCGCAGTGGTCATGATCTGCGCACAGAGCGGAATGGTTCCTGGGTTCGTTTTGGCCGCCAGACGCAGTTGCTCGAAGTGATCGACGAGGAGATTGGGCGAGTGCTGGGAAATCTTCAGTAGGATCTGCATGGTGATGCTGGAGGTATCGCTGTCGAGCAGAAAGCCACAAAGCTGGGGAACGCAGGATTCGAGAACCTCGGGAGATTTCTGAACAATCAGCAGATACAACTGGAACACCGCCATTCGCTCCTGGGGATCGCACTGCGGCAGCAGTGGCATTAAAAGTGGGGCATGTGGGGTCACCGCCTCAGGAGCCACCTCGTAAACCTGAGAGAGCACCCGGAGTAGACCGTAGTTCCCCGACAGAATGGACTCCATCACGGACTCCGTGTGCGGACTCAACAGGCAGGCGTGATCGATGGCAGCCAGGGAAAGATAGCTGGCCAGGTTTCTCGACAGCTCCCGGTTTCCCTTCGGCAGAAATTGAACGGCTACGGGAAGGGCTATTTTCATCAGTTCTTTTTTGTCATAGTTCTGTAGATAAATAAAGTAAAATTTATTCAATAAAAAAGTAACTAAAAAAATCATCAGACTATTATAAAAAATTAATCATATAAAATAAAATTTATATCCTATGAATAAACTTTTTTAAACCCTAATTAAACTCACCAGAAAAATGCTAGAAATGATATCTGCAGCAATCTTTGCATGAGGTGGCTCTTCTTTTGTGGTTCCCGAGGGTTGTAGGTTCCACAGCAGACAGGTCTTCAGAAGGTCCACTAGAGCAGCACAATATCGCTCTGCACTTTTCGTTTCCCGGATGCAGGAGAGCACCCTCGTCACACAGATCTCCACCACACTCTGGTCATTGTTGTTCTTCACGTAGTCCGCATGCGAGATGATCGGACTGATTTCAGAGAGCTTAAAGGATATTAAGAAAACTTAATTAAAAAACAAACAGGAAGTATATAGGAAATGCAATAACTTACCACCTCCGTGATATCGTCGACAATATCTGCATCCGGCACGGAGAAAAGATCTCCTGCTCGAGAAAGATCGCGCTTGGCGAGCACTTTGTTGAAAAGTTCGTGCATCGTGGAGAATTCTCCCAATTAGGGTAGCTCAAATTTCATCATCTGTTGTGGCAACTAAAAATGTTTATATTTTGGTTAAATTAAAAATTGATTTTAGTAAAAAGTGAAAGATAATAGGAGGTAGATTTTGTAAAAATAAAGTTGATATAACTTTAATCATAAGTAAATTGATATAACTATCATAAACAGCACTGTTTATTATACTGAGATCTTTGTTATTATAATAAGACATTTAATTATTTATATTCCATTTGTATAAAGCTGGAGTGAACCCAAAAAATATTTCATTAGATCAAATGGGAATTGGTCGGCGGTATTTGTTTATTTTAGTCACTGCATTTTTTCACTGCCATGTTTGGAGTTGGCCCATTGCCAAAGTTCAGGCGCCTCTGGCAGCCACTTTTTTATCTTATCGCCGGGCATTTGCAAATTCAAACTAGACCGAGTGTGGCGTTTGCCCAAAATACTTGTTGCTCCAGCAAGTATTTCTATTCTCGCGGTCCCCTAAAAGTGCATATATAGTTGTATAAATATAGATATTCCGCGGACACTGAATACTTGTTGCATTCCCTCGATTCTTATCTTAGATACTCGCACCGAGATGCCCTTGCACAGCCTCTGATGGAATTTATTTAGAAGTGCTTGACAAGGAATACGAGTGCGAATAGACCTTGTGATACTATAAATCCTAGAGAGTTATGATTCGCAACTGCTCCTATCTTTATGGCCACCGAATATGGGTCGAATATCTTTATGGAACCTCCAAATAATTGGAATCAAGTGCAGGTTTTGGCCCACATTAATTGCCAGTGTCGGTTTGTTTACCCGAGAAGAGAATCTGCACCGCATGGCCAGCAATTCTGCGAACTGTTTGCTAAAAACGATTCGGTTCTGTTTTCCGTGGGGTTTCCCGCAAAAGGTGTTTTTGTTTGCCCACTTGCACTTGGCCTGCCGCTTGTTTTTGCCCCGCTGATAAGCCGTTAAATTCTTCTGGCCATCGCAGTCAACCTGCCGTCGACTTCTTTGGGCCTTCGTGGAATGCCAAACGACGACTCGCTGTCTTTTGATTAGATGCGCAAAATTCCGGGCAAGGGATTATCCCCGGACTTAGCGGATCAACCCGGGGAATTTGCCGACTGGCCAAATGAGTGGGCGCTAGAAAAAGCTGGCAGAAAAGTCATTTCTCGCGGCTGTCGTGCCATCAAGGAAGTAGACGCCAACGCCAACGCCCGGGTTATTAAATTTTCAAATAAAAACCGAAAACCAAAACCCAAACTGAAAACCAAGAGTTGCATAATCCATAGAGGCCAGTCAGGCAGGCAAGCCAGCAGGCAAGCGGCTCTGCACGCGAATTGCAGACGGTTTGGGCCTCTCGACGGGCGGACAAGCCGACTGGCGGACAAACGGACTGGCGGACAAGCCCGACTGACGGACGGACAGACATTTGCTTCCTGGAAACCGGGACAGAAGACTGAAGACAGCGACTGGGCTGCTGTGGTTGTTGTTATTGTTGTTATTTATGGCTCATTCGCGCTCAGGTTGCAGCACCAACAACAAACAGAAAAAACTGGTTAAAAAATAAATAAAGAAGCAGCAACAAGTCGCAGCAGCAGCAGCAACAGCAACAGCAACAGCGGCAGCAGCAGCAGCCACTTTGAGCGCCCGAGAGAAAATTAAAAGAGAAATAGAAACACACATATGTATGTGCTGGCAGAGGGGAAGGGTATGGGGAGGGGGAAGGGGTTCGGGTTTGGGTATAAGTAATGGATGATGGCGTTGGCTAAAACATAAACCGAAACCGGTGCGGCAGGTTAATACACACGAAGCCCCCGGCCCAAGACCAAAGGGGAAGGGATGGGGAGCGGGGAGGGGACAGGGGAAGGGGCTCAGGGGGGCCCCGTGGTCTCCAGATTTCGGAGACAGAGTGGAAACAAAAGGCTGTGCCAAAAATTCGAGACCCCATAATTCTCCGCTTAGATTCTATTTGCATTGCTCCACAAAATGGCAGAGTTCAGAAATGGAATAAACACAGTCGCCAAATCGGTTAGTTAGTTAAGGTTTTTTATTACAGTGGAACTTTGTTGACTTAAACCAAATATTTAATTGGAAATTATTATGTCCATTTACCATTTTCAATGCAACATGAACTAAAGTTTAGTGGAATAATTATGATTTAATCAGCAAAACCTTTATTTTGCCACCTTAACACAAAAAAAATATTTCTAATATTGCTTTACGGTTTGTATTGGAATAAAATCTATGAGTAATTTAAATTTATGATATTTTTTAATTTTTGTAATTTTTTTTTAACTTTATAATTTGTTTGGAAAAAGGGAATGGACACGTAAAATCCTTAAATTTTAAAAAAAATTTTGTTCAACCTTTGATAAGGACTTCTACCTCTTGTGATTAACTCACTCAAAAAAGATTTTCAAATTGTGTAATACCCGATGACACAAAATTTAAAGAAAAATTCTTAATAAAAACGTTTTGCACGCAATTTCTAGATCTTGAACGTGTCAAGATCGCTGTTCGATTTACTGGAGTCTGTCTGTGTTTCGTAAGAGCGTGCGAATGACTCAATTTTCCGATGGAGACAGAGCAGAGATGCTCCGGCATGAGTAACCCTACCTGTTGGCCAGGGCTGGACCGACCGACCAAGTGGCACGGCCTCCGTGGGTCTCCTTCTAGGGAGTTTCCGCGAAACGGCCAGCCGGCTCACATAACCGTCACACTGGACGTATACGTATTCTGATCCAGGCAGCATTCCGCTTTTCCGAAACCGAGTCGCATTGCGTGCTTGGCAAGTGTTTGGTTCTTGTTTGTGCATTCCATTGTCATACCTGGCCAATGTGCCAGGAGGAGAGGCGTCAAGTGTCTCGGCCGATGGCAACTGGCAACCTGCAACCTGCAACTTGCAACTTGCAACTTGCGACTGCAATTACACGTCGGTTCAAAGTCTGCCCGGCGGCAGGGGAAAAAGGAGTTTCGGCGGCGTGCAGTCGCAGTGCATGACTAGTATTAGTCGCTGGCGGAAAACTAGTTTTCCCCTCACTGCCTCTAACAATCCGTTTTTGCCTACCCTACGCATGCGCAGACAGTCATCGCCACCGCTGACTGGAATTGGTGACTACGGTGGCTAGGACTAAATAATTTATTTGCCTGCATTTGCAAATCTGGGTTGCAGATGTCATCGGTAATTATTGCTTATTGATTCGAAAGGGTGGGGAATTCTATAAGGTGTGGGAGTGATATAAAATTTTATCAAGATTTGAGTTTAAAAAAAAAAAAAAAAAATACAACTATAACCAAGGAAGGCTATCAAATACATATAATATATATTAAGACATATTGTTACACAAACAGGATTTATTTGAAAAATCAATATGCAAAGTAAGCAAACTGCTATTATGTCCAACAAGTTTTTTTTTAGATATAGGTATCAAGTTCTATAGATTTTTAAAAACCCTAGGGCTAAAATTGCCAAATCAGCAACAATTTGTTCTAGGCAAATATAAAAATGAAAACTGCATGATGTTTGATAATTTTTGTTGTGGATATCAGTATTTAATTATTTAATTTATATTTGTATGTAAACAATCCTATCTTTATTTCCGAATACATTTAAATTCAATCACGATTATTATTAGCCAATTCTTTGAGTGTATTGCATCACCAGTTAAATTATGTTATCTACCCCACTGGCAGCCAAAAACTACCTACATGTACGAATTAGCAAAAAATTATAATTTATTCGCCCCACCACCCCCCTGGTCGGTGTTTGGGGACTGCGAAAAGTAAAGACAACATCAACACGGTAATCCGATCCGAAGGCGAGGTGATTGGGGGACAGGAAAGCGGGCATGTTGAAAAATGAGCGGCGCGTGAAACTTATTAATGAAAAGGCCGCGAACGAAGAAATTGCTGCGAATTAGCACAACAACAAGAAGCTCACACGAAATATACAAAACGCTTTACTAATACTTCTGTGAATATTTTGGCACTTTTTAATGGGTTTGCCGGAGCCTGCGATCGCCGATTCTCTAGGGTTTCTGCTACCTGGCCAACTTCTTACCTGCTCAACAAGAACAGCTAAATGCTGGTGAAATCGTAAAATCAAATATTTTGCTTAGGAATATGTCTGATCGGAAAAAAATCGTTAGTATTCTTTCAAATGGTTTTCCTATACATTTAAGTCAATTAAAAAAACCTATAAAATAAGTTCTTGAAATAAGATCTCAAAATTGTCAATGACAAATTTTTGGCTAATATTAGCATTCGTGTTTCTTTCACTAAAAACGTAATAGCACATTTTTAAATGTATTCTAATATACTAACCAAAGGAATTTTGAAACATGAAATCCTCTGTGTGTATATTATTTTTTCTATATTTTTGTTTTATTTAAGTGAGTTCAATATTGAAATTGAATACATTGAATAATCTATAAAATATGCAAATAAGTCTTAAGCATTTTTATTACTTCTAATGAATACATGTCCCCTTTTATTAGATAACTTTTGTATGTCTTGAAAATTAAAAACCAATCGAAAGTCGTTCGAGGCTATCTAAAAAATTATATGTTTGGATCGGAAATTTGAATGCGGCAAGGCGAGGCAACGGTGAATGGGCGAAACTCACCGGATTGCATCTGTGGCTGCTGGCAGACAGCTGGTCATATCAGTATCACTTCGGGCAACTGGAACTGGTCGGAGTCGAAATCGGAGTTAAGCCCCGATCTGGCGCTCTTTTTGTCTGCGGTTCCTGCTCTCCGGATCTCTCTATATATCTCTCTTGCAGCGGCAACAAAAAACACTTGAAAAGGTAAAAAAAAAGGTAGACAACGTTGATGGTTGTTGCTGTTGCCGCTTTTGTTGCTGTTGCTGCTGTTACTGTTGTTGTTTTGGCCAAGTCAGCCGCAACCGTGGTTGTTGTTGTTGCTGTTGTTTTTGTTGTCGTTGTGTGTTTTTTTTTTATATGGCTGCTACTTTTGTTAACTTTGGGTGTAGTTCAATATTAATTTAATTGTTGCTGCTGTTGCCGATAAAGCACAAATTTTCAGAATTGTCGTTGGCGTTATTTATTTTTTACGGCCGCACTTTGTTGCCGCGCCAGCGCATTGCTTTTTATGCAAATTTTCGCATTTCGTGTATATCTCCAAAGATTTGTTTTTTTTTTATTTTATGTCGGCTGTATTTTATATTATTTTTTGTTTTGTAATTTATGTGCACTGCTGTTACCGTTGACTGTTGTTTCAGCCACAATGCCTTGTTCCACTATGCCTGATTTCTTTGTATTTTTGCTAATCACATTTTGTTAACACACACACACAGTGGCACACACACGTAGGCAGGCGCACACGCACACACACTCAACTGGCGGAGAGTGCGAGAGAGAGAGCGAGAGGGGGCGAAGGGGGGCGGCAGCGGCTAAATGACGAGCGCGCTGGCCAAGCGAACGCGTTTGGGCCCGAATGAAGACTGAACTGAAACTGAAATGAGACTGAGCGGAATGGCAAGGCAATGGCAAAAGGCCCACTTGCCAGACTGGCCGACACCGACGGGTTGTTTTTGCCTGTTTGTTTTGCACGATCGCTGCCTCTCTCCGGCGCTCTCTTGGCTCTCTCGCGCTCTCTGGCGGCCAAGTTCTCACCCATTCCCCATCAAACTACCTTTCTTGTCCAGAGTATTACCTTTGCCACTCTGTTTGGCAACAGATGAGTCGACTTTACGAACACCTCTGAAACTTAATCTCATTTTATTCGGTGGTACAAATATTAAAAGAATAATAATATTAATTAATCTGGTTAATTTAAAATCCTCTTTCAGCTAAAGTAAATGGGGTTTATAGTTTTTAATTATCTAACATTGCACTCTTTTAGAAGTCTTTTAAAGTACTTTTATTCTCGTAATCAGATATTATAGAAATTCTGAAACTATTGGGCTCTAAAAAAAGCCTAGCATAGTTTTTGGGGCATTTAACCTTGTAACAATTTAAATAACAAATATGTGTGTATAGAAAATAACTCAAGAGAATTGATTTTCCACCATAAAATCAAATTTAATAAAAAATATTTTAAATATTTACCACCACTTATAAATTTTGTGGGGTACCCTAAGGTCGACCCTTTATAATTACCCTACTTAACTGCTCTTTTTGCTTACACCAGTTTATCGACGTTTTGCCTTTGCGCTTTTCATTCATAAACAAAAAACGCAGGCGGCTTTGTTGTTGCTCTGTTATCCTCTCTCTTTTGTTGCCTGCTTCTCTTCTTCTTGCACCTTTGCTTCACCTGTTGCGCGGCTAAGCAACCAGCAGCTAGCAACATGTTGCTGCTGCCGGCAATTGATGTTGCTGGTGCGTTCGTGTTGTTGCTGCTGCACTTAAAATGTTGCGGAAGCATTTAAAGAAATGCCACTTAAATCACGGAAAATCGTGGCTAATTATCATGAGCTTTTCATCAATGTTTACTACGACTTTAGCGGCTTAAAATTAATGCCCCAAGGTCGTATATTTCGGATGTCTTCCGTTCGACATTGAACCCGGCTGGCTGTTTGGGCAAACACACTCGAATTGCCATTAACGATGCGCCGCTAACAAGCGCCACTGGTGGTGCAAAGTACATTTAAAGCGGTGCAACCACTTCCTCTATTTGCCGGGTAAACAACCCCAGGCTAAGCGAATGCAACTCGGGTCAACACATCTTTCAGTACAAAATTAACATACAAAGTTTATTCCGCTTTAAAGGTAAAGTAAGTGTTTATAGTCTCTAGCTGGTTGAAGATCGCTTATTGATGGTTGCTTCTGGATTCTAGGCGTACTTGGCCACCAGTCCCTCCACGAAGGTGATGTACTCCTGCTGGGCGGCCTCGCTGCTCTTGCCCTTCTGCTTGTTCCAGGCCTCCCACTTGGCCTTGCCCTTCAGGTCCAGGAGTCCCGGCTTGGCGGTGTCGTTGTCGCCAACGCTGGCCTGCTTGAACAGGGCATAGAGCTCCAGGAACTCGTCGTCGCTGGGACGCTTCGTCAGGCTCTTCACCTTCTCGGCGGCGGCATTGAATTGCTGGAAAAAAAAGATATTAGCATACATAAGAACACTTTCATAACTGGTGATACTTAAATCAATTTATCAAGATTTCCCCAAAAAAAATTTTTTTTCTTATCATAAAATGTCTCATTACTGCTAATACTATCATTACTACTGATAAAGTTATAGGAAATTTAATTATGATTTAAAATCAAATTTTAAGAAAGATACTTCATCTCTGGAAAAAACCTTTTAACAGCTTTCTCAGTATTAAATGCCCTCCAACCTTATCTCATTTTTGATTTTGTGAAGTATATTCAAAGAAAAAATGATTTTCCATTCAAAGTAAATTTTTTTTCCTTAGTCTGGAACAGGTGATTAGCAAGAAGCTTATCGCCCAGCCAAGTACCGCCCTAAATTTGGTAGACTTGCGATCACTTAACTTACCTCGGAGACGGGCATTGTGGGTTAGATTTTATCTGCAAGAAGTGGAATTGTACAAAAAGTTAAATTAGTGTAGTTTATAAACCGCTTAGTTTTATGTTTATTGTCATAATAATGAAAACCAGTTCCGAGTGAAGAGGCTGGGCGTGTGCCAAACAGAACCAGGTGGATGTGAACTTTGACCCGCCGACTGGCAATCTCGGCGAACTAATGAATGTTTGCTAATGGATGTTTGTCGGGCCACACACAAGTCCGACTTTCTCCCGGCGAAAATACATAATTTGAATAGAACTTGGGATTATGCTGCGGAAGCAGAAGACGCAAATATTTAACTTTCGGGCCGAGATTTTCGAAAGGGAGCGAGGCGGGCAAACCGTTAGCGGCCCGTTTTGGCCGGCGAATTTTGACCAATATGGACACGGGTGTGGGCTTCGTACGTGTCTTGCACTGAGCCAAATACTCTCCATATATGGACATGCAAATATATTGTACAACATTTTGCAGTCTAGAAATGACTTATAAATTACTCACTAATTTTATGGGCGTTTTAAATGACAACGATTGAATAACTTAAAGTCAAGGTGACAAGTTCTAATTAGTAATTTCTTTTAAGCTTTGACTTTTGACCTACGTTCACGGAAAACACTTGTTTTTCTCAGTGCGTATTGGGGTGTAAATTTCCACAATTGAGTGTGTTGCAGGTGTCCAAATTCGTACACCGTGCCCCTATCTAAATTAGTGCTTTATGTGTCACAACCACAATTAGTGGGCACTGCTGGTGGGTAAGGGCTTTCGGGGTAATTGAATGCAGACCGCCGGGCAATTGAAATTGGGCACTTACTTTTTTGTGTTGACTGTCACAGAACTAAACACTGTCTGAATTCCAATCTGGCGGTGACTTTCAATTTAAGTCTTTCCATATCGCGCGATCGCCCTCAACGGGAAAGCTTCTCCTCGGCGAGAAATCGAGAGAGGGAAGCTCCATTTGAATTCTCGGTGGATCACGAAGCTTTTTGCTCGAGTGGCTCGGGCAATCGCGGTGGTGATAATGCAGGCCCACTGATAGCAGAGCCGATTTCGTGATAAACCACCAAACTCAAAAACCAAAATGATTCGAAGCCACGTAATCTTGTTCGGATCGAAGTTCGAGCAGCAATCCTATCACTAAATCCCAGGGGAGTGGATTCAAGGACGGGGAAACGAAAGCTCCAATAAAATGCCGCTCAACCGGACAAACACCTGATTACTGCTCGTATGTCGGGTAATCTTTATTGTTAAATATGATGATATAGTGACAGGTTCCCAGGGGGTCGGAGTGTGGCTATCCCATTTAGGCGTACTTGGGGGCGTACTTCTCGTACACCTTCACGTAGGCCTCCTTGGCGGCCTCCTTCGACAGACCCTTGTTGGAGCTCCAGGCCTCGTACTTGGCCTTCTCCTTCAGGCTCAACACGCCGGGCTTCTCGATGTTCACATCGCCAACGGTGGCCTGCTTGAACAGACCGTAGAACTCCAGGAACTCGGCATCGGTGGGCTTCTTGGTGAACTTCTTGGCGAGTTCAGAGGCTTCTTCGAACTGTTTGGTAATGGGAAACAATAGGTTAAGTAAGGAATATATTATAAATTATGTAAGACGGTTTACTTTTTATAGAACATGAATAATTGGGTTCGAACTTCTTAAAAAGCAGATGCGCTTATCATTATTAAAAGGTTTTTAGCAAACTTTAAATTTCAAAAGATTTTTATAAAAGTGGTATTTTCAATAAACGTTTTTTTCTTTATCTCTAAAAAACAAATTTGTTTATATAATCGATTTAATTATTTTCAGAAACAATTTTCCTTAATTTTCTTTCACTTTCACAGTAGAGGGTTTAAATGGTATCACATTTTTTTATTTTTTTATCAGAACCTTAATGTTGTATCCAATGTGCGGAATACTTACCGAGACCATGTTGTCAAAATGGGATTCTTGTTGGTAATGCTAATTGTAAAAAGAAAGTAATCACTTTAAATTTAGCCTTACTGAAAGGATTCTTTTTGCTAACGTGCTTACCACTGGAAAAGGCAAAGACGATTGAATACTTCTAGGCCTTTTAGTCGCGCTTATATAGATTTAGGCTCCTTTCATTTTTCTGTTGGTTTATTGGCTTTAGTTAAATACTCCATTTTGCTTATAATCAGCAGATATCGATATCTTTATTTCACTAATTGTGCTGCCCAAATACAATTCAGGGACATTGTCAAAGGTAGCGATATTGGAGATAGCCCCCGGTAACACTTATCGTTTATTGCATGTTTTAAGAACCTAGGGCGCAGTGGGTTTTTTGCTCTAAGCGGTCAATCTTTTGCAACATGTCATAAAAATGATACAATTACTGGATGATTAAACTGTCAAATGGGCAAATAAGTTAAGCGATCATAAGCAGCTTATAACATTTAAACTTAACAATCATTTATATCAGAATGAACAAGTTAAAAGATGTTAATTTTCTAATTAATTTTAATGATGTTATTATGGAACGTTTTGTCTTATAATGTGCATAAATTTTTAATATCAAAATGAGTTAAACTTTACATAATATCCAAAAGCTAAAAATGACCTAACTAAAAGTAATCACTTCAAGAAACGCAACACCAAAAAACACCAAAAAGTATGCTTTCATTTCATTATAGCTAAGTAAAATAATTTTACATATGGTGTAGATAATTTATCGGCTTATTTTGCCCATTTACTCGTAAATAAATTATTATTCAAAAAATGTATAATACAAATTATTTAATTACAGAAATAAAATAAAGAAGTCTTAACGATGTATAACAGTGTCTAACAACTTAGTTTTCATTTTATACTTTAAAAGTATAAACTAAGTTGTGATGTAAGAAATTGTAATCGTCCTAAAATAATCATCTTTACTATTTCCTTTTTTTAAGTTCTTAAGCAGTTAAAAAATATATAAACAAAAAAAAATAATACTAAATGTTTTATTGTCATTATCGCCTACCTTTCTTCTTAGATTTCCTAAATAACTTGTCACATTTTATACCATTACTATTGACCATCCAATAACCAAGACTTCTTTGTTTCATATTTTTATTACCACTTTACAGACACTTCACAGAGGGCTTCCGCAAAAACCGATAGCTCCTAATCAGATTAAGATAAGTGTGGAGTGGGTCATATGATTGAGCTTGGGTGGAAAGTTATAAATTAATAATAAGGGAATGTTTACGTTAAATGCATAGGTGTTTGGTTTATTATAAAATTACAATAAATACATCGAGTTGCAACAATCATACACATGCATCATTAGAAAGGTCACAGGAAAGGCTCTAAGACTATGGGGTTTTTCCGGGGGAAATTCAGGGCTTATTCGTACTGGGGAGCGTACTTCTTGTAGACCTCGATGTAGTACTTCTTGGCATCCTCGGCGGTCAGACCGGCCTTGCTCTTCCAGGCATTGTAGCGGGCCTTCTTCTCCTCGTCCTCCGGCTCCTCGATGTTGCAATCGCCAACGGTGGCCTGCTTGTAGTAGCCGTAGAACTCGAGGAACTCCTCCTTGGAGGGCAGGTTCTTGAAGTTCTTGGCCTTCTCGACGATCTCTTCAAACTAATAATTACAGAAAAAAATAATAAAACCGATTGGTTTGTTTAGGGATGTAAAACTTACGGTGGGCATGTTGGTGGCTAGTTGGTTTCGGTAAACAAAAACAATCTGTGGGGGTTTCGCTGCGAACACCGTTTATATATTGGCAAACATGGCTCACACCTTTTCGGTAATCTTATCACGGCCCCACTGCAATTGTAGTTCCCACTTGGGCTTATCAGAAAAACCTATATATATTCGGGTAATCATGAAAAGTGAGAGTTCCTCTTAGGGGCATTCAAATATAATATATAATTAGTCAGACGGCAGCTTATCAGCTCTCTTGCACTTGCCAAAAATCGACTGAGCCATATGCATAACGCTATATACTCGTTATCGGATTGATTGATTAGGCCGAGCCCCGAAACTGATGAGCTGGCCAACATGAGCAGAAATCTGGATAGCCCACCAATAACTTAATTAATGGCCAGCTCCGATTTTACTCGTAATTCACGTGAGTCAGTGGCTATCGAGTGTTATCATGGTGAAGTCGCACGATCTGGTGCCAAGAATAGATGATAGTCGTATCTACCTTAAAGGTTCCCCAAAAAATATTAATTAAACTTGGCGAACGGCCTTCTCGTCTCTAATGTATAGATACAAAATTGGGCAATGCACCTGGTCATATTCAAATTAATTAAATTTCGTAATACCAATCTGGAGGGTTCTATAAAAGCCAACTGTCGGCGGGGAGGGATTACTTAGTATCACTCGCATATCCAGCAACATGGTCAGTTTTGAGGAAGCCGCCGAACTCGCCAAGAACTTCTCCAAGAAGCCCACCGACTCCGAGTTCCTGGAGTTCTACGGTCTGTTCAAGCAGTCCACCGTTGGCGATGTGAACATCGACAAGCCCGGCATCCTGGATCTCAAGAAGAAGGCCATGTACGAGGCCTGGAGCGCCCACAAGGGTCTGTCGAAGGAGGCCGCCAAGGAGGCCTACGTGAAGGTGTACGAGAAGTACGCTCCCAAGTACGCCTAGATCCACACCATTGGATTACCTTCCATCTGTTAAATAAACCCAAAATCTTATTAAGACAATCAAAAGTGTATATCTCACATTTAGAAAGCTGCCTCGGATTGGGGCATCGAAACTGCGGCAGCAATGAGTGGTTTCGCCTGTCCGGTCTTCATTAGCATCACTCGAATCAGGGAGTTATCCGGGTTGAGGGTTGCCGGGGGCAGTTTGTCCATGGGATCCAGCACAGCTGTTACCTCGAAATCCACTCGAAGTGGCACTCCTGGCAAAACACTGGGCAATCGAGCCAGGGTCTGCGGAATGGTGTAGTGTCGTCTGTCCGCATGGAGCAGGATCACCAGATTCGAGGCCATTTTGAAGGTGGACAGGTTCTGAACGGTGAGGTAGAGGCGAAAGGCGGGTCCACTGCCGCAGACCTCAGCGGATAGCTTCACGGGGGCGTGGGTCAGGTCTCCGGATATCGTGCTCTCCGAGGAGTTGATGGCATCGATTGTCGCCCGGGCGGCCGTGTGGCGAAGTCGCCAGAGTTCCACCTGAAAACTGCCATAGGTTGCTGGAAGAAAATAAAATAAAATATCAAAGAAATTTACAGATTACCCAGGACTTGAATCAAACTCATTTTAAAAGCATAAAGATATTTATGGCATATATATGGAATAATCTTATAAAGTTTTATAAATTTTATTTTATTCTATGAAAGTAATCAATCAAACTCTAAATGAAAAACCATGAAAAAGTGGTGCGATTAGCCAGCTGTGGAATTTTTAGGAAACCTGAATCATTTCATAATCTAAGTATGCCGGTTTTTTTTAAGCGCTATCACTATTACGTGTAATCAGTACACTTTTAGAAGAACACGCAATTTAAAAAGAAAGAAAGCGTTTATGATTTATATTTTATTTGACATGTATAATTTTGAACAAAATTATTTTTTAACGGGAAAAGATTAATTTTCTTATCAAAGTTTATTATTTTAACAATCGAAATTTAAAAGAAAATCCAAACTACGGCAAATCAATTGAAAGACTTGTTTTACAGAAGTTAAAAGCCATTGGGGAAAAAAAGAGTGATAAGAAAAAGCTGTTGGGAAAGCCAAAATGGTGAACCGGCAAAAAGGAAATAACCCAAACTAAATAAATTATCTTAGCAAAATTGTTTTTTTTTTTATGTTAATTTTCAAGCTTCATACTTACATTTTGCTTGCTGCTTCTCCCGCGCCGCCTGCTCCACAAAGATGGAGCTCTTCTTGGGCTTGTCCAGAATTGAGGTATCAGCGATGGACATCTGGTCACTGCCCAATCGCTTGTTGGCCGCTTCTCCGGTTTTTGGTTCAAAGCGAGACACCCTCCTCAGGATCTTTACAACAATCCCTCCGGATTGAGTGACGAGTGTCAGAACGTGATCCTCCATGCCCATCCGACCATACAGCATGGCATCCACAGTTTCGTCCAGGACGAATTCGTCGACGAGGTAGCGCTGCAGGTAGAACTTGACCACGCCCCCTTGGAGGGCGATGGCCACCAGGGTGAGTCCCAGATGGGTCATGGGAAGGGGCAGGAGGCAGACGGGCAGTTCGGCCAGTGCAACCTGATAAAGCAACTTTCCCCGCTTCGAGTAGCATAGATAACGATTGTCCATTGTTGAGGCGATTATGGTTTGATCGATGGGAAGGAGCAGGAGACCGGTGAGTGGGATGCCCAGCTTGAATACCTCCTGACCCTCGGATTGCGACTTTCGCAGTAGGTAAACGCCACCATTCCGAGTCGCCACCACGATGCAAAAGTCCGTCTCAAAGGTTCCCTGCACGGAAATCAGACTCGGCACGGCGGTCTCATCTTCGCAAGTCCTTCCCTCAAATACCAGGTTGAATCCCTGCGGCTCCAGGATCAGGATATGCCCGATATCCGTGGCCAGCACCAAGTGGGATGGCGGGTTTGCATCGCTGGAGATGCGCTTCAGACAACACATGGCCACTATGCTGCCCACTCGACCCACCGGCGAGTCCTTGTGGGTGGTGATGAAGTCCTCGCGCTCCTCCTCGCTCATTTGTAGCAGGCGTTGTGATTTCCGGGACAGCTTGGAGTGGTCAATGCTTCGCAGGGAGTCCAGCAGAGCGGGATGGGCATCCTTCTTCATCACCGGCAGCTTGCGCCACACCTCCAGTTCTAAATCCTCGGAGTCCTGGGCGGGAATCGTGTACTTAAAGTACGGCTTCAGATGGCGGTAGAAGAGCACTGACTCGGCGATGGCTACGGCAATAACTAAAATAGAAAAAAGGTTATATATGGGATATAGTAAAAATTTATCTCTGAAGTTATAGCTTAATTTTTAGTATCCAATTCTGAGAATCAAGCTAATAATTAAATGTGTGACAAAGGATATGCGGTTATGCATATACATATGTACATACATAATTCTGAGAATACTCATTTAAATGTTTATTAATTTTTTTGAAGTTGACACTTAAAACCTTACCCGGCGTTTTCGGCTCCGACTCATCGATGTAAAGACTCTCGATGGCCGTGGGAATCCCCGGCAGCGGCTGCTCCTGCTTGAGCTTGAGGCCCCGGAAAACCTTGAGGGTTGCACTGGGCTCCTCGGCGGCGTCGTCCAGTGAAATATCCGCTGCCAGGAGCCGGACGTATCCGTCGCACTGCACGGCGCTCAAAGCCATGCAGCTGGAGAGCGTTGTGAGCTGTGGACGAGGACTCTCGTCCTCCGTGTCCACATGGAGCCAGTTGGGAGCACCGGCCATGGCAGGATATTTAGGAATACTTCACAGGTGCAGAGTGAAAACGAACAGGTGATTCAGGACATGCCTTTGTTTTGGTTTTTCTTGCCCCTAGCAACCAGGATGACCGTTTATTTTTATATTATTAGGCTTAATTAATTAAATTATTATTAAACAATGAAATTTTATACGTTATATTTTTAAACGCATCTACAAATAGTTTAAATAAAACTAGCCAAAGATATAATTTAAAATGACAATCTTTAATAAAATTGCTATATTTTTTTTTAAATTTAAATAAACCGCCCTTTCAGTATTTCATGGTATTTTTGTTAAACAAATATACTGGTATATTTGTCTAGACCCCTAATATTTAAGATTTATTGAAATCTGGTCACATTAAAAACTAGCGACGCCAGACGTTGAATTCAATATTTAATATTTTTTAGCTTTAAGTGAATTGTTTACCCTTTATTTAAACCAAGGGATGACGGAGTACAATGACGAGCCGTTGCTTTTTCACAAGGGCGAGATAGTCCTTTGCTACGAGCCGGATAAATCAAAGGCCAGAGTTCTTTACACCAGCAAGGTAACCCATACCAACACATGCACATGTACACTTGCGTAGAAACGTCAAACAAACGTCAGAAACTAAGTTTTCACCGCTGTTTTTTATTTGTTTTACCAATTTTCCCGCAGGTTATAAATGTTTTCGAGCGCCGCAACGAACATGGCATGAGATATTACGACTACAAGATCCACTTCCAGGGCTGGCGGCCTTCCTACGATCGCTCAGTACGTGGCAGTGTCCTGCTGAAAGACACCGAGGAAAACCGGCAGCTGCAGCGCGAGTTGGCTGAGGCGGCACAGTTGCAGATGTAAGTACATGATTTTGGTAAATTCATGGCAAACCTAATCACAGTCTCATAATCCATTTGCAGTAGGGGAGACTACTCGTACAAGGGAACGCCCGACAAGCCGCCGGCCAAGAAAAAACGCGGGCCAAAAGGAGCGCCAGTGGAAGAGCCTTTGGTGGATCCTCTGGACACGGGAAACCTTACCGCAGAACCGGAAATGCCGCTCTCTCATCGCGCAACTGGCCACCGCGCACCTGCGCGGGATAATAAGAGGAAGGGGAAGGCCGCCGAGGGAAAAGGCACTCGGGGACGACCCTCAGAGGCTGCTCAGCACAACGAGATTGTAGATCCCGAGCGCTTTCTGCACCAGGAGGAACGCGTTATAATGCGGGTCAGCGAGAGACTCCGCGAGCTGATCGAGTACGACCGGAATATGATCAAGAAACTGGGCAACCAGCACGCCTTGCCCGCCCGCGTGCCTATCGTGACCATCATGGAGAATTTTATCAAGCAGCGGGCCGTGGAGCTGGCCATTGGCATCAAGCAGGACAGTGCGAGGGCCAGAACCACCAATAGTCGCAATTTAAAGTTGAAGTGGGAGTACGATCGCGTGATGTCAATGTAATTAAAAACAAATCAAACATCTAGAAATATTTTAACCCAGCCTTTTACAGCGTCTGCATGCTCAAGGAGGTGGTGGATGGCCTGCGCGTCTACTTCGAGTTTCACATGGAAGACCACTTACTGTACAAAGAGGAGAAGGAGTACATTCAAAACTACCTTACCGACGAAAACATGAAGAACTGCAGCCTTATCCTTAACAAGTCGTATGATTTCATAAATCCCAGTGGAGACACAGATCTAGTATCTTTGGACGGCACGCCCGTGGGCGGCGGAGGTGGCAAGTCCAACGGGCAGATCGAAGGTGGCATTCTCGGTAGCACGGAGTACGAAAAACAGCTGCAAAAATGTCTTCTCTACATTGTGACATGCAGTGGAAAGAATACAGCTCAGGCTTATGAGCGTTCATCGCCATATACGGCAGCCTACAAACTGCCGTTTGAGATGCGTGATTTCCTTCACGAAACATTCAGCTGGCGGCTGCTATCAGCCGAATCCCCACCGGAGAGATCCATGATTTTTGGCGCTCCTCATCTGGCTAGATTGATGAGTATGTACAACACATTTTCCACCGTTTAACATAATTAAATTTCATCTTTATTTCAGTTAAAATGCCCATGTTTTTGAACGCCTCGCCAATTAGCAATAGGAAGCTGGAAGATCTACTCCCCCACCTTGACTCTTTTACCAAGTAAGGCAATGATCTTTCTGTGTCACCCACAATCTAATCATTAAATTCGCAGTTACTTGGAAAACCACAGGGAGTGGTTCGACAAGGATAACTATGTTAAACCCACCGCTGCGCCACAGGAACATCTGCAAAGGGAGCTCTTGAATTCCCTGGATGGCATAGCTGCTTAGCTTTAGTTGATCGTAGTTATCTAGTTTATTTATTATAAAGTTTAAAGCTTATGTTTTTTATTTTAAAGATTTGTAATTGTCGTTTTGGTTTCTTCAACTACACACTTTGTAAACAACGCGCTTCTATAAAAAAGTCTCCTAACGTATAATCGAATAATGCCTACTAACTATATGTTAAATATGGAAAATACGAGTTTAACATTTTTTTTTTTTTTTTTTGCTTATCCTAAGTTTTAGTTGAGTAGTACATGCTAGTATTTTTGTCTCTTTTTTTTTGTGCTCCAATAAATTTAAGAGTTTGAAAGATTTTGTCTTTTGTATTAAGGGTTTTGCGGACCTTCAGTTGGAATGTGCTGGGAATTCTTTAGATTTGTATAACATCTCAAAATATTGCAACTGTAACAATTACATATGTGTGTTTAAATTTGTGTGTTCAGATCCTCTGCTAAGAAATTCGAAATTGTCGCATGGACGGCTTGGATTTGGATGCATTCGCTTTTGTAACATGTGTGTAAACTAGGGACGTTAACTTTGACGACGACCTCGTGTGGATCCTCACTTCTGGCGCTTGGTGGCACTGCTGGCCGTGGGTCGCATAAAGCTGCTCACTGACCGACTGCTGCTGGTGCTCCGCTGCTGGGGATTCGGATTTGCACTCATCCTGGCCTGCTGCTGCTGGTTGAGGGCGTTCTTCACCAGCACCACACTGCGAGCGGCGCTCATCCTGGACTGTGACTGCGACTGCGGCTGGGATTGCGACTGATTCTCTTTGAAGCTGGTGCTGCCGCTGATATTTGATTTCGGCGCTGTGCTAGACATTTTGCTGCGCACCAGGATCACACTGGGTCCCACGCTGGAGCCACTGCTGCTGCTCCTACTGGCCGGCACTCCGCGTCCAGGCGTTGGTCGCAGATTCTGGGCAGCCAGTGGTCGCTTGCTGGGCGAGGAGTCCACGGACACAGTGGCTCCTGCTCGCTGGACGGCGGGCAGACGTCTCACCACCGTTTGCGTGGACGCTCCACTGTTGATGGAAGATCGCGACGAGCGGAGGCTGTTTCTCGAGCTGCTTCGCTCCACGCCGGCGAGGACCTGCTGTTCCTGCGGCGATCGCCTCACCGCGGATGCGGACCTCAGCGGTGCGGCACTGGTCAGCGGTTGTCCATTCGGCATGCGAAGCGGTCGGCTGGCGGAGAGACTCCTCTTGACCGTCGCCGTCTGAGTGGCAGGGATTTGGTTTTGTGACTTGGCGGATGCCGTGGATGCTGGCGTTCCTCCGGAACCCTTCAGTCTGGCCTGCTGCAGGCGATCGGCCAGCCGACTGCCCATCTGGGTGATGCTGGTGGTCGTGGGCTTTTGCTTCTGCAACGGTCGCTGGCGGGCGGGAGTCTCGTTGACTCCCTCGTTGCAGGAGGAGTTGGTGCTCTCGCCCTTTCCGTGGGAAGGCGTGTCCGACACCAGACTCTGGGTCTCCTCGAAGCCCTCGTCGTTCAGTTCGTGGTGACCGCTCGCGGAGAGCTTTAGCTTGGAGGGCGTGATCTCACGCGGCGGACTCCAAGGTCGTTCGGGTGTTCCAGTGGGCGATTTGAGATTCCGGATGGCCTCCCGCACATCCTCCTGGTTGATGGAGCTGATGTGGCGACCCACCTTCTCCAGTTTGTTGATTGTGCGCTCCTTTTGCTTGGATTTCTCCGGTGGAGGTTGTTCTGGTTTCGAGGGAGTGGCTTTTGTTTCCGATGTGCTGGTGGTCATCAGCTCCTCATTGCCACTGCTGTAGTCCGTGGGCCTCTTGTAGCGACGAGTACGACGCGCCAAGGCATGGCGATCGAAGTGACCCGGGGCATCCTGCTCCGCTGAGCTGATTTTCTCCTCCACCGGAGCCTTCGGCTTGTCCGTCATGCACACAGTGACCACTGTTGTGGTGGGCGTGGCAATTACCCGACGACTCACGGGCGGCGTCTCAATGTTATCCGCATCCACGTCCTTCGAGGTTGCCTGCATCTCGTTCTGGCTCTTGTGGTGATTCAGCAGGCTGGCGAAGGTGTCATCGGACACCTGTGGCTTTGGTGACTTGGGCGGATGCGAAGGTTCCTCCGTTTTCGCTGGCTGCAGATCCCTGCTGGAAGATCTTCTTATGTAGATCTGCAACACTTCGTTGTTCGAGTCCCTTTCGCCCATTTTCTGGATATGGGATCTTCGCTCTTCGGCAATCGATTGCAGTGCAATGGGACTCGGCTGATCCTGCGATCTCTGCTTGCGATATTGACGCAGTGTATCTTGCGGTTGGGCATCGGCGATGGCCTGCAGATTGGCCACCACATCCGTCTGCTCGAGCGTCTTCGAAGGCTTCCAGTCGGCGTAGACGCGCTGGTATTTCCCGGACACCTGGTCCGTCCTGCTACTGGAGTTAGTGGGATTAGTGGTCGTCGGCGTGTTCGTTGGCGTAGCTGTCGTCGTCGAAGGCAGGATCTTCTCCTCCGGCAACGGGTCTAGTTTTCGTTCGTTTTCTGTGGAGAAAATTAAATTATATCCTGTTGATAGGAAGGATCATTTAAATAAGAATATCTAACCAGTTTCGTTTTCGAGCGATCGCCGATTGGCGTTCACCAGACGACGCTTGCGCCTGTACTCCTCGTTTTGCTTTTCATCGCTCTCGTTGGACTGCAGCCACGTCTCGATCTTCTGGCGCCATTCACGGGATATTCTGGAAAAGGAGGAAATAATTAGTAAAAGGTTGTGATACTTATACAAATACTTATGCATTATAACAAAAATTTTAATTATGTATTACGATAAATATAAAAAGAAATATCTACTATCTAATTTTAAATAATTTTTTGATCATCTCTCACCTTGGTTTCGCATCCTCGTTGATGGGCTGCGTCTGCCCAATCGCCGATCCACTGCCCGTGGGCGTGTTCCCTGCCGTTGTGGGCGTGCCAGCGGCACTGGCCAGCGGAGATTGGAGCCGCTCCTGCGCCTGCTGCTGTTGCTGCTGGAGAAGAGGAGCCGGTGAGCTGGCCCGCTCCCGATCCAGGCCAAAGTCAATGTTGAGCAAGTCGGGACGCTTCCGGCTGGAGCTTCCTGAGCGGGCGCGACGGGCCCAGGAGCGATCCAAGCTGCCGTAGGCCGCCTTCCGCTCCCTGCTGTTGTGTCCTTCGTGGGGACCCGTCGAGCTGCGCAGGAACTCCATGAGGTCATCCTCCTCGGCCAGAACCCTGCTGCGCCGACGCCTCAAGCTTCCATTGGGCGTGATGTCCGGAGAAGCCCCGTCCTGTTCCAGACGGACGAAACCATTGCTGATCTCTCCGGATCCCAAGTGGCGGCGACTCAACGCCGGACTGGCACGAGGATCGAAGATACCATCGCCCAGGAAGGAGTGCTCCGAATCGGACACAGGGGTGCCAGCTTGACCAACTGTGAATTGAAAAACAAAGTTTAATTTAATTAATAAAAGGTGTTTTATTTACTCAAAATTACTTCTCATTTAAAATAATTTTTTGAATCACATTAATAGACCAAAAATTACTGTTCAAAATTTTTTTTGTTATATCTGGAAGTTTAGCAATTAATTAGCCCATTAAATTTGGTAAGCTATTTTGAACATTTGGATTTTTTGAGTCCATAATTTTAAAAGTACGATTTTTTTATTAAATTGTTAAGCACCTTGTTACCTTATTTTTTTGCTGTGTTATATTTTTGGTATTTTAAGTATTAATTACCGCCCATTTGAAGGTGCAAATATTTTTCAAATATTTTAACGTTTTGAAGATTTTGGTTTTCCTATAAATAAATTTTTTAAAGGACTTACTTTGCCTGGCTCTGCGGGCCAGCTGCTCCTCGCGCTGCTTCCTCCGCAGCGTGGCCTGCTGCTCCTGCTGCTGGCGGCGCTCGTTCTCCTTCACAGCCTGCTTGAACTTATCACAGAAACTCTGGAAGATCTTGAAGCACTCCTCCAGCCGGAAGGTGGCCGCATCGTCGCAGAAGAACTCGGACAACTTGAGGCGCATGGACTCGACCTGTTTCATGCCCGCTTGCAGGACGGCTAACTCGGATTCGGCGGCCTGCAGGAAGTCGGCCATTTGCTCCTTGATATCCGCATCCGTGGCAGGTTGTTCTATCTGCCTGGCGATTCTCCTAATCCTGCCGTCCAGTGTGTTGATTTCATTGCTGATCTGCTCTGAAGTTGTTCTGCAAGGTACAAAAATTAATTAATTTATGGAGATTAGAAATAGATTTTCTAATTTCACTTACTTGCTGGCACTTTCGAGGGTTGTCAATTGCCCAGTAAACTGCAGCAGCTCCGGATTCCGCTTCTCCGCCTGAAGAGCCACAAAATGGATGAGGTTCATGCCCGGCTTATTTGCTCGAATATCGGTGAGCTTCTGGAGTGAGGAGAGCTTTACGCCCGCAGCATTGCCCGCATATCCGCCGGAGTTAAGGAAGTTTCCAGCCACAACGACCATGTAAAGGACCTCCTGAAGGATCTTGTTGTTGAGCAGATCGTCACCGGCATAGAGCATGGCATTTATACAGGGTTCCAGATAAGCCACATTTGCTGCGAACTCCTCCTTAAGCAACATGCTTTCAATTCGTAATTTGTAGCTGAAAAGAAAGAAGATTACATATCAATTTATAAATTTAATAAATATTAAATTTGGGTAAAGTTAAATTTTTGTTAAAGTTAAGTCCAGATTAAGAATAATAATTATTGTAATCATTTCAAATTAAATTTTACAACTCTACTTATGTTCATTTATGTATTATTTTAATCAGTTGAAATTTTGTAGATAATTTTGGAAATTAAAGTTGTTTGCTTCTTTTTTCTTTGGCTTTAAATATTTTTATATTATTAGTCAACAAATAAATCATAAAATAAATACTCACTTGGGCACCTCCAGCAGCTGGAGCAGGAACTTCTCGGCGTTGCCCAGTCGTCCCTTGTCCCCGTTGAATCCCTTCAGCATGTCCAGCTCGTCCACCTCGGGCATTATCTTCAGCAGTCCCCTCAGTCGCTCCGCTCCGATCTCCTCGTGGACACCCTGCCTGATCAGCTGGATGATGTCATCATTACTGGTGCGGAATTGCTTGAGGAATATGTTGACATTCAGACTCCTCTTGCCATCGAGCAGCGTGATCTCCGTGCTCTCCTTCTTGGACTTCCTATCCAGGGTGTCGCAACCATTTCCGGCGGAGGAGTTCTGACTGCCATCCCTTCCCAGCTTCGGTGATCCCTGGGCACTGGCTGTCTGCAGGCAGAAGAGTCCCTCCATCTCGTTCCAGTCGATGTCCTGCATCGGACTGTCCTGGTGATTGCTGGCCACGATCGTCCAGATGTTCTGCTTGCCCAGGACCTTGTTGTGCGGAATCTTGCCCCAGTTGATGGTCTTCATCTTGGCCTTCGGCGCGGGTGTGTCCTGTTGTGGCAGCAGTATGGCAGTGGCCACCGCCTCCGCGGCCAGTGGATCGGGAGTCCTCGGGCGAGAGGCCAGTTGCATCGAGGGCGGCGGCGGTGGAGGTGGCAGGGCTCCTCCGCCACCATTGATCATCGGCGGCGGCGGAGGCGGTGGCATCCCCCATTTATCGGCGGAGGCGGGGGCGGTGGTGCGGCTGGGGCCATGGGCGCCGCCATGGGTGGCGGGGGTGGTGGCGGCGTCGCCTTAGCTGCCACGCCCACCGGCTGGGAGGGCTTGCGGGTGGGGCTGCTGGCATCGCTGCTGCGGCAATTCTGGCAGGCGAACTTCTGGCTACTCGGCGTGCGCAGCAGTCGCACCGAATCCTCGTGGCTCTCGAGGAGCGTGGCCCGGTGCACCAGGCGCTCCGCCGTGTCCCAGATGATGTCGCTGAGCGGCTCCTTGGGATCGATGCGCAGCAGGTGCTGCAGGATGTTGAGGAATGGCACTTCCTGCGGCGTATCGGCCACCTTGAAAACAATAAGAATTTAAATACAGAATATGAATACACATACTCAAGTTTAAGAAGTCTTAATATTGAATTTTATCTAAAAGAAATTCAAGCATAGTTGTATTGTAATACATTAAATTTAACTTGACTAGTGATTTATATTTTGGCATTAAAAAAGCTTCGATATTACAAAGAAAGATCTACCAATACTTAATTTAAAAAAAATAGGATGTATCCAAATAAATTACAATCTTGTATAATACCTAAATAAATTTAAATATATAAGCTTATTAATGTTACAAAGTATTGCTCATTTCAAAATAAATAAACTATTAATTTACTGTCAAAGTGCAACATTATTGTACCTATATATTAATTTCATTTAGTTTCTCATCTTAAAAGCATTTCATATTATAAATTAACTCCTTAGCTCAGCACCGTTGCCATGCAAAGAGTAACCTTGATAGACTTGCATGGTCACAGCCTTGGTCAAGTCCTAATGACCACTTTGCGTATACGCAACTCTCCCTCCAATGCCAGGGGAAATAACGCATACGCTCCGTTGTACCCTTTAGCAGAAACAGAACGCAGCAGCACTCACCTGTCGCAGAATCGCGTAGAAGACATCAAGATGCGAGTTGAGATTGATGCCATCGGGCGCCTGAAGGCTCTGGGCCTCGTCGCATTCCTGCTGCTCCACGAATACGTCCAATTGTACGATGATATCGCCCACACTTTGTGCGACTTTTCTGCAATGAGAACGTTCGGTGTTAGTGGGTTAAGCTATAGAAAATCTCGTGCTTCTGTCCATCAGTCCGCAGTAATTATTCAGCCCAGTTTGCAGTTGGCAATTTGTACGTTGTAGGTTTTTTCTGCTTTGCATGCCGTTGACAATTCTCACAGTGATTTAATTGATTTTTTAATTATGCAGAAGTATTTACAATATATGAGGCCATAAATAAATATATGTACTTAAGGCGAAGGAGGGGAATGTCCACAAGTAGTTGCCAGAATCGATAGAGAACAAGTGAAAAAATTCCCCAGATGACATTGAGTAACCTCCGGAGGCTGCACACAAAAAAACAAAAAGGATTTCGCGGCGGTCCGACCGACTCACTTGAGATTCTGCACCAGTTGCAAGGCGGCGCAGCTGTAACGGGACAGCGAGCCGCAGAATGTCAGACGACGCTGCAGGTGCAACGGCGATGGCGATGGCGTCACGGAAGCGGAAGCGGAAGCGGAAACGGATGACGTCGCCGAGGACGCGGACGCGGATGCCGTCGTCGATAGAAGAGACGGCGATGGCGGCGGCGAGGGCGATGCTGACGACTCCACCGTGCCTGCTCCTCTGTTCGCCTGCTTGAATGTTTCGCCTGCCAATTCAGCCTTGGCAATCGAAATGCAAACTTTACTACTGGCACACCATTATTCTCGCGGCGTGCAAAATCGTTAGCCTTGCGCAATGTCCTTGCTGGCAGCTCCGCTTTTGGCCAGACAATTGATATCCTTCCTGCATCGAAATGGAGACACTGCCACTGGCACTTTTTAATTGCTTGCCAAAAATCGCAAATGGCAATCGCAATCGCAATTGCGGTTCGAACGAGAGAACGGCCAGAACGGCAATAACGAGGACGAGACAGCCTGGCACGATTCATATTTGAGATATGGCCACGATTTGGCGGCACGGAGAGCCAGCCAACGAGCCGTTGCCTCGTTGCCTCGTTGCCAACCGAATCCTTGTTGTTTTTGGCGGCCACGTGCTGCGCGCGCAGGAGTTTTTCCTCCGAAAATAAATTCACAGAGCCTGGCGGCCTCTTTCTACTTTGTCGAGCAACTTCGTCAACATCCATCGGGCGTGTTGGACACCCGGACACTTGCACGTGATTCTCCGCTGTTTTGTTGTTTGCCCCGCCGTTTCTATTTTGGTCCGTCACGGAAGTTGTTTCGGGTTCAGGGAGTTACGGGGGCGAGCCCCTTTGTGGGGCCAAGGAAATTGGGCAACCAAAACGCCAAATTACAACGCTTGAAACGGAAGCCACATCAAACCAATAACAAGAAGTTAAAGCTGTTGGTAGCCAACACAGTTAAAAATATTTGGAAATCTTTTAATTTTCTCGTTTTAAAAAAGTTGTAAGGTTTACCAAACAATCTATTAAGAGGTTTTCTGACATTGTTAAAACTTTAAAATGTTATACCTAAATTTAAAAAATTAACAAAACTCGTTTTAAGTGAAAAACTTATGTATTAAGTACACAGAAACATTAATTTTTTTTGTAATCTGTTTTTGTATTACTATAAACAGAGACAAAGACTTTGACACTATGGCTTAATAGAATTTTATTTTTTAAGTGAAGAACATAAAAGTGCCTTGATCTTAAGAACAATACCCCTTTCAAAATCAATTTCCGACTTCTTAAACTCCACATAAGAAATACTCCAGCAATTGAAATTGTCTATTCTTGACACGGTTCTAATAATCCGCCTGAAATTCGATACTTTAGAGTTTATTTTTAGCAGACATTTATGAGTTTGACGGTAATTCGATGCTAGCACATCCATCACTCTCGGGCTGATACACAACTTCGATTCGGATTTCGATTCGATTAGAACTCATTATGTGGAGAACAATTAAAATCCGCTTAAAGCATCTGGGCAGCTTCCAAGCTACGCAAAGTCTCGAATCTCGAATGAATCTCAATGGCTCCCTCCCCTCGAAGTCGGTTTCAAATCAAAGCGCGTTGTGGCTGAATAAAAACGTTTAAGGCGATTCCAAATTCCAAATACTCGTAAATTAAATAGCGCCAGAAACTACGCATTTGTGTTGATGTGTGTGCGCGTTAAAATTTAAATAACAATAGAACTGAAGGGGGTCTCCTCACTCGAGAGGAGATGAAAAAGATCCACAAGACAAATGGCCCGGGACAATCAATTAGTCAACTTTGCTGCTCCGACTGACAAGCTGAGGAATCTGCCAATGCGGACAGCTTGTTTGTTATTGTTCGCTTTTGGGCTTGAACTATTTCAGAAATTAATTGAATTTGCTAGTTTCAATCGTTTCCGAGCCAGCGGTACAGATACAGATACGATACAGATAGAGAGCCACAAATTTGTCAACCAGAGGGTCATAAATAAACCCGTTTTCGAAGGGTAAAGGCGGGGGGTTCAACTAATTGATTTATTGTTGACTAATTAAATATTGAATTAATTGGTTTGCTCAAAAGCGGCGCAAATTATTTGCATAACACCCGATCATCGACCAACCAAATGGTCATCTCCTCGAGTTTGACGAGCATTTGACAAGCCTTCCAGCGGCGTCTTGAGCGGTCATTATCAATCCGCCCGCCAAATCTCTCCTTTTGTTGGCCAAAAAAAAAAAGCAAAGTCCACTGAAAACTTAAACGAATGCCTTGATCTTGTCTTGTTGGTCGTCGCGTCATGTAGTCGCATGCAAATTAAATGTGCGTCCGATTCGAATAAAGCATAAAAGCGGCAAACGGCAATCGTTAAACTGTTTGTGATACTCATTTGCTTGATTGTGGGAGACTTTCAGGGTTTTTTCACCCAACGCGATTTGTTTGGCCAAAGCGGTCTTCACACGATCAGTTTGGAATACCAACAACGCCCTCAGCAAATCTGGGTGCTTGGAATTGTCTCGTCTTTGGGTTTTTTATTGAGCGTCCTCCTGATCGGCGCACTTTAACACTCACCTTAGGTTATTGAGCAGCGGCAAAACTTTGAGACCTGCAAGACAAAAAGGAGAAAATTAATTATTGAGGGAGATATCAAAAAAGAACTTATAACTAGCATAAAAAATAAATATTATTGCCGTGAACAGGAATTTATTCATTAAGAAAATGTTGTTCTCTATTAAATAAGTAAATCATTTCAGCAAAATCAGGGTTTAAATAAATAAATCAAATAAATAGAACAATGTTTAAAACTCCAATTGATTCAGCGGTTAGTTTATTTAATTACCTAATTTTTTTAATTTTTTAAGGCATGCCAATTTTAATAGTTACTTTTTATTTCTTTCTGTAAAAGTCCAAGCCGTGACCTGAATACAAAGAACACAACTATAAATGCCTTGGGCCTATTCTAATTGTTTCGCCTTGCCAAATAGTGAGTAATGTGGAGATGATTCGTTGCCCCCGGAGAAGCGGACTTTCCATAGGCAGCCAGAGCCAGTCAACTAAGGCCCGCCCAATGTCCAATGAATCCCGACCGACTTCCGGTCAAGCTCGTTTTTTCGCCTTTTTGATTTTATTCGCGCACTCACCAATCAATTTATGCATTCGAACACAGAGGCACACTTCTATCCGTGAGTTGTAAATACAAAAAAAAAAAAAATAATAACAATAAAAAAATTAATTACGAAAAGCTCGTGAAAGTCGTTGTCGCTTCTGTGCTATGTCCCTCAGATCCCCGTCGATCTGCCATATTTGGCGCCTTGACGTTCATAATTTCGTTTTACGACTTCGCTCCGCTGTCATTTTATTTGTTTGAAATTGAAATCCATAAAAGGCGTACAATTAAAATGCGTGTGCGATTCTGTGTGTGAGCGTGTAGTAAAAGTTTCTTTGTCCCGATCTTTGTTTTTTTTTTTTTTTGGATATTCGGAAGTTGAGAGATCTTAACTAAAAGGAGAGATCGTTGACGCCGATCATGCCATATAAAGTAGGCAAACTTATATATATCTTATCTTATTTTTATACTATTATATTTTTATTATTATTATTTCTTAGCTTCCTTTCTTATTTGTTCTTTGTTTAGATCAAATGATCGTTGATTGGTCAAGCATTACCATCTATGCCCTGCAGTCAAAATAACAGGGATTTATGTACAGCACAATAGTTTGGATCAGGGACACACCCAAGTCCACAGTTAATTGTTTAATAACATGCCAGCAAAAGAAACTCAACAAACTCAACAGCTCGAAATCAATTCTCGCTAACTATTTAAATATTTCACTCAACACAGTAAATCGGTTGATGATTTATAAATCAATTGAAATTGAATTTTGCCAGCGAAACGGTTGAGCGAATAAATTTATGGTCGACTATGGGAAAAACTGTTGCGTGCCAAAGTGGAAAATCATGGGGCATAAATCAGACAAAACCAAATGCCTCCCAGCCTGACAGATGACATACAGCAGATATGATGGCTATATGGTCGCTCGATCGGTGGGGGAATGATTCCGAGCCGATAATTGGGCACTTAAGTGGCATTAGCGAGCCTCACAGAGGTTTTCAAATCGAGAGAATGCAAATATTTGCGGGGCGTTGTTCCTGGGAATCCAAACAGAGCGCGCTGAGAAAAACCGAAAAGAACTGAAACACTCGAAGACAAAGTCAAAGTCGGGCCAACAGCCTTGAAACTGAATACTCCGATTCATTGCCAAACGAAATGCGGCCGTTGCTTGTCAAATGTGTCGTTCAGGAATGCCCCAGGAATCGGTTTTGGAATCGGATTCGATCCAAATTGAAGTTGGACGACGAGTTGCGGGGGCGACGACGGCGTGACTTACATTTTGTCGCAGCCGTTGAGATTTCGAATTTGTCTTGCTACTTCGACGCTTTGTCACTGCGTTCTTGTAATGCTGAAAAAGCGCAGCTCAATTTATTTTAATTAAGAACAATAAAAACGCCGCTTCTCGGTAAAGTTGCCCCCCGTCGCTCCCCTCGATTTCGGGCAAGTGCAGTCGCAACACATTTTGGTGGTGCTGCGTCTGCGCAGAAGGAGACTTCGGAACACAACCACCGCGCACGCACAACCGCGCTCAATCAAAGTCACAAAGCCGGGTTGACGACTGCCAAGTACAGGGGGGTCTCAATACAAAGAACTTCTGTCAAACAAAAAATTTGGGGCATATACATTTAGATTATCTACATACGGAATATAAAAAAATAACATTCTGTGATAAATACTTTTTAAAATGATTTATTTATAACATTCTGTGATATATACTTTATAAAATGATTTATAGGGATTTTTACCTCGAGATATTATTCACACAAAAAGTTTTTAAATTTTATATATAACTATTTTACTTCAATTTTATAATTTTTTGAAAATTAATTTGTAATAATTTTGAATACGAATGTTAAGTTTTTCTTTATGCTTTTTTTGAAACTATCTCGTATAATAAAATTAAAATTTAAATATTAATTTTAGCTGTTCACAATTGTTATTTATTTTTTATAAAAGGTCATTTTACGACTTAGAAAAATATTTTTGTTTTTGTAAAAGTTTATTTTATGAAAGATAATTAAAATGATATTTATCATTCGTACCCATTGAATAATTCAGACATTCAGGTTGAGCTACACAAATTCGACCGTATTGAAAGGGGAATGATGGGAAAGATGGGGGTTTTGTTGGGGGTTGGGGAGTTTGGAGGCAGTTCATGAACTTTGAACAACCAGGGACCAAGAGCCGCCGACAAGGGCACTCGAAAAAAGGGGGAGTGAATCTGCCACTGACAGGATGTAAATGAGTCCCTTGTTTGTCAACAGACGTCTTGTTACATATTAAGTACATTTTGTTTATTGGGCGCTTATTCTTTTCTCGGTACTCATCTGCAGATGAGGGATAAATAAATTAAAGGGGTGTAACAGCCGTTTTGAAGCACGTTCGAAACATATTAAACATCTAACTTCAAACACGATGTGGTGTTTAACATTATCGACATAAACATGCAAAAGATGATCTTTGCCAACAGCCGAAAAATAGTCACGTATTATCAATTTGTTTTCTTAGTTTTACAACTGTGAGATTGCCATTTAAATCGGACAGAAAACAATTTACATTTGTAATATTGTTTGAGAATAATCTTTACAAGAGGTTAACAAGTCTTAAAAATGAAAATAAAATGGTAACCTAACAAAAATAAAGTGAGCAATGCTCATTTTTTTTATTAGATAGATGCATGCAAACAGCCATAAGACTTTTTTAACGATAATTTAACGAGTCATTAAGTTGTAAATGAGCATTAAAAAGTCTTGCAGTTACCCAGCGAAAAAACGATTTAATTTCCAAATCTTTTGATCGAAATCAAAACGTCCTCAATGACCCGACAACTTTTGGCACAATTAATAAATCAGCAATAAGTAAACAATGTACGTTTGACCGATTTTCGCAGATCCAGATTCAGTTCAAATGACTCGCCGGGCAATTACTGGCTTAAAGACGCGCCTCTAAATCGCCGGCACGTGCTAAGGTTACTCGGACTGACTGACAAAGGCGATTTGGCATTTTGGGCTCTTCGAACCTATCATTATCTAACCTCAAGTCAACGAGCAGCCCCCGAGGGTCGCTGGTGTGGCTGCCTGAAATATGAAAACCGGCGACTTGACTCGACACTCGGCGACATGCAAACAGTAAATTGTATATATATCTACTGCATATATAATATATATATTGGGCAAACAGACAGCCGGGCACATACGGTCAAGGGCACTGGCACTGGATCAGCGGGCACATCAATCAAATCATTGAAATCGAAGACAGCACCAATGGCACAAACAATCGCAGGGGAACAACCCGTTGACTTTTGCGGGTTTATCTCCATTGTTGCGACTTTTTTTGGTATTAGATGATGGGTATTGCTCTCACCTATAAATTCGTTGCGAATGCGAATGCGCTCCTGCAGCGTGGAGGCTGAAATAATGACGCAGTTAATGAAGGCCAGCAGGGCGGCCTGGTAATCCAAAGGCGGCTGGGCAGCGGCACTCGACAGCTCCAGTTCGTTGACGACAATCTTGAAGCGGTATCGCTGCTTCTTGAGATTCTGCAAGAGGTTCGAGGAGTGAGCAGTTGTTTTAAGTCTTATTTTTATGGGTTTAGAGAATCTAAGCAACGTATTTTTAGCTAGGGTTTCTTGTAGATGTATATAAAGTTGTCGAACATAAATAATATTGTTCCCTAATTTATTTGTGAAATTACAAGTTACAAGTATTTTAAACTGTTGAGGGTTAATATAGTTGCTGCCTAATTATTTTGAAAATATTTTATAACCATTTTGTGCCACATTTTTCAAACATCTTTATTAACATTTAAAACGAAATCTGTAAAACTGTTTTCGGAGTTTTAGTTATAAAACAGAAAGTGCCTAAGGCCCAACACTTCATGTGCGTTTTATCACTTGAAATTTTGTTGTATTTAAGTTCAGGCTACAATGTCAAGTAAGGTGATAAATTTAAATTCATTGTTATGCATTTTTGAGGTCCTATTACCCTGTAATATCAAATATAAATCTAAGTGCCTAACGATGTTCGATTTAATTTCATTAAAGAAATAAACGAAATTTTAATTGTGTACTCAAAAATGACATTCAGTGCATTGAAACGTAATTTAAATTGTGTTCTCAAACTTATTTTAAACTGTGATTTCAAAAACAACATTCAATCTGAATCGATTCAATTGCAATTAAAATTGTGTAACTTAAAAATGGCATTTAATGGATTTTCATTTATAAAATGTGATATAATGAAAATTAGAATGTAAGATTAAATATTGGTTTAAAGAAGCAGTTCTTATAATTTCTGTTTACTATTATTTTAGACATTTTTCCTCCAAAAAGGTGGAGAATTTTACCTTGTAAAATTCTAGGGTTTCAATAGCCCTCGCATATCCATCGGGGCTATAGGCGCAGAGGGCGGAGAGAAGCTCGAAGACCTGCTTCTTCACCGTGGCGTTCTGGGTGTCCAACGCAGCGCCCAACTTGGCAATGTAGTCACGATTCTCGACAATGTAGTCCAGGCCGATGCGTGAGTCCATCGTGGCGGTTCTATTCGTGTCTCCTGTTCCTCTGATTTTCCTAAAGGGTAGGCAGATCTGCTCCTCGGGGTCGGATCACGTCCCCAAAACGGACGCAATTCGGGGTATCGAATCGAATCGGATCGAATCGAGGCGAGACGATCGATTGGGGCGGCTAGTTGCAAAGGTTGTCGGTTGTCGCATGGAATTTCTGAGCAGTTCACGTCATGTTTCGAACGCTCCTCGTGCTCTGAATCTGAAAATTAAAGGGAAAATGGGAAAATCCAGTTAGTTGCTGGGTGGAAATCGGATTCAAGCTGTGATTTTATTTTTTTTAGGAGCCCCATCCCTTCAATTGCCGCCCTGTCACGCGTTGTTCCATATCTTTTGGGCTTTGGCGACCACCCCAACCCAAACCCGATTTTAATTAATTTATGATCGGTTCTCTAGGCCTCGGGCCGCAATTGTCATAAATTAATTTGGCCCGACCAACAGCCAGCGGGCGTAACAGATTTTTAATATTGTTGGTCTTTGGTTTTTGCTTTTTGGTATTTGATTTTGGTTTTTTTTTTTTTTGGTTTTTTGAGCTTGGGATTACGGTTGGAGGCACGATCAAAGGCAACCTTTGGCAATGGCGGCGGGTTCCGCCTTCTAGATCGACATCGGCATCTCAATTACCAGCAAACGATCTCGTTAATTTGTTTACACTCGCCGCAGTCGATACTTTCGATTAGTCGCCGTCTAAACTGCCGACAAAGTCTGTCACTTGGGCTCCCCGCATATTAAAATCCGATTTTTCATTAAAAATACAAAAAGCGCCGATAAAATGCTTAACATTTTTGTTAAGAGCTTCGATCTCAAGTGGCACTTTGCGTTATTTGAAATTATAATTTGTGTGTGCGCTAAATGCTCATGTTATATTGCCATTGTTGCTATTGTTTTGTTTTCAGCGGCTTGTTGAGTTGACTTTTTTTTACAATAAAAAACAAAACAACAAAAAACTGAGATAGGCTGTGGGATCGGCGGAAAGTTGTGGCATTTGACGTTCTGAGGCGGCGCTAATGAAATCACATACACACAACGACTCTAAATTAATGGACAGACATCAGAAAGTGACATCCTTGCGATATGCCTTATTGTCGGTCGTCACTTAACATGATATTTCCGATAATTCCCGCAAAGTGCCCGTCGCGAGTGGATGGTGAATTCTCTGGAGAAAAACAGAAAACAAGTTCTCAATCAAAACACAGATACATTTGCCACTTTGTATCTTGTTCTCTGCCTGGCTTTCTCACTCGAAGATCGCTGAATGTCGATCTACACTGTGTCACACAACTGGGCTATGAGCCTTACCAATTAGCGGATGATAGTAATCTCATAGTTAGACTATGTAAATTTCGCTCTTTAAAACTTTCAGTGATTTTTTTACGGCGATCCAGTCGATAAAAAACAGGGCATTTTGCCAGGGCATTGTGAAATGGAAGAGATAATTTCAGCAGATAAATATTATTAAGTTCCGTAAGCAGGGTAAATATTTTATATGGTTAAGCGAGGGGTTTAATTAATTGTTTCTATAAAACAGAGTTGGAGATTATTTATAATAAAAGGTAGCAGAGATAGAATAATATTGAACCTATTTTTAAAAATTATAATTTCCTATTTATTATAATTATCCCCACAAGCGACAAGTTTTTTTTCGTTTCATTCACAAAAAAATTTCCTCTTCTAAAATTAGAATTCAAAATCGATCAACGTTTTATTTTTTTGTGTTACCTGTATTTAAATCCTGCTTTATTTATACGAAACTTTGTGAGTTAGTGTGAATTGGCTCTAGATTATTTAGCACAACACCCGCACACCGGCAAAATGCGAGAGTGATAGGACGATAAATTAATAATGCTTATCTCGAAACTGGTTCCATTAGCCCAACCGCTGGACATCGCATTATTGTTTCTATTTATTGCAAAACAGCAGCCTCGTAAAAGCCAATTGAGATGTTGAGAATGGAGAATCTGGCTGAAGGGAGTTAGCGATTTTCGAAATGGTCCAGCCGAAATGTTAATGAACCCGCCCACAACTTTTTCGAGGGGGGAAAATAATTAGAATTTGACTGAGACCCTCCAAACTGTTGCCCATTTATCTTGCCACGAAAAAAGAGTGAAACACAAATCGGGGCGTTGACAGGCGCAAATGAGTTCCTCCCCCCGCCGACAGGTGGCGACTCACTGGCGTCGTCGTCGATAAAATGTCAACTGAATGCCCACAAATTGCGCGCTGCCATTGTGGAAATATTTCCGTCGTCATCTCGCCTCGCTCGCAGCCACGTTAAAGTGCAAGTAATAACTCACAGGTTTCACAAAGTTTTTTCGGTTTCCCCTTTCCCCCTGATCACCAGTTTTCAATGTCTCAGCGACATTATAATATTGTTGTATAAATTATGCTGTGGCCCGCGGGGCGTATGTCGAATGGCTAAATGTGATTAAATGTTGTGCAAATGCATGTTTCTGGGCTGGGCTTCGCAGCTCGGCTCGGCTCGACTCGAATGGAAAACAAAACAAACAAGCTGCTGGGTTGGGCAGGTGAGTTCCGCTCATCAGCGGGAAAACTCGATGTCTGGCGGATGATAGGACACTTGACCAACTTGGCAGCAAAAATCACGAGATCTACTTTGCAGTGCAAACAGCTGAAGATCAACTACCGTGGCAGCGGTGGCATTAACATCCACAACATCTGTTGCAATCGGCGCAAGGTCGTTCCACACTGTATATATATAGTATTTCTGATGCTGGCTTTTTATTTTTTTTTTTTTCCACCTGTAACAAATTGTAGCAAATGAAGCTGCAGCAGCCAGTTGAAGTGGTCGTCTCTGGGTTTTTCTATCCACACTTTTATTTTTTTTCGTTTAACGGGTGTGTCCGCGTGTCTCTAATCTTGGAGCACAGTTTTCATAAATTTTTATTGAATTTTTATGGCTGCAGGCAGCCGTCGTCGTCGCATTGAATTTGCATGCTGTTGTATACACGAAAGCACACAAAACAAATAAACATAAAAAATAAAATAAACAGCCATTGAGAAAAGTGTTTTGCACTTAATAATAAATGCTGCTGATAAAAGTGCTATGAAAATGGAAGCTAGGCTAATGGCACAATTTATCCCTGTCACCCTAGCGAAACATCTTGATCTCCCGGGATCATATAGTTTAATCTATGTTTGAGCAACTTCATCTGAGTTGTTTATTCGATGCCCTATCAACAAACGCCAGAAAAATGTGAGAACGAGTCTGGGAACCAAACGGAAAACAGAGCAGACGCTTTGTTGCCGCTTTCGATTTGAGAAAATTAAAATGAATAACAGAAACTGAAACAGACTTGGAGTTTGATGTGGATGTGGAGTTGGGGGGGAGGACAGAACGAGTCATAACACTTGACAACAGACGGCAACAAACAGACGACGCCAGCAGCAACAACAGCAATATCGCAGCACGGCGGCAACATCGCAGTACGGCAGCAACATCGCAGCTCGGCGACGATGTCTCCTCCGACTTGGAGCTGCAATCACAACACGATCTTGGCGCTCAGCATTGACCTTATGACTTCTAAAATCGGTAAAAACATCTTTACAGCTCCATGTGGCAGTGCGATGTGTTTCCAATATGAGCTAAAAATACGAAACTGAAGCGTCGTACTTGAAATTGGGATACATTTTATAGCCTTTATATATTGCCATTTTCAATTCGATGCGACGACTCATTGATGAAGCGAAAAAGTGCAAGGCACTACTCACCAACTCGTGAGCTGTTCAATAATTTTAAAGGATACTGCCTTGCACTTTTTCGGTTATATGTCAAGTTTAAGTGGCAGACGCGAAGGTCGTCGTTGCAGCAGCAGCAACACGAAGGCGTTGCAAATTGAGCAATTAGGGCGTGGCTCGAGTACGCCTCATTTGCACTTACTTGACTTAATTCCTCAATTAGCCGAGACTACGGTAATCACTGCTACAGCCACAGCTGCTGGACCAGCTGGCCAACTGGGAAACTGGACAACCTCATCCACTTCAGGTTCAGATTCAGATTCACATTCAGCTGATCTCCTCGTGGGCGTTCGACAGCCAAATTCAAGAGCCACAACAAAGCAAATGGGTTTAATGATTCGGCTCGTGTGGTTTGTATGGTCAACAAAGAACATTTGACTACAAAAATAAATAAAATGCAGCCCACGGGGACCAGAAAACAGACGAAAAATTAGTAAACTATTGCGTAGGTTTTGCATTTTAAAGATGACCACTACGTCGAAAAGCCACCGCAAAACCACAAAGACCCCCAACAACTTGCAGAGATCGTTTAAAGCTAGATGATTCTATTTGTATACAGATTGAGTGGTAAGAGTGATGATTCCGAATATTTCGTAATCCACCAAAATATCTTCTCTACTGGTTTTAAAGATAACAACAAAATACTTCATGTACTTTGTAATAATAATAAAGATATTTGCTAAGGAAACAGAGATAAACCTATTTTTAGAGCATGGCACTTATAAAAATCTTTACAGAATATGTAAGTGAGATGATTTGTTTATTTATCGTAAAGTCAAATTATTCGATGTAATAAAAACATAAATATAATATAAATTTATTAAAGCTTACGCTTATTATTTATTTAATTATACTATAGAACGTTAAATCCTAAACTTTCAAAAAACTTCATTTTAAAGCAACAAATATTTCTTCTTATTGCGATGCACAACTACTTTGCTTTATCTTGTTTGAAAGTGCCAAGAATGTACAGAATTAAAGTGATCTCCAAGCTTCTAAATAAAATGTTATATTTCTATTTATACTTATTCCCTTAAAAGCCCCTCTTTTCTCACTCAGAAAAAAGGGAGATTATCCATGACTTTTGATTGGGCTTCATTGAGTTCGCCGCGTGGCGCTATTTGACTTTTGACAGTGAACGCGGGCAGTGTCACCAATTCTCATACGGAAACGAACTATGGGGGAGTTCCCCCGACTCAGCTGATGAGAATTTATGAACTATTCCCACAGGCTTTCGGGTTAAATGGACTCAACTGGCAATGACGGACGGCACTGTGCACTTGGAACCCCATCAAATGTGTCAAAAGCCGATTCATTGGAAAATTTTCTATTGTCTTAGGGCCTTCGTTGTCGTTGTTTTCGAGCTCAAAATCGAGGGACTTTTGCGCAAGCGCCGTGAAGTGTGAAAACGAACAGCGAACAGGTTGGCTATCAGAAAAATTGGGT